TCGAAAAAAAAAAGGACATGTAATCGCCATATCTAGATTGGGGCAGAACCAAATAATAATAATAATAATACGTGATAATAATGTGCAGTCAACAAACAAGCCATACCATCAACGAACGCACGGCTATCGAAAACCCAATAGGGTACTTTTTCGTGCTCGTCACTGGTACTGAAATTCGCGTAAACGCTGGGACGAGAAAGTAGTTTTCTGACCGGCAGAGCAGGGAATAGAAGACAGAATATAGGTAATAAATAACCTGGGTCAGGGTAATAGGGGCGTTGCTTCCCCACCATTGGTCTCGCGACTCTTTTTATGTTTTCGACGACGCCGCTTTTTCTTGGATTGCTCTGAATGATCACCATCAGTTTCGTTCAGGTCGATTACTTCGCTCCCCTGCCGCACTGGAAATTTGGATCTAGTAGCCTCGGCGTCTGATGAGCTATTACTGCTCGTAGTGTGTAGAACAACCTTCCGGATCCCATTGACGTCGACTATGTGTTCCGTGATGCTGCCACTCCGTGCGGGCCCTCGATGAATGTAGCTTTGGCTATAGGTTTGATCCCCATCCTGAGAACCTCCAGATCCAGTGTGTCGGCTATGTGCAGATTGTGGCGCGCTCTCTTGTTCTTCGTTAACCTGCTCGGGAATTGATACAGGGAGGCCATTCTTTGCAGGGGACTCCGAAGAAGAGCGACCGGTGCTACTCATTAGTAGAGCGTGGGCACCATCTCTTGGGTTTAACCCGCTAGAAGTCAAAGTTGTGTCAGATGTAGTGGGAAAAGAGGTGGGTTGACGACGGGTATGCGAATCAGTGCCAGAATCGACATCAGTTTGGCCCGAACGCGAAGGAGATATGCTTCCGCGTTTGATCTTCACGTTTTGATAACGCGTTTGGCGGGGTCGGCTAGCCAGGTTTGACGGACCAAGGTGCTTAAGGTGTTCACGAATATCGTCGGTCGATCCCAAGCGGGTGATATAGCCATCAGTTGAATTCCTCTCTTTATCTCCTAGCGACCGGCGGAGTTGGTATCGTGCGAGGGGTGCCTCTACAGAGCTTCGGCGGCGATCCATACTGTGCCCAGTAGTAGCTGGAGAATCACCGCCAATGTCCACTAATGGTCCTTGAGCAGAAATGACCGGCGGTTCCTCAACAAAACGACCCTTGGGGACCCGCGAGTAAGGCGCAGGGGCCATACGCCGGATTGCTTTGTGGACATCCACGAAGACGTCCGATTCATCAATAATTTCTCTACAAACGAAATTAGCTTGGGCCTGTAACGCTCTTATGGTTTCAGGTACGTACTCTCCAATTAGCTCCTCGATGACATCTTCGAGGGTGACAACTCCCAAAGCACCACGATCCTCACCCGGGAATTCCGAGACAAGAACCATGTGTGACTTGCCTTCTTGGAAAAAGTTGACGATATCTAAACAGCTCGTCTCGGGACGGGTTTCTGGTAATGTCGCCAAGGAAAAATGGCTGACCGGTTTGCAGTCCTCGGGATCATATGTAATGAGCATCTTGACTAGAAGCATGCCGATGAAGTTCCTTGGAGTCTCGGGTGCATGGATAGGAATTCGGGAATATCCTTGGGATAGAATGAGGTCCATGGTTTGTTCGTCTAGAATGGTATCCGCGGACATGGTGAAAACATCATCCATTGGGGTCATGATGGTGCCGACAGACTTCTCTTTGAGGTCCAAAACGGCGCTGATGATCGTGACTTCGTCGGAGTTCAGTTGTTCGCCAGCCTCGCCTAGTGTCTTGTGAAGGGTTACGAGAGTTTTCAGACCCGCCTTTTTGTAGGTAGTCCCGTGGTCCTCGCCTAGTAATCGGTCGAGTAGTTTGGCGATAGGCCAGGCAACAGGAGCCATGACATACATCAGGGCCAAGACACAGGGAGCCATCCAGGCACCGATAGGAAGACCGTAACGAACACATATTGACTGAGGAACGATTTCACCGAAGATGACTAGGAACGTTCACAAACCCATTAGAGAACAGTTGTGCGAGGCATATAGGGTCTTATTTACCAATTAATACAGTACTGCCCAGAACAGCAGGCCAGCCTCCGCCGAGCGATCGGTCAAGGATAATAGGGAGAGTTTCGTTCGTGATCACATTACTGAGCAGCAAGGTCACCAGCACCCAGTGCTTGCCGCGTTTTAACAGCCGCAGAACACTGGCGGCGCTTTTGCGTTCAGAGGGGCTATCGCCTGATGTTTGAATGACTTGCAGGTATACTTCATCCTGCAGGTTATCGGAAAAGACCGGGGAATTAGCTACGGGTGTTTCCAGAAAGTGAATGTTGCGAGAGGAGTATACTGCGTACCTGGCCCATCAGGGCAATTGTCAAACCAGCGAAAGCGCCGCCCGTCAGCACGAGGGCAGCAGCAACCCCTAGATACAGCCATAGGCTGGGATCATCCGTCGATAGTGCTTTAACTTCATCGGAATGGCCCCGGCGAGCAAAGGAGTGGGAAGTGGGAGCAGCAGAAACGAGTGAAAGTTGCGAAAAGCATAGCATGAACAGTTTGCCCAGGCCCAGAGCGATGGGCCTGATGGCCAAGGAGCGATTGGCAGATATGGCCATTACCTAGGGGAGAGGAAGAAGGGAAAAGGAAAAAGGAAGAGAAGGAGGATTAGAGGGACATTCTGGAGCTTCGCCGCCAAGAACTTCGGGAGGTGAGGCTAAACTAGTGGCGTAATTCCTGCAACACGAGGAAAGCCCGCGAATGACGTGTGGATCGAAAGCCAGTTGGAAATTCTTCGAGAGCGAAAACGGCGAGGGATGAGCGATCAATTGAGGTTATAAATACGAGTTCGAAGTACTGTGGGAGAGTCTCGACTTGGGAGGAGCTGATCGTGAGTCCCCTTGCTCATGCACGCAACAGATCGTCACCGCTGAGGGTCGAGGAGTCTCCAAATCATCGAGAACATCAAAGGGGCAATTTGACGCCTGAGGCAGCACGATTGTGGACAGCCCTTACCTAAGGCTGAGAGCGGGCCAATATAATGCCTTTATCCGATCCGCTTCTCTCCATCCGGTTAGCGCATAACAGCCCAGCGTCGCTGCCGTCGAGTCGACGAAGTTGAGGTTTTTTTTATCTCGAATGGGGGTCTTCCGCGAGCGCCTTGACTTTCCTCTTGCCACCGTGAGCAATTTTTTCCGTGGTTCTCGTTCTTGGAAATTCAGGCCCAGAGCTCAAGGGGCAGCACGTTGAAGTGTGCCGAGCCCTCGTTGTCTCGTGTGAGAACGACTCATCTCTCCTTGGTTTCAGGCAGAGGGACAATCACACGGGCCACCCTGGGGCCGGGTGGCTTTCCGTCCCCGTTCGGAAATCTTCACCAGATCCACATAGTACTAGACGACGTACTAGTATATCGAACGCTTGTTGACTCTTTATTAATATTTAAAGTATGCATACCAAGGTTCACTACCGAGTACCGTGTCCTACTCTTCTGCGTGTGCTTCCCGACGGGTTCTCCCACCAGCCGAAGCATCCGGTGAGCAGAAACTGCCCTGGTCGGCCTCAAGACCCAAGAAGAGCCTTTGGTAGCCCCGAACATACTGTACATATGGCCTATATGAACTCTTGACGCGCCAATTCTTCTAGCGCTGGGCGGAGCCTCCCATTATGCAGCCACCAGTTAGTGTGGTCCCAGTACCTCACGCCAAAGGCACCCTTGGATACTGTTGATCGAGCAGATAAAAGAGCAGGGGATTTGACTCCCGACTTGAGGAATGCATTAATGGTGGCTCCAGTGATCGTACAGATAGAGATATCCAAATTACCCAGCGTCCAGATCGGTGAAATCTTCGGAAGTATGCATCTCATTCATGAACGAGAACTGATAGACGTAAATTAATAGGTAGATAGCCTACTGTAGAGTTCCGGTCTCGGATCAACACCGCCGAGAACCCTTATAAAGGAGTCGGCTATGTCTTCAAGAGACCTGAACGTGGATGGGCGGAATCGCGGAATACTAAGGTCGTGTCTGATCTGTCGGCGTTCGGTGATGTCCGTGCTCTAACCCTAACTCGAGGCTGCACGGACGGTATGGACTATGCTTCACCACAAAATTGTTCTGTCCCTCGGGAATTTCGCCTGAAAGGTGAATAAAGAGCAGTTAACGGTTGAAGTATTTCAACCAAGAGCCGAATTCTTGGTTATTATAATATATGGCTGTTTTTATGAATATTAGTCCGTTTTTGATGCCCTCACGAAGTAAAAAGCCGCCTGATAATTAGCGTACCTTGGACGGTTTCCGCTTCCATTACATTGTTTTAGGATTCTTATAATATGTATTTGTCTATTCGAACTGTTCATAGACCTACGTATCACTTCCGCTCAGGTCATCCCAACCACCCCTGTATAGGCTTCACTCGGCACGTTGTTGAGGTGCCGATACTACCCTGTTATTGATTGCTCAACTGAGTATTCACTGCGCTTGTCATATTTGAGATCAATCGCGAGACCTGGACACCAGGAGGTGGATCTCAAGACTGCCCCGCTCCATTTCTTGATGAAGGAGTATCCCGGTGAGACTTGGTCATTCACGTCCAGATTCCATTCTTTAATTAAATGAGACATTCAGATGGAACTCGGATTCAAGAAGCTGCTCGTATATTAGCTCCACTAATGGGATGTGTTACTCTCGTGGTTCATTCACTGCTGGGATATCAACCTCCACCCATTGGGCCCGAATTCACTCCCATGAGTCCAGGCTGCCGTAACACTGGATGCAATTCACTCAGTTGATAACACTTTGGCAGGCCCTCGTTGAAGCCCCTCTTCTGTCTTTATAAATTCCCCCGTTTGCTTCGCTCCCCTCAACCCGTCTTCCAACTTTTCCCACAGATTCATCGTGTCATAGCACTTCTTGCAAAGCACTTTCCAACCACCACAATCTAGCAATCTTTCTTGCCATCATCGCTCAGTTCAAACCATTTTCTTCTCACCAGTTTTTTGTTTCCCGTAAACAAAACACCGTCAAAATGACTTCCGTTGGCGAGCAAATCTTCCTTTTCGGAGAGCCCGACGAGGAGCCTATGACCGGACTCATGGAAGTCCTTGCGTATGCGGACCTGATGCTATCAGGATCGCTGATATTCGCCATGGTTGTCCTTGTCGGCATCCTCGGCTTTTACTGGGAGACGGTCTACCCAATGGCCGTTTGGGGAGCGAACAAGCTCACCCAGGCTATTCGCGCTGTGGCCTCCAAGGCGGGCTGGCTCTTGGAGGAGCTCCTATCGATCCGATCGTATGGCGAGCTCAAATCCAAGATCGTCAAGGCGGAGGCTGTACTTGCAATTGTGATTGCACAGAGTCTCTTTGGTCGAGTTGTGTCTGGCGTCGTCAACTTCTACTTCCCCTACAACTATCCCGCGAAGACCATCATTCGGATGAGTCTTACATTCATCGCCTACATGGCTGCGGACGTGTTTCTTCTCCCTCCTCTCTCCCTCTGCTTCACCACCATCCGCGATGCCCTAAGCGAGGTGGTGTATGACACCAGGGGCTATTACGCCGAAATGCTTCCTGAAATAGCCCATTTCGAGATCTTTTCGGGTGTTGCTCTCTCTTTTATTCTCCTCTTCGTCGGCGCTTTCTGGCTTTTCTCTGAGACCGAGGCCAATGGCCCAGTATCTCACAAGCCATCTCCATCTACCGCAACCCCGACAGAGGGCAACAAATCCCAAGAGCCAACCCAGCCAGCCGTAAAATCCACCACCACATCCTCCTCCTTCCCTGCTGCTGCCGCCGCCACCGCTCCCTCCACCTCGTCCTCGTCTTCGATCTCGTTTGCCTTGCAAAACCTAGCCGATATGCGCTCTGCACTCAGGAGCTGCAAAGCTGCCCTCGCTAGGGAAAAGGCTACAGTCAAGCTAGCCGAAAAGGAGAACAGGCGCCATTCCGACGAAAAGGAAGTTCTCCGACAGGCCCTCATCCTGAAAGACCGCCAGCTACGAGTCGCTCGCGGCGAGTTGAAGAACATCTCGATCGAGCAGGATGGGAAAAAGCAAGACCTGAAGGACGAAGTGGCCCAGCTCAAGGGCGATCTCGATTTCCAAACTGAGAAGGCCTCTCGCGTGGAACGCAGGGTCGCAGAGCTCAGGGCCCGCTTGGAACAACCAGCTTTGGATCGGGCCCTGGTGAACCAGGCTGCCTCGAAGGAACAGAGTTTCGAGGAGAGAAATTGCTCCTCCGGCGGCAATTATGAGCGTGAGGCGTACCTCATGGAGCAGCTGGAGCTGAAGACGCAGGCCGAAAACAGGCTGCGCAGCGAGCTTGAGTCTCTTCGAGCGGGCGTGCAAACCGAGATCGAGAAGATCCGAGTTGGGCTTCGCCAGGAAGCTCTCAAGAGAGTGCGCGAGACCGAACAGACGCTACTTAATTCCCAGAAAGAACTCCGAGGACAGCTCCAGGCAGCGACTGAGGACGCCAAAGCCAAGGCGACTATGGCAAGTAACCTCCAAGGCAAGGTCGTCTATCTTGAGGGAATAGTCGTCTCCGAGCAATCGGATAACAAAGAGCTTGAGGAAAAGGTCAAGGGTCTCAAGGAGGAGATCCAGGAGCTTAGGGAGAGAAACCTGGACCTGGAGCTACTCGCATCTGCCGAGCCAGCCCAGCCAGCCCAACCAGCAGCCCCCGAGCCAGAACCCACCGCCGGTAAAGACCAGCCAATACTCACTCTGTTGGGAGTCCCAGATCCCCAGGATGTCGGCCACGAGCTCATGAGGAAGAGCGCCGAAGCCCTCGCCGCCCAGCAGCGAGAGGATTTCGAGCGTCAGATCCAGGAGCACGAGGCGACAATCAAGGACCTGAGGTCTGAGGTCAGCACTGGTCAGCGCCATGTCCGAATCACCACAAATGATATCGAGAGGGCAAACAAGACTATCCAGGACCTGAGAGCCGAAGTAAAGGCATGCAGGGAACATGGGGCTTCCCAGCAGCAGGCCGCGGAAGATGAGAAAGCCGCCGCGCTTAGTCGGCAGCTGGATGCATCCAGGGAACAGGCAGAGGCAAACCGTCGAGAGGCCGTTCGTGCCCTCGAATACATCAGGATGCTCGAGGCCCAGATGCAGGCCCAGAGGCAGCCAGATGATCAAAAGATCACGCCGATGAAGTCCTCTAACCGGGGCTCCATCGCCACTAAGCTCGAGCAGGCCAATGTGAAGATAGTGACCCAGGGCAACACTATCAGCGACCTCCGAAAGAGGATTGCCCAGTTGGAGGCTGGCCAGGCACAGTGAGTACTGGTCGGCGCGGTCGCGCGGACAGCGGGAGGCGAAGCTCCAATTAGCCCTAAAGAATGGGGACAGTTCCCGACGCGAACCCGCCATCACGACTCCGAACCCTCGACGTTGCTTGACTACATCCCCAGTTGGCATGCAGTACGGATATTGACTTTACAAAGTGATCGTTAAAATTACCCGCCGCGCTGAGACTTGTATTACTACGCGAGGTAATGAGAGGATAAAGATCCCACGAGTCATATTCTGAGGGCCAAGAATGAGCATCAACAGGTTATGAGCTCCAGTGTAGCTCACCTTAACCCCCTATTTTGATACAATAGGAAGAACCTTACGAGCGATGCAACATTTTAAAACATCTTCAAGGCCACGATTTGGGCCCGTGGGCCTCACTTTCGTGATGCGATGCGTTGTGACTTTTGCCAACAGCACAGATAGCACAATAGCCGTATCAGCACCACACACATACCCAACAATATGGCCAATATCAGCAAAGATCTCGGCGTATGAATGGTACTTCGTGGATTAATCACTTGCCCAGGTCAACGGGAACCCGGACCAAGGAGATCCGGATTGGGCAACGCGAGAGACGTTGCGGATCAATGGATATTTGAAAGGCTGGTGTCTATGCCAACCTACTGGGTCTCGAACAATAATTGATACCAAACCACCGAAACACCAGAACTATATATGACGTTTATGGAGTCAGTGGTATTCTGCAACTACCTTGCTGTCCTCGCAGCAGCCAGTGCATTCAGTAAGGCTAGCTCTCCGGCAGCTACTGCTGCGCTTCGCGACCTCATTTTTGCTATTATCATGCGCCATTTTGGGAGGGTGGTAGAGTAGCAGGCAGAAATCGCGGTGGCTGAGCGTGAGCCCTGGCTTATTGCCGTGGGAAATCTTCAAGTGGTGCAAAACAACCTCGAAGAAGCAAGAATTGATACACTGATATTGATATGACCGCGGAAGCACCTGAAGCCGTACGGGAACCGCTCCGCAGGCGCCAGGAGGTGGCCGATGCCAGCCAACCGACCGGTATCTGGAAGAACACAGATAGGAAATGCAAACCAAAAGTCATGCACAGCTAGTGCTCGGCCAGCTATCTCCAACAGTACATCTTCTCCAGGCCTCCACTCACAAAGTAAGCTAATGTCCTCCATTGTGGTTTGCCTCACTAACATTGAAAAGCTTGATCCTGGCTATATTGTGCCTAGCCCAACTCTGCCATCAGCATTCTCAAAACAAAGCCCCTCTACAATCTCGCGTGGATTACCAAAATGTTCCTGAGGTGGCGTCTGTTGCAGATCGGGTCGAGCGAGGAGTTACGTACGAGCCCAAATTGCAAGGAGCCGATATCCGGCTGTTGAAAATAAAAGTCTCCATACAAAACTTCCGGAGCAGATAGGGAATACCTTAACATCCCATCTCCACCTCTTACGAGGGGCGCTTGTACCTGGCCCTAATCACCTCCCTGGTATGTTGTTCCCGCCTGTTGATTCCAAAGAGCCGGGGCTAATCGAGTCCCAGCTAAATCTACAATAATATCCTGGGTGAGCAGGGTGTGAACTATGCTTCGGGCATGTTTTTGGATACCACTCCACTTCAACCTCACTACCAATTCAACCGTCTGTTGAGAGGATCAACGCAGTCTGTGACAGCACCAGCTTTGAAACAGAGCCTGATGGACATCTCAGCCACTGCGCGCAGTCGAAAGCAGCTGTCAGACCAATACAAATTCTTGGTCGAAGTACAAAGAGCACGCAAAAGGCGGCTTGAGAAAAAGTGCCACCAAGAAGACGACCTGCAGTAAGATACTGCAGGACTTCTCGAACTACCCGATGAACAAGAGCCACAACCAAACACAAAAAGAAAGGCCATATTCAAAGAGCGTGTGGAAAGTCAGACATTCTGACTGCCGCTTTCTTCAACAACTTTTCCATGAGCAACGGGCAACAAACACAACGACTAATCATCGGGTCGATTTGAAAAGCCTCAATCCAAGCAAGGGTCTTCGCACTCCGAACTCATTCACTCACCTCTCCAACCCCCAGGACAATGTGCTTGTCATTTGAAATATCTACCATCCATCCAATGGCAGCGCAATCCTCATCAAAACAATTTGGCGACGGAATCCTGTTGTGTGCCGCAAAACCAAAGCCACAGTACCGGGTGCGATACTTCAAGACCTCTATGCATCAAACCACCATGATGGAATAAGACGAGAACTCTGAATCCGCGGAGGAGCACAACTGACACTCCAACTCAACTGTACTGGTCAAGCAAAAAAAAAAAAAAAAAAAAAAAAAAAAAAAAAAAAAAAAAAAAAAAAAAAAAAAAACCAACCCACACACACAAAAGCAAAAACCACAAATGCAAAGAAACGAAGAAACTCGTTAGCGACTCAGTCCCGAAGACCTCTATGCTTTTTCCATATCCACAACGAAACTGCTTCCTTCACGTTGGGTCTCGCTGGGTTTCTTTACACCAGCCGTTTGCCATACTGCGGCCTGAATGAAGGCCATCGACCCAACGGCATCCATACACCAAATGGGAAAGCTCATAAACCCGTCTGTCATAAAAAGACGCGGGTACTGCAAGATCTCAGACCCTTCGCTAGCCATCTGGATGCATCTGAGGCGTTTGAATGAGCAGCCTAACAGAAGCAAAACAAAACAAGAAAAGAAAAGAAAAGAAGAAGAAAAGAAGAAGAAAAGAAGAAGAAAAGAAGAAGAAAAGAAGAAGAAAAGAAGAAGAAAAGAAGAAGAAAAGAAGAAGAAAAGAAGAAGAAAAGAAAAAGAAGAAAAGAAGAAAAAAAAAAAAAAAAAAAAAAAAAAAAAACACTTCACTGCATGTCTATCCAATGTGCGACATGTGTTTATACTCTGCCGCCGGAAAAGGGCGAGTAGACTTGTTGGATGCAGACGTCGGTAGCCTTTTCCACTGTCGTGCATCGCATTTCGAGTATGAGCCCCATACTCTACTATCTACAAGGTGACCCTGGTAGCAATATGGCTTCCACTCATTTTGTTGATAGTCATCTCAACTTCTTATCGCATTGTCGTTTTTGCGGTTGTTTTTGTTGTCTGCGTTCTGTTGCTGTCTGCGTTCTGTTGTGCTGCTCTATTGTTTACACTCTATTCCATCTTACATCAGGACTCTAAAGAAGCATTGGGTCTTCTCTCCATTCCAAATGTGTAAGTACGATGCAATTCAACTACTCTTGAGACAACAAGCTAACCCCTGTCACTCAATGATCCGGTCCGAACATCTCGACTCCGAATTCCGAACGCGAAACTCCCCGGTCTCCAACGTTAATGCCCGATATATGTTAAGGAATATGAATGGAGCGGCGCTTAAGGTTGTTGGCGGGAATGATTGTGTAATAGAAGAGTGGGAAGTTACGGTGGTTCCAGTGGGCGCAAGGGAGATTGGTATATTAATATGGGTTGGGACAAATTGGAATTAGGCTGGGGAAATGTTTCTATGGTGGAGTCGTGCTAGCGGGCGTTATTGATATTATATATTCCCTGCTGTAGAGCGCCGTAAATCTCCATTCACAACAAAGTACCAGGATTACAAACATACGGCTTTTTATCCAGACCACAAGTAGTTGGAAGCAACTGAAAGAGGAGAAAGAAGCCGCTGTTGACATCAAAATCCCCCGCAGCTTTACCCTCGGAGCCCCCGCACATTCCAACCAACGCCGTCACAAGCAGCAGGGACCCAATCACCATGAGCTGCCATAGCATCGACCTGCGGAGTCAATCTTGGAATGCCAGAATATCCGAGGCGATAAGTCTCCCCTTGCCGGGAACAGGAAGTTGAGGGGTTGCCTGGCCTTCTTGACGCCGTGCGACCTAGCGCCTTCCAATCCAGCTGTAACACCGACAGCTGATTGCGATCGATTATATTAGAGCAACGCATACTATCTCATTTCTATCATCAACAAATATTGTTATTATACTTTTGACCGTGACGGTTTTATATATAATGGGAGAAAAATTGCGCGTGGACGAATGTCCGGGCAATAAAGACTATACTAATGCTGCGGTTGTCATCGTTGGAGCTGGGATATCGGGTATGTTATCTGCTGGGTTACCAGTTTGCAACGAGGGTTGGTTCTAGCTGACAGTTGTAGGAATGTGCATGGCGATTGACCTCATCAAGCGCAACAAATGCCATAATTTTATTATCCTCGAGAAGAGCAGCGGTGTTGGTGGGACGTGGCATGACAACAAGTATCCCGGGTGCTGCTGTGATGGTAAGCGTTACTTTCCCTTCTCTTTTTAATGCATGTAATTGATTTATACTCTTAGTGACGAGCATCCTTTATAGCTACTCGTTCGAACAGTCCACCAAGTGGTCACGGCAGTTTCCGGGCCAGGAAGAGCTCTTGGTAGGATACTATAGATATCCGATGCAATTTTCCGCAGCATGCTGACGACCCGTACACAGGTATATCTCACCCAGGTTGCTGAAAAGTATGGGTTGTACAAACATATCCGCTTCAACTCGGAGGTCAAAGAGGCCCGATGGGATGACAACGAGATGAAGTGGAAGATCAGTGTCGAAGTCTCGGGGGATAAGGACCATCAATTCCTGAGCTCCTATGTCATGAGCTCGGATTTCCTCACGTCTGCTGTCGGCCAGTTAAATTTCCCACGAGAACCCGAAATTCCTGGACTGAAAGACTTTCGCGGGAAGATGATGCATTCCGCGCGCTGGGATTGGACATATAACTTTGAAAACAAGCGGATCGCCATAATTGGGAATGGTGAGCCCCCGTCGTATGTGCAGATTTCTGGGTGAGCGAGTTTGCTGATTATTCCTGGCAGGCGCGACATCTGCACAGATTGTCCCGGAGGTGGCCAAAGTGGCTTCACACCTTACCGTGTACCAGAGGACCCCCAACTGGGTTATTCCTCGGCTTGACTCCGCTATATCGCCTCTCCAGCAAGCGATGCTGGCGTACTTTCCTCCACTGCGCATACGGAATCGCTCACTTACCATGGACTTCCGCGAAGAATTCCACGACATCATCCGAGATTCGCAATCAGATGCTGCACAGCTCCTTCACAAGATTTGCCATAATCGCCTAAGAGAACAGCTGCCAAATAAACCTGAGCTATGGGAGAAGCTCACACCCAACTATGCTCTAGGCTGCAAACGATTGATCTTGTCAGACGACTACTACCCAGCGCTTAATCAAGAAAACGTGGACCTAGAGACTCGCCGTATCTCACGCATTACAGAGACTGGGATTGAGTTGGAAGGTGAGATTCTGCAAGAGCACGATCTTATTATCCTGGCCACTGGATTTAGGACCGTGGAGTTTATGTGCCCAATCCAGATTCATGGCTCCAAGGGCCGACCACTTACTGATATCTGGAAGGATGGGGCCTCTGCCCATCAGGGGGTGACTGTAGAGGACTTACCAAACTTTGGAATGTTTTATGGACCCAATACGAATCTCGGTAAGAACGGCTGTAGTGGAATAGCTTTCTCTTTTCAGTTACTGATAATACCTAGGCCACAGCTCAATTATACTCATGATCGAGTCACAATCACGATACCTCAATGCCCTGGTAGGAAAAGTGCTCCAGGCCCGTAAACAAGGAAAGACCTTGGTCATAAAGCCAGATGTCAAAGCCCTGCAAAAATACAACCGAGAGCTCCAGGACGCGTTAGCACGAAGCAGTTTCGCAGATTCGAACTGCAGCAGCTGGTACAAAACCGAGGAAGGCAAGATCACCAATAACTGGTCTGGAACCGTGGTCGATTATCAGCGCAAGTTATCGCAGGTTCGCTGGGAGGACTATGTTATAGAAGGCACGGCAAAGGATGCCGTCAAGCCTCGAGAAACAACACACGTCGGACGAGTGCGGGAAGAGACATACATCACCAACCGGTCCCTGGCGCTGACAGTGGCGAGCGTGCTCGTGGTTGTTGGCGGGGTTCTGGCCCGTGGTTCCAGTTTGTTGCGAGGTCGTTGAGCTTGCTTTATCGGATGTTATTAATAGTGTCGCCTGTGGCTATCAAGGGTTTGATTTCAACTGTGATGGTGGAGCCTTAAGGCTGAGGGCGTACACTGACTAAGCCTAAAGAGGCAAGTACCGAGATACGAAGTTATGAACAGGAACACAGTCATCCTTAGTTAGCTTATTGTTATTAGGGCACAATGCTCCCAGACTTCAATCAATTATTATCTATTGGAATTGCGTATCGTCGTTGCCAACAAGGATAAATGCAGCGAAATTAACACGCAGAGCAGAAACACCGCTCGCGAGCCGACCTGATAGACGCCCTGGTCCCACCAATCGACGATTGTGCCATCATCGCTGAGGTGTGCACTAGTCCCTGGCTAGTGGATTAGTCGAACTCCAAACAATCCCTGAGATGCCCCCGTCAGCAGTCGTTTCAGCCGAGAAATTCCCTCAGGCTTTCTTCTCCTCTCGTCCTCCCTTTCAGCTTCTTGTCTGCTTCCCCAGCTCCCTGCCATTCTTTCAGTCCATCCTCAAACACATTATTTTTTGAGACTCGCGTCTCCTGCCGCTCGTTGAACATTAAATTGTCCCGCAGATCTCCGCATCCACCCATTCCCCTCGTGTTTCAGAGTCCCCAGCGGTCGTCTCCCCACTCGGGATCGCCTTGGCTGCCGAATTCCTACGCGCCGCCGCCAACCTCCTGTTGAACTGTCCCCCTACCTTGGCGAAGCGCCGACTCGCAATCTGCATTCCACTGCAGCAGCTTCGCAGCTTGGGCGCTATCATCCGTGAGACCAGCTGAAGGCCTTAAGGGCATGGCGCGCATTTGAGTGTTGACTGGTTTCTGCACGCATCCCTGAAACATCAGCAGCAGCGCTTAATCTGATAGCAATGCACGGTTGAGAACCATCGTTGCCGCTGTTCTTCAGACTTCGCTTGCGTGTTGTCTGTCATTCTTTATTTAGAGTCGTTCGTTCTCTCAAGAATCATTAAAGGCACGCCTGCTTGGGTTCCTTTACCTCCTTTCGCTACCTTTGTTGTGATCGCGACTTCGCCCCGGCTGGACCGACGAAGTCAGTTGATCCCCTTGTCTCGTATCGATCGCAATCCTTTCTTTTACTGGTGTCTGGCCGGGCCAGCGCCTAATAAACAATGCCTTGCTGCGGCGATCGAGAGAAGGGCGGCCCAGTGGCCTTGGAGGAGCAATGGGATTATATTGTATGCCCTTGTGTCTTCTGTTATTTACAGCAGTGAACTAACTGATGTTGCTGTCTAGAACCTCAACGACTTCAAATCGGAGTCCTGTCTGTCGCCATTTTCTTACTTCTTTCTGTTCGTTTTCCTGCTTGTTTCGCTCGCTGTTTACGCAGTCGACACCTTTACCGCTGTGACCCTTCTGGCGTTTTCCCGCTGGGCAGGGCAGATCGAACCAGCGATTCCTTTCGAGTATTCTCGGTGGATTTTCGCCGCTTGTATTCTCCTCTCCTTTGCTCTTTTGGCCTGGAGATGGCTTCGTGCTATCCGTGCGATACGTTCTGGGAGCGTTGCGCAGAGCTATCTTGATTCGCTCGCTGCCCGAGTCCAAAGTATTCGCATGGGGGAGAATGGTCGCGGCTGGAGGAGGTTCTTGGTCTTTGGAGAGCTCACCAAGAGTAAGAAGGGAGCTGAATATGCCGCTTTATTTGCATATTTCTCCTTTGAAAGTGAGATTGACCACTGCACTTTTTGGGCTGTATATTTGCTAACAATATGTAGGCTGGATGAATACTGTCCTCGCCGATGGGCCGCGCCAGGTTGTTAACGCTATAACTCTCTATTCAGTGACGAAGATGGATTTGCTTCCTGGTGGTGAGAATGCAGTTGAAGAAGACAAGCCAGCAATTTTACAATTTTTCGACAACGTTAAAATCCTCGCCGATGAGAATAACCTGCGCGCCCTCGTTTTGGCCGGTATGGTCTTTACAGTGGTTATTTGGGTGTTGTCCATGATCAAGTTAATAATTGCGATCATTCTCTACCTGCTTTTCCTTTTTCACCACATACCCGCGCAGGATGGAACGCTGAAAGCGTACTGCCATAGAAAGATCAACACCAGACTCAAGCGCATTGTGCGGACGAAAGTGAACAAGGCTCTGTCAAAGGGTGTTGCGCTGCAAGACCGTACTCCAACGAACCCGAACATGCGGACCGATCGAAAACCTACGTTACCTGTATTTGGAGACGACGACAAGACACCTATTGTCTCAGCTCTTTCACGTACGACGACTGAAGCGACCATGACCACCCTCCCCGCATACACGTCGCGCCCTGGAACGGCAGCCCCTCGGGAGCGTGAACCAACTCTCCCCGATGTGGCTATCTTTCCTGAAAAGCCCTCGCTTAGCCGTACGGTCACAGAATCTTCTGCCTATTCTGACCCTACCTCAGCTCCTGCGGTCTCTGCATATAGCCCGCTAGACCGCGGAGGTTCTCCAGCCCCTCCAATGCCTCCTCTTCCCGATACCGCTTCTTTTGCTACGGCGCGAAATCATACACCGGTATCACGGTCCAATTTCACCCCCGGCCCTTACAGTACCCGCGGGCCTCCCAGCCGTATGGGCTCTGCAGGTGGCACACGAGATCCAACAGAAAGACGGGATCCATACAGCCCTGAGGGCTATGATAATCCATCGTCCGGCAGCCCATTCCGCGCTTATGGTACTCCTGTTGATCCCCACTCACGCACACTAACGCCAATTGCTTCCGTGGCATCTGGCGATGCAGGTTCTATGCGAAGTTACACTCCTAACGCATACAATTCTCGTCCAACCCCACCCCCCGCCAACCCTCCACGGTCTTTTACTCCGGGAAGTGAGGCGATGAACCGGGGTTCGCCAGTATATCCCAATAATGAACAACCCGTTAGAACTTTCTCTCCAGTGAGCTCACGGGCACCTTCGCGGGCTCAAGGGGGATATACACCCTACAATGCTTCGGCAAGAAATGTCGCCATGACACCATTCGAAGCAGACCAAGACACTGCGGGGAATTACGGCGGAAGATCTGGAACTCAAAATAACTATACCTCCCCACCATACAACCCCCAACCACCCCGTCGCCCAGATTACTACTAGCCTTTTCCCAACATGGATGGCGGTGCCGATCCAGATTTATAGAAGGAAACGACGCCGTACTGCATGTTTTAACGAACGCTTTGGAAGAGCTGGTCGTATCTTCTGCGATTTACGAATGAATCAGTGTCTGGAACGCTTTCAATATACCCCTGTTTGATGATTGGAAGTTTAGGGTGCATTGGGTTGTCAATGCGAGCCAAGCGGGACCTTTGCGCATCTAATTGACAAAATGTACTTGTCTACTTAAATACGATATCCACCGATCGAAATATTTGGCGTTATCTAGTAGTTTGTAAACCGTAACTGCACTACTGACAGTACTAATGTACCGGGACGGCTCGCTGACCGCCTTTTAACGGTCTTTATCCGGCAACACCCACGAGAGTAACTGAACTCCACATTGGAAGCTCTTTCTCCACGTTGCAATCACTATCGGTTTCTCTCTGCTCCGGCCTTTTTAAACGGCTGCCAGAGACCTTGCATGATTGTTTGCCATGAAAATTTCCTAATTTTCCCATGATACCCGCTTCCGCGTTGCAAAGCTGCAGCAGTCTTGCCGCGTGAATGCCAGTGCCACCACTGACAGGACCTTGAATACAGCAGCTGGGGCACATATCATGCTTGCAGCACTATCAGCTTTTTTTGGTCTCTCCAACTGACGTCTCGGTCGCGATGCCCGATGTAAATGGACTCAATAGCCCCGATAAATGGCCGCGCGACTCCGATCGAGCCACATCCAGGTTAGAACCTGGTGCCTCTCCCCAAACAGAGCCGTCTCACCCCAAGTACGAGCGCAGAAACTCAAATACCGAGACGAGGAATATGCAGAATGGAAATCGAACCAGGGCTGGTAGTGGTCGTGGTCGGCGAGGATCTGGTGAGGATTTGAAAGGTGGCCACTTTCCAGGGTCGCCCGATAAGACATTCGGTTTTATGTTTGAGCACTCCCAAGAGGGGGCGGCTTCTGGGTCTGATTCAGAGCCTCGCATGCTACATCGTACTTCTTTGGTGGATGTTCTTGAGAATGCTGAAGCTACTGCTGAACTCAACCGATGGGTTCGAGATCGGTCACCTTCCAAAGACAAAGACCGCGACCGCGTCCTCAAGCTCTCGCCAGACAAGATACAGGAACTCACGTCGTCTCCTCAATCGATCCCTTACCGTGCAGCTCGCTCGGACCAGGATCAAGAGCAGAGCCGAAGAGTGGTATCCGATAGCCCAGCCTCATTGCTCCCGCCGATTGAGTCGGACATCCCGGTCTTCCGCCCGAGTGAGCCAAAATCCGCCGCGGCTATGGAAGAGAACTCTGCAACACAGTCCGTTAGGGACGGATCGAATAAATTTGAGGGACTGCATGGTTTAGGCCTAACATCGCCTTCCAGTCGGAACCGTCCGCATATAAGCCGTGCTGTATCGACCCCCCAGTCTGCACGCAAGCAGACCTTGCCAGGGAACAATACTGAACGAATCGCACAGACGTGGGCATCTCGGGCTAGACAGGACCGCCCTTCAGTTGGCCGTGAAGCTGAGCCTAAGAGCCTCAAAAGCCCCCCTCCGCCGCTCGAGCCAGCTTTGCCATCTCCCCTACCTCAAAACATTCCTCTACCTCCAGTCTCCATCCCCACCTATTTACAGCTGGAGCTTGCTTCCGGAAGCCCATCTCCACTGTATATCCATCGAACTGCCATGAGCGACTTCCCATACGAATCGGCGCGTGTTAAGCTGGAGCGACTGATGAACTTTCTGGTGCTACCTCCAGCTTTAGAGCAGGTGCTATGGTTTGGCATCCTGGCATGTCTGGATGCGTGGTTGCATTCTTTCACAATCCTCCCTCTTCGTTTTATCAAGGCGGTTTATATTCTGCTGGGGTCGTGGGCCCTGAACTTGGCAGCCGAGGCTCAGTTTTTGGGCGATTTCGTCAGAAAGGGTGTTGGACGAGTTTGGCGGCGACGAAACCGGGGGCCGTCCGTATCGTCAACGACAGAAACACCTCCACTTGATCGTAACAACAAGCCCTCTAAACCAGCAGAACCGCGCCGGCGCTACCGTGCAGATACCCACCGACACCGAAGGCAGAGGTCAATGCCGTCGGCCCTGCTCCCAGATGACAAGGCTGACATCCTGAAGGGGCTGTTGATGGTTACTACCTGCACAATCCTCATGTATTTTGATGCTAGCCGTATGTATCATTGGATTCGCGGTCAAGCAGCCATCAAGTTATATGTGATCTACAATGTTTTAGAAGTCAGCGACCGTCTTTTTGCCGCCATTGGGCAAGATGTTCTTGAGTGCCTATTCTCTCGTGAGGCGCTCGAACGTCGGCCAGATGGTCGAAGTAAGATATTTCGGCCGCTTGGACTGTTTCTGCTGGCACTGGCTTATACAGTTATCCATTCCACCGCTCTTTTCTACCAAGTCATGACGCTGAATGTGGCTGTCAACTCTTACTCTAATGCTTTGATCACTCTGCTACTCTCAAACCAGTTTGTGGAGATCAAGTCTTCGGTGTTTAAGAAGTTTGAGAAGGAGAATCTGTTCCAGCTCACTTGCGCGGACGTGGTTGAGCGGTTCCAGCTTTGGCTCATGCTTACCATCATTGCCTCGCGGAATATGGTTGAAACCGGTGCATTCCAGTTCGGGGGCAGCCTGCTCAGCACAAGTGCAACTGGCGCGGCCCCGGTAACAAATAGCACCCCTCTGTCGACTCCTCCAAGGTCGTCGACCTCAATCCTTCCCCAAGCCTTTACACTTGTTCCATCTTCTGTAATGGCCTCCATCAGTCACGTTAATTCGTTTCTGCCTGCGCTGGCCCAGGTTCTTGGTCCTTTCCTGGTGGTTCTCGGCTCGGAAATGTTTGTCGACTGGCTGAAGCATGCATACATCAACAAATTCAACAACACACGACCAAATATCTACGGTCGATTTTTGGATATTCTCGCCAAAGACTATTATACCAACGCCTTTGGTGACCAAAATTTGACCCGCCGCCTCGGGCTACCGATAATACCTCTTTCGTGCCTGTTCTTCCGTGTCTCAGTACAAACGTACCAGATGTTCTTGGCTGCACTGCTGCCGCAGTCTCCACCGTTATCACCTTCATCCTCCATTGCCGTAGAGACCACGTCTTTGGCAACAATTCATAGTCAGTACGTACCGGCAGGCCCGGTACCCTCACCGCCACCAATCACACTAGGAAATATTTTGCCCGCAACAGCAGCCCATGCATCGGTATGGTTTCGTCGAGCCCTTGCGAACGCAATGCCGTCACCCGCTCATTCTGTCTATATCTTTACGGTTGTATTGGTGCTGACTGGATTTGTCCTTCTGCTGATACTGAAACTTCTCCTGGGCATGCTGCTTCTTACATACTCACGATCCCGCTACAAGTCGATGAAACAACGAGAGGCGGAACACTCGGCGCCGGCATCTTCCTCTACCACACCTAGCATGCCGGAAGGAAACGGTGCACCACGTGCGCGCGGCTACGACGTAGAGGGAGCCCGACGCTTTGGCGGCTGGGGAACCGTAGAACTTAACGAAGATCACCGGCGATGGATTTACGTTGACGATCCAGACAGCCTACGCAAGTTGAAGGAGAAGGAAAGTCAGAAGGGGAAGAGCTCACGTGGGGATGAGTTGCATCTGGACCATGTCCAGCGATACGAGATGGCCGCAAAGCGGATATGGTAACAACGATACCCGAGCGATTTTGTATAAACTATTTGTATCTTAATTTAGCTGTATCCTAGAAGCGAATCATCATTGGACGTCTAATCCTTTGGCATGACCCGATCCTAAAGTAGTCACCGAAAATCCTTTCATGCATCGAAAATAATATACTCAAGACGTCGAGCCCCTAGATACACTGGACAAAAGTACAACGACCAGACCGCCATATCCTCGTTCTAATATGCAACATGTAACCTCCCTACACCGTATTATTTTGGATCACCACGTGTCCAGGTCCTCGCGGAGATACACCGCAAAGAAGACAAAGGACGCAAGAGATAGACTGCATTCTAACCAACCAACACACCGCTAAATCCAGAAAATTCAACATCACACCTTCTCCGGCAACCTCGAAAACACATAACTGAAAATCTCCCGACTTTTATACAAATTCTCCACACGTAGCCGCTCATTATACAAATGCGCATTGTCACTCGCTTGTCCACAGGGCAAATTCGCCGCAGGGGCTGAGAATTCTTTCTCCAGGAACCGAATTGTTGGGATTGAGCCGCCCTCGCGAATGTAAATGGGTCGGGAACCGACTTTCTCACGCAAACTAGAACCAGATCCGGCTCCAGGGATTATATCCGGAGTGGCTGTTCCTGTTCCTGTTGGCGAAGGGGCGGAGGATGTTGTTCTGGTGCCTGGCGGTGGAGAGGAGGCTGCTGAGTGGGGCGCCGTGGCATGGGTTCCTGATTGCCCGGTTAAAGTGGATGAGGTTGGCACCGTTGTGCTGGGTGCGCTGCGGTTGCGGGTTTTTGTTTTGGATGTCGTGGTGGACATGATGATTCGATCGATGTGGGAGGCTAGACTGTCTTCGGAGTCCTGGCGGCGCAGAACGCTGGTTAGGGTCTCTTTCCCGGTGCCTCTGGGGCTGGTTGAGCGGGCCTCCTCAGCAGTGCGTCGGGGAAGCGGGTAGTACTGATGTTTGAGGTTTTGCTGGTCCGGGGTCCAGGCTGTTGTGATGGCGTCGGATAGAGTCGAGAAGATTTCACTATCTGGGTCTCCGAGCCAGGGATCCGATGTACCCGTGATTTCGACGGTGAGTTCATTTTGCGATTCTAGGCGGTCGAATTGCTCTTGTGCGTAGAGGGTCAGTGCTGCTGCGATGTCGTCGGCAACTTGGTTTGGCACGATACGGATTGAAAGACTGGCCTTTGCCTTGCGCGAGATTGTCGTAGTTGTGCTCTTGCTGCTTCCGGGGACCTCGACGGAGTGGATTGTGAGAGAGGGTTCTCGCCATCTGTGCATGAGAGAGTCGATTAGGGCATCGGCATCTTTAATTTGTGGGTGGCGTTCGAGGAGAATCTCCGCGATGGCGCTGTATCGCTCCCTTTCTATGTCGGTCAGTGGTAGGACAGGGTCTTGGAATCCGGGGAGGTTAATTTTGCCCTTGGGTCCTACGAGAGTTCCAAGAAGCATAGTCAGGTCTTTAAGCGGTTCGTCTAGTAGCGAACTACCATCGATACCACTGTGTAGGTCCGGATGGTCGCTGGTAACAACCAGGTTGGCGTGGACAACCCCACGCTGCCCGTAGGTGAGACATGGGTTGTAGTCATCCAACCAGTAGCTGTTAGCTATCAGGATCCAATCAACAGACCCAATCTGTTGTTTGTGCTTGCGAACCGTCTCATGAAAGCCCTGAGAGCCAGACTCTTCCTCTCCCTCAATGAGGAACACAACATTGCATCGAAGGGCCTTGTTCCGCGCAAGACCTGCTGCTGCGTACAAAGCAGCCAGAATAGGACCCTTGTTGTCTGATACACCACGGCCGTACAAAAACCCATCCATGGAAGTTAGCTGGTATGGATCCGTTTTCCATTTTTGGAAGTTGGCGTCCGCGCCGACCACGTCGTAATGACCATAGAAAAGGATGGTTTTATCGGCCTTTTCAGGTGATGTCGCACTGAAACGGGCGAGGACAATAGGGTTCGTATCCTCTCCGGTGGTTAGAAGCTTAGTCTTGGCTCCTAGGTAGATACAATGCCGGCGCAGGAAAGCTGCACCCTGGTTGCATTCACCAGCGAATTTTGGACTAGCCGAGATCGTCTTGAAGGCTACCAGCTTGGCGAGGCAGCTCACCATCTCATCTATCCGTAGGCTTAGCACACAAGCGTGGGATAAGGGGGCGGACATACATACCATTATTGATGGGTGGTTTCTCGCTCACAGCACGGGAAACGTCGGTCAGATCCCATATCCCAACGGTATTGTCATTTCCTCCCGTAGCGTAGATGTTCCGGTCTTTGAATTTACCAGCGGCAGAGGCTAGCATAGTACCCTCATGGGCTGCCCAGCTACCTGCCTCCTCAAACCGTGAGTTGAATTTCTATGCACTAGTGGTTAGAGGCCAGATTTCTGGTTATGCGAATGTCGATCGTACCTTTACAACCCCATTTGAATCACCACATACAGCCATGCCGTGGACAATATCTACCGCCCACAGATCGCCGGTATGCGCAGCAATTCGTTTCACGAGTTGATGTGAATCCAGGTTCCAAATATTCAAGGCGCCGCCTGACAGACCACAATAGAGAAATGAACCTTCAACCGCCACGGAAAGAACGGGGTCCGCGTTTTGCAGTTTCGCCATTAGCGTAGGGGCGGTATCAGCCTTTCCTTGCTCCAGGTGCCAGAGTTTCACAACCCCGTCGCCGGCTCCAGTCAGGAGAACTTCATCGTTAGGCGAAGACTCAAGCAGTCCTCGAACAAGTGTCATCGTGTAAACGTATCCATGGTGTGCAAACAGATTGTGATGATCGCGCTTGAAAGTAAGCATCTGTCCACCATCAGCGACAGACTGACCGTCGGCACGTGGAGCGCGGGTGCCATCAGGGCCTTTTGAATCAAAGAAACGATGTGTCCGCCTAGATATATGAGCTGCAGATTGCTGAGTAGATGCTGCACCCGTTTGAGTGAGGTTACACCACTGCGCAAAGTTATGTAAGATGTTTCAGGCCTTCTAATATGTGAATGTGAAAGGCCTACCTGGATGCTGGTGTTTTGGGCACCGCAATAGACAGTTTTTAAGCTAGGCGAATACGCCACAGCGAAGAGGTCACCAACATCATGATGAGAATGAATGGAGTAGAGCCGTTCAAATGTCCGCGTAGACCAAACCTACAAATGGTCAACCGGGATCGCATAGCAAGCTCGGAGAGGGTTGGTACATTGACAACAGAATCACCACCGCTGGAGAAGAGGAGATCTCCACCTTCCGAGAGATACAAATCCAGGACGCTTTCCTGGTGCGCACGAACAGAGAGGACAAGATCGTAGTTCTCAAGAGACCATGCCTGCCAAGCATGAGCATTCTTTGTTATATCGACTCATGGGTTGTATCAGTGAGTCAGCCACGTACTACAATGTCTCCGCCCTGAAGGCCCGCAAACACGCAGTCCTCGTCTACTACCAGTGCGAGAACAGACCGACTGGCCTGCACCCGGTGGCCAATGCCGCACTCGATAGTTGAAGAGGGGCCGTTGGAGCCATCAGTTTGGGCAAGGTGTGCTCTCACGGTCCGAGGGTCTGACTCCCACACTTTGGTCTGCTCATCGATATCCGACGGACTGTCGGACTCGGCGAGCCCTGTAATATCCATCTCAGTCTCAGCCTAGGCCCTCTTGATTATGCTTGGGCCTGATTATTAGGCACTTTCAAAGGAATTGGAAAAAGAAAGAAAGGGAAGAGTTTGAAGAGTGACACCAAATGGGCTCACGTGATCATGTGCTCTGCTCTTGTTTTCTGCACGCACACACCGAGGGGAATTGCGAACTTCAGGGGACAGAACTCAGCCGGAATATCGGTCTATACATAGACAAACAATGATCACCCTGTTGTCTGTGCCTGTATGTCGTGATCTCCCTTGATGGTGATGACATGAGAAAATTGGCCGGGGAAAAGAATGGGCGTTGATGATGAACGAGGTGTGGCGGTGCAATAATACATGTTTCTTCTGCGGTTTCTTCTCCTTGTCACTCACCTGCGTGGCTGCGATGCTGACCACAAGAGCATTTACCCCTGCACTGCGTTAACGTTGTCCGCTTTTCTCCTACTTCTCCTATAAATTCTCGCTCCTACACCGTTTTATTAGAGACAGGCGCATACTGACCTGGGTTCCCATAAGAGACGGGTTAACAGAGCGTCCGTGGCGGGTTGGGCCATGGCTGCTGAATCTCGCCCCTTAGGCTCATCGAAAAAAAAAAAAAAAAACTCAGAAATAGAGAGAGTCAAAAATGGCACGAATGATCCGATTCTCACCGAGCAGTGGGAAATTTAGGAGGCCTCGAATGGCGGTTGGGCTGATACGCGAGAACGTGGGATGCTGCGCTTCGGTATCTCTCTGGTCATGGGATAGCGATAGCTCAGACCTAAATACCACTGGCTCTATTGATAATGTCTATCTCTAAGTAAGGTCTCCGCAAGGAACTCGCTGGCCAAGATAAAGAAAGCCAGACCGTAGTCTCCCTATGATGATCGCATTGTGTAACTTGTCTGTTTGCTCCGCAGCTGTCTCTGTCAGGGGTGCTCACTCCCGACTTTCTTTGACGATCGGAGGTGCATCTTTTCTCCCCGGGTGCAGACCTATACGAAGCTCCTGCAGCATCGACCTCAACTGTTGGCAAGTTCTGACTCATGTTTTCATCGTTCAGATGGCTCCAAGTTATATATAGAGAAGCGTGGCTGTATGGTATGGTAACCCCGTGACTTTCCGGGTGATCAGGCACCAGCCACAGTGGCGGTACACTATACGACCAATCACAGGGCGTGGTATCACCGCCATTTGGGCGTCTCAAACAAGATCAGACTGGTCCATCCTCCAGCATTCACCGAACAATTGAGCGCTCCTCGTCCTCAATACCAAAAGTCCATCAGGCACCGTCTCTTTGATGACATTTAGAAGCGAAGGAGCTCATGAGTACCCGACCCCAAGTACCTAACGAGAGACCCAAGCACTCCCCGGGATCCGCCAGCCAATCCAGCGATGCTGCTGCATCCGAGCGATCGCATTGAAACGAGCCACCTCACCTATTCGATCCCCACGGATCGGCTATGGAACTGACAGCCATTCGGATGCTCCGTCCACCAGTCTGAGCAACCATTGTTGCCTTGTTCCTAGCTTCATCGACACCCAACCGGTCGTCCCCTCCCCGGGCAGGATTCTGTCCTGTTCGTCGCTTCGTTCCCCTTTTAGGCGCCGGGGCTGCTCCCACTCCCAGCCCCCTTCATCACTGCACATTTTTCCCTCATATATATCCATACTGCACCGGAAACGCCGTCGTGGCGCGGTTATCGCTGTGCATATGCGTTGTTAAAAATCCTTGTCGTCATCTGTCTGTCTTCGTCATATAACATCTTCAACCCCAGCTGAAGTGTGAAAAGTTTATCACCAGGCACCAACTTTCTGCGAAACCCTTTGGCTATAATTCGCCTTTCACTGCGTCTCCAGTCAGCCTTGCCAGAAGATCAATAATCCAAGGCCCAGACCGAATCGCGGGTACAAAAGAGGATCGCGGCCAAATCTCCACCGGACCCGGATTTAGTCTTAATATATCCTCAACCTGGATTCTGGCCCGCAGATTCCCCTACACCGCTCGTCCTCCTAGCGAGGTCCTTAATCTCGCCGATCATTTATCAATGCTCTTCCTCATTTGATCACCATCTGGTCGGTTCAGTTCTCTGAGCACGGTTTGCCGCCCATCAGGTTCTCACGAGAGAGCACAATAAAAAAAAATGCCTCCATTCGGGGAGACGGTTGCTGTGATTGACAAGTCCGGAAAGGTGGTCAGCACGGTATGTACTTGCGATCATTTTCTTTCAGTTACTAGTTTCATATCTAATTCATATTGCCCAACAGAGCAAACACCTCTTTGGTGTTTGGAGTCAAGCCAAGAATGCCTATCGCGAGCGCAAGGCGCAAGTCCAATCTGAACGGAATGCGAAGGTCGCAGAGAGAATCGCCGAGCAACAAGCACTGAAGGCGTTACAGAACTATACTATTGATGACTCCCCTTCAGTCGCTTCCTCGCGGAGGAGTCGTTCACGACATCATTCAAGCCGGAGACACCACCACCACCACCACCATGACTGCCCCCGCGGGGGATCAATCTATGAACAAGATCTGCACTCCCCCGCACCTCGCGCGGAATCCTACTACGGACCTCCAGGGGAAATGATTCGTCGTCACACTCATCACGATATCACCTTGCGAGAACCTGAAGCCCGACCCCCTACCGCGCGCTCTAAATCTGATGCCCATGTGGACTTGGATCTCGCCTACGGCGAGTTCCACCCATCTGCGATTGCCAGGCATTCTCCTCAGGACGATCAACAACTTCAAAAAATCAACGATCCCGAACTAAATGGTCTTGTTAACCGGGCCCAGTGGTTGTTGGAGGAAGCCAACTGTGTACATCACAGTGCGACAACTACTATCAGCCATCTACAAAAGAACCCAGACGCTATGGCCGCTGTGGCACTCACACTTGCGGAAATCAGCAACCTCGCTGGAAAGATGGCACCATCAGCACTCGCAATGTTGAAAACCGCAGCGCCAACAGTCTGGGCCTTGCTCGCCAGCCCACAGTTCCTAATTGCTGCCGGTGTCGGTCTCACAGCCACGATCGTCATGTTCGGCGGTTATAAGATCGTTAAGCAGATGCAATCTTCGGGCCAGAAGCAACTAGAAGAGGACGAACGTTCGAGACAGATGGACGAAATGATCGAATTCGATACCGACTGCCTCAGTTCCGTGGAAATGTGGCGACGAGGCGTGGCCGACGCAGAGGCCCATAGCGTCGCAACGTCCGTGGACGGCGAGTTCATTACTCCCAAGGCCGCAGCGATGTCCGGAATCGATGTAACTACCGCGCGACTTACGAACGACCCTCGTTTCAAATTCGACGACAATGAGTCTAGAGCCTCTTCCCGTCGATCGCACCGTTCGCGGGCTCCACGATCCACTCGCGCTCCAACCAGAGTGGACACAAAGGCGGAATCTATCTTCTCAAGACGAAGCAAGGCACCCCCGTCGAAGGCTCCGTCCAGGGCGCCGACAAAGGCTCCATCAAAAGCACCCTCCAGGGCTCCTTCAAGGGCCCCTTCCACAGCTGATTCGCGGTATCTGGACACGGGTAGACCTCCTAAGGACAAACCGAAGCGCTCCAGTCGCCTACGCCTAATGTTCCGTGCTTAGCCCATCCAACATTACCATCTCCCAGACATTGTACATATATACTCACATACTCGGCCCCGATACGACACTTACATATATTTATGTTTATGTTTATACGACTTGAATGCCTACAACCGACAAGCTGCACCGCCCGTGCAACGAGCCACAACCACGCGACCACTAAGAAACGACATTTTCCTTTATATACGCCGACTATGCTACCATTTTTCTTCCTAGACAGCATTTCTCTGTCACTCTGCAGGCGTTACTTTTTGGCGTTGGAAATGATACCACACTCCTTTCGAGAATCATAGATTGATGGATGACTGTACACGATCATACCTGCATATAAAGTACATAAAATGCATATACACGTCTTCGCATTCTTATTACCAGTGTCCGGTTTTGTAATGGGTGTTCAAGCTCTGACTTCCCTCTAGATGATATTTAATAATATAATATGTAAGACTGCCTAGGTAATGTGGGTAACTAACTATATATATATGAGGCAGGCGCCACCAAGCAGATGACTGGCCCAATAAACATCATGAGAAGTCCACCGTAAGTTCCAGTCCGAGATCTGATTACCTACTGTCGGCGCTGTACCTTCCTATCTCCATACCACCTACAGTCGCACCTTCCTCAAGATACCTTACCTTAAGACACTACGGATTCCACATTTAACAGGTACGACGGGCCTATCGCTCCTTCCCAAACCTGAGGATATTTCAATCTGCGCAAGGAAAGTGCGATGCGCTAAGAGTTATTGGAGTGGGCGATGGTTGTTCCTTCCTTATCCATACAAATTGAGATTCATCCCATCGCGCCTTCTATATATGTAGTATGATCCATCGGATGCGGGGTGTTCTTGTCTAACAATGCAATATGACGTCTCTACCCACCACGGCAAGTGGATTGCTTTGATGGAAGTCGCATAAGATGACTTCGACCCTTGTCTGGCAGCTGCGATATAATTGGTCTTTAGCAGGTGGTGGGTTTTTCGGGGTATCAAGGGTTATGGATTGCTCGCGCCGCTATGAATCTAGATCAGGGACTTCAAAGCACATGTAACAGGATTCCCTACTATTCCTATGCTTACTGGAATGCCAAGAGTAATTTGAGGGTTTCGACAGCGCCACCCATCGGGGCCCATTAGCGGCGCGGGCGTCTTGGTTTTGCGTCCCGCCTGATAGTAGTGAGATCACAAGGGTCTCCTCGGATGTCCCCGAGTTGGTACCACTGGTACGACCTCGACCATTCAATTCCCTTTTGTAAAAATAAACCAGGAACCCGAAACAAACTTTTCATGTTCGTTCCATAGTGCATTAATGGCATATGAAAATCTAGCGGTCCAGGCATTTATTGTCCTCCAAACGACAAGAGTTTCTTACCTTTCAAATGGCTGAGGCTGCAAATGCCTTGTAATCGCCGCTCGAGGATGAAACATCGCACACCAAATGGCTTCTTTTCCACAATCAGACCACCAAACGTCAGATAATTCGTCAAGACAGCTTACCGTGGCCCCGTTTGGGTGGCAGTTCTTTGATGAGCAGGGTCCAAGTCGAGGTACTTCCAGGTATCCATGTCGAAGAGTTGCGTACACTAACCGGGGTAAGCCAATGCATAGAAAATACAGCCTCTGAACCCATATCTCCAGATCGAAATACTGTTTCAAGCCCAAATGCTTCGACGCCAGGAGGACGAAAATCAAAACGTCGGCGCGAGACTGACTATACGTCCACAAATCAAGGAGAATATACAAGCTCGCCCGAACCAGTACCGAATTATCAAATCTTACCTAGTCAGAAAGAGGCCCCTACACCGAGAGCAAGTCCTCCGAGTAATGAGAGACCGTCTCTTCCCTGGGGCTCCGATCCTTCGTTTGGCCCAACAGGATACAACCCCCATCCTGATACACCCACACACGAGTTGATGGAGCACGAACTCACCGAGACGTATTTCAATTTTGTTGACTTTGGCGTTGAGTTTGACACGGAGGAATCACACAATGATTCACCTGATATAGAAGTGAGTAAACAAAAGATCGCGGCAAGTTCGGACGAGGTTCCTAGCTCCAGGCGAAGGTTACAGCATATCGTGTCGGAGCGCAACCGTCGCACACAGCAAAGTAGGCTGTACGATGAAATATGCGATCTTGTACCAGGCGTGTCTATTAACCGATACACGAAGAGAGAGGTGCTGATGCGGACGGCAGACTGGCTGGCAAATATGGCAGAAGGAAACAAAAACTTGAGGGAGCAATTAGACACGCTGAGAGGAGCGTCTCCGTGAGGCCGAAATATTGTCGTGTGGTGCTGTGAGTCGTATCACTCTTCCAATTGGCATTTGTGGAAACCATGCTGTGGTCTTCGGTATGTGAGTGTCGAAAAAACACCCGACTCAATACTAAGCAGAAGAATCGAATTTTCTGTCCCAACAATGTACTCATAGCTCGTAGTCGTCGAAGAACCCACTAGGTCGGCATTGGGGATTTATTTCTAACTGCCGAGCTCTGCAATCATAGGACAGACATGAAGCTTCATACTGGGGAAAGCGTCGCAGTGGCTCCTTATGGGTCCCTTCAGTACGTAGTACGTATATGCTATAAATTGTAGATCCCGACGAATTGCCTGGATGCCTCCATTCACGCAACTGCGGGGCTAGATATAGAATCACGAGCCTGTAGTCAGGGTACTGAGGGCAGTGACATTACCACAGTGACGATCATGCATGGGTTCTCCAAGTCTTGCCACAGGAGTGGCCGTCGTGGAAAATAACACTTAATATGTCTTCGAGATGCCTGAGATATAAATATGCGTCTCAATTTTGGTATTCCAGGAATGCATTAGAGTTACCGGTACCCCGGTCCCCCAGGAGTATCTCGGGGAGGAGATGCTCGAACGTGGGTGGATGGCTGGTATATGAGTGGAGACTTGGAGATTCTGAGAGGCCAAAAAAGTCGGGAGATACGGAGAAAATGTACTCGCATCCGTAAGATCAGCACCTATTCCTTGTAGAGAATAGACATGTACAAGCCTGTCTGCTGTAGCGTCATGTTGAGAGTTGTGTCTGAGTCTAGGTTGTTTATGCACAACTTACCGGAGCACGAGGTACCCGACCTATTCTATTCGCGACACCTATCAGATAGTACTGTGGTGACACAACCTGGCGACCGTATTAAATTATTGGCTGTCTTTTCAATACATCGTCCCATCAAGGTAAGGATCCGGACTAGTATAGCTTACATGTCTAAGGAATGTATGGCGGAGCCCGAGCATTGCGGCTGGGGGCAAAACCACTATTGTGCTCGGCAAATGCAAACGCTTCACGCAGCCGAAACGGTCTTCGACCCTTCCTCCCACACGGGACCACTGGGTCCGCCCTTGCGGGAATGGTGATTTGAGGCCAGCCGAATGTACCTATCGGGAGGCAATTTCGGACGGCTGGTTGGACGGTTCATTTGAAGCGCAGAATCAAATTCTGGCGGCAAGAGAGTTTTCACCACTCCGGGGTATGCATATGGCCTCACCACGGCCACTGCTCGTAACTTGCGGCACCAATATCTTTCCGTTTGATTTAATGGGAGGCGGGTCATAATCTGAGGCAATTTTCCCTTGGGATTGAATGTCGGTTCTTCCCTTCTGTACTCCCTATATGAAGTGGGGAATCCACGTGGATTGTTAGTCTTGCTTTTAGCAGTAGATAATTACCGGAGTGAAGCCCGGAATCCGGATATAATTATCAAGGCTCTGCACCCCAAATCCTGAAAATCATTTTTGCCGTTTATCGGTCTCTTCTAATTAGCTTGTATAACTTTGCCGCAAGCGACAGCCTTTGCAGAGATCTGAAACCACATGGTATTGGCACATGCTATCAGCTCTACTACTTAAAACTTCTTTTTCCACCTATATTGTCGCGCGGGACATTCAATTGGAAGGCACGTAGCAGTTTGCTACAGAATCATCGATCGTCATGCCGGTAATGCAGGCCAAAACGCCCTTGGAGGTTGTCATTGTTGGGTAAGTCTGCAGGTTCGGCAGGCACTTCGTTGGCTAACTCCAATGCCGCAGAGCCGGTACGCACTGTACAATTCACCATTTGCAAATAGAATCATGATTAACCAGTCTAGGAATTGGTGGCGTGGCTGCCGCCCTGACTCTGGGCTTGCGAGGACACCATATCATAATTCTTGAATCGGCTCCCAAGGTACGCAGATTCCCGTTAATACAGATCTTGATCAAAGTACTGATAGATTCGTACAGCTCATGGAGGTTGGTGCAGGTATCCAAGTTTCCCCGAATATGTTAAAGCTTTTTGACCGTGAGTAATCAGTGGCGATAGCGTAGCAAACATGGTTCTAACAAACCTCAGGATGGAATGTATCGCAATTAATTCATGCAAACGATGTGCCACTGGAGAATATCCATATACGGCGATGGGAAGACGGAAGTCTTCTTGGTACCATGCCGGTGAATAAAACCTACGGCCAGCAGGTGGTTATTCATCGCGCGGATCTCCATAAGGCTCTGCTTGAGAAGGCTCTGGAATTAACGAACGTGGAATTACGCGAAAACTCGCACGTAACAAACGTCGATTTCGATTCCACATCAGTGAAGCTAGCCAACGGCAATGTTGTTGAAGCTGATATTATCATTGCAGCCGACGGAATCAAGTCTACAATTCGTGATCAGTTACTGGGTGGAGACACCACCAAACCAATTGCAACAGGAGATGCAGCATACCGGATTATGCTCCCAAAGAGTGTGATGGAGAATGATCCTGAATTGAAGAAGCTGGTAGTAACGCCAGATGCTACACGGTGGCTCGGCCCTCAACGCCACTTGGTTGCTTATCCTGTCCGGGGCCATGACCTCTTCAACGTTGTCCTTCTTCATCCTGATCGTCACGGAATAGAGGAGTCTTGGACCACAAAGGGCTCAAAGCAGAGAATGGTCGACGACTACGAAGGCTGGGATCCAGTAGTCCGCAAACTGATTGGTTTGGTTCCCGATGATGAGGTGTTGGAGTGGAAGCTGTGCCTGCATCCGCCACTGAACACATGGATTCAGGGATCCGTCGCACTAATTGGTGATGCTTGCCATCCAATGCTGTAAGTATTGTTCCCTCAGCACATCACATTAGGAGAGGCTCACCAATTTTCCAACTTCACAGACCGTACGTTGCCCAAGGTGCTGCTCAAGCAGTGGAGGACGCGGCTGCATTGGGCGTGCTGTTATCCGAAATCACATCGAAGAGTGAGGTCCCTCTCGCACTTGAAGCGTACCAAAAGTCTCGCAAGGAGCGCGCGGAAACAGTCCAGCAGTCTGGGTCACTGAACCGGATCACCCTGCATCTGCCAGATGGCCCAGAGCAAAAAGCACGGGACGAACAATTCCGAGATTCGCTGAAGGGCGGTGCGAACCCAGACAAGTGGGCAGATAGAAAAACACAAGAGTTTCTGTGGGGATGGGATGCAGAGAGGGCAGCATTGGCGACGTGGGAGGGTGAGTTTTGTGTTCTTCGAGGGTGAAGGGGCAAGCACTAATTCCTCGCTAGAGCTCCACGGACGCGCCTTTTCACCAACCCAGCATCGTCTGTGATTTGGGCATTTCTGCCGGTTACTACATTACGTTTCTTAAGCACTTGGCATGGCGTCTGCATATCATGAGCTATTTGTATATTGAAGGATAGATTTGTATGTTCATTTACGGTTGGTACCCATTCTAAATGAGACAGTAGATGATAAACATGTTCCATGACTCCGCCGTCTACAGACAGTCTATCTAAAGTCCCGACGGCATTTGGGATCTCCAGTTGTCTATGTCTTTTGCAAGCCCCCTTAAATCTTACCAGACCTTTTCCTAAGATATGGGCCGCCGCCGCGCGAAGAGAACCCCCATCTGATCTGGTTAGCCATAGAGATTTCCACACCCAGCTCCTCAGCAAATGTCCAGACTAATCCTGGGTTCTTCTGGAATCCTCTGCCAACTAGCGCAATATCTAAGCCGTCTTTCTCGAGTAGTGTATTTGCTAGATGGCCGCTGTCGATCATTCCAACCGTCCCAACAATCAACTTGTCACCCACTGCCTTCTTCACAGCAACAGCGAACGGTGCCTGGAAGCCAGGCTTGGATTGAACTTTCTGGGATGAATGAGTCCCACCGCTGCTAACATCAAGGACATCGACATTGCCACTCTCTGCTAGAGCTTGAGCGAATTTGACTGTGTCTTCTAATCGCCAACTTGGTTGATCAGGCTGTGCTTCCTCTAACCAATCGGTAGCCGACACCCGCAAAAAGACGGGTAGATGTTCTGGAACAGCCTCCCTGGTCAGTTTCGCAATTTCGAGGCTGAGGCGGATACGGTTCTCGAAGCTCCCGCCGTATTCGTCTGTTCTGGTATTGACGGCAGGCGAGAGAAAAGACATAAGGAGATAGCCGTGCGCGTTGTGGATCTCAACGAAATCCGCACCAGCGCGAACCGCCCGTTTGACGGCGGCCACCCACGAGACCTTGAGATCCTCGATATCATCCTTGGTCATTTGCTTCGGAGTAGGGTATCGCGATGCAAATGGGACGCCAGTTGGGCCTTTAACACGGTCTGGCCAGCCTCCAACCTTCTCGGTTGCAATGTCGCCGAAAGACAGCCACGGAGGAACAGTACTAGCCTTTCGGCCGGCGTGCGCAATCTGGACTCCGATAATCTGGTTTTGACTGTGCGCAAATTCAATGACATCCTTCATCGGCTTGATCTGCGAGTCTTTCCAGAGACCGAGGTCCTGCGGTGTGATGCGACCTTCTGGCTCGACGGCGGTCGCCTCTACCATGAGAAAACCGGGCCCGCGCTGGGCAATTCCTCCCAAATGGGCCATGTGCCATGCGGTCATATGGCCATCGTCTGCGGAGTATTGACACAACGGCGACAGCTATGAATGCGATTCAATTGTCAGCGACTTGTTACCTATATTGGCGCTTGTGTAATATTTGCACGGCAGGTGAACAGGCCAACTGGGAGTAAAGGACAAAGATAAGAGGGCGACGAACTCCAATACGGTTGTGTAAGGTAAGACCCCTCACTTTGAGAGGCCGAAACAGCTTTGGAATCTGCGCTTCATCTGACTGCGGGTCGGCAGCAGTTCCTGCGGGGGGCTCTTGGGCTGGGGTGAAGTAAGAGATGCCAGAGGCAGGTTTGACATCAATATCGGGTACTTGCTTCGAAGCCATGGTCAAAATTTGAGCTTGGGCGGGAATTGTAGGTCAATTGCACTGAGATGCCCAGAAGAGGGGTTTCGGGGTTATATGCGACGAGCGGCTTAGAAATCATGGCGAGTTGGTGATGTCAAGCCTCGGTAGAGTGGATGCAACGGCGAGATGGGCGCTCTATGTTTCCGGCATATTGTATAGTTTCGGAGCATCTGTTTCTCCCTTCTCTCACACAGCAAGGGCAAATCGCTATACAGAAGGGCTGCCATCAGAAAGTAACTGCAAGCGAGGTGCAGACCGCTTCTTCTTGCGAAGGCATTGTGCCTCTCTTCATCCCGTATCCACCGATTTTGCAGGATGCAACCGAAGACATAAAGGCGGTTTCTGGGACATTCTCTCCAGATACATAAATCAACGACAGGCCAGCCGGAGCTTCAAATTTCTGCCCTGGAGCAAGTGCATGGTGAGGCTTTTGGGAGGAGGATCGACGCTTATCTGCGCCAAGGAGCTAACGTGACGATTGATAGCGAGTTCGGAGACGCGCCTCCACTCCGTGGTCCGCATCCCGCCAAAACTTTTTCCTTGGGGTGACTCAACGCTCCGACCTTAATATTTCCCCCCTCCTTCCATTCTCCATTCCAATTCTCAATTCTCCCCGTTAACTGTACTACACCATAAAAAATGGGCAAAGGAAAGATCTGTGTCGCCTTCAGCGGTGGTCTCGACACCAGCATTATCTGTTAGCCTTCTCCGGTCTCCCCCAATGCTTCCCCACGTGCTCCGGCTGATCCAAAATGCACAGTGAAATGGCTCATCGATGAGGGCTACGAGGTGGTCGCTTTCAGTGAGTATCTCTTTCAATTGATGTTTTGACTCTCTATTTCGATACTAATGGTATCCCAGCTGCCGATGTTGGTCAAGAAGGTAACGCGATCTTCGTGAATTAACCCCCACCGCTACTTGCGCTCTGACACCCCGCCCTAGAGGACTTCGACGCTATCAAGGAGAAGGCTCTGAAGCTTGGTGCCGTCAAGGCTGAAGTTGTCGACCTCCGCCGTATGTATCTTCCGATCAATTACTGAACCAATGGGGAATTGAGGTTAACGGTATTGGTATACAGGGGAGTTCGTCGAGGAGCTATGCTTCCCCGCCATTGCTTGCAACGCCATCTACGAGAACGTCTATCTCTTGGGTACCTCTCTGGCTCGCCCAGTTATCGCCCGTGCCCAGATCGATGTCGCTAAGGTTCGTCTCATCCGTGTTCGAAAACCAGTATTTGAACACAAGCTTACTTTACCCGCGTGTTGAATAGAGGGAAGGATGCTTTGCTGTCTCCCACGGCTGCACCGGCAAGGGTAACGACCAGGTTCGTTTTGAACTCGCCTTCTACGCCCTTCAGCCCGACATCAAGGTCATTGCTCCTTGGCGTGACCCGGTCTTCTACGAGCGCTTCGCCGGTCGTAACGATCTCCTTGCCTACGCCGCTGAGAAGGGTATCCCTGTGACTTCCACTAAGTCTAAGCCCTGGAGTATGGATGAGAACCTGGCCCACTGCTCTTATGAGGCTGGTATCCTTGAGGACCCCGACATTACTCCTCCCACCGACATGTGGAAGCTCACCGTGGACCCCCTCTCTGCCCCTGACAAGCCCGAGGACTTCACCGTGCACTTCGAGAAGGGTCTTCCCGTCAAGCTTGAGTACACCGAGAACGGCGAGCAGAAGACCGCCACCGACGCTGTTGACCTTTTCTTGACTGCCAACACAATTGCCCGCCGCAACGGTATTGGCCGTATTGATATTGTGAGCCCGCCTTGACTATTTGTGGTAGGCTTATCATGATGCTAACGCTGAATAGGTCGAGAACCGTTTCATTGGTATCAAGTCTCGCGGTTGCTACGAGACCCCTGGTCTTACCTGCCTCCGCTCCGCACACGTGTATGAACGACCTCTCCTTTCACTCGATCATTACGTTAACTGACCCTTTCTAGTGACCTTGAGGGTCTTGTGCTCGACCGTGAGGTCCGTGCTCTGCGTGACCAGTTCATCACTGTCAACTACTCCAAGGTTTGTGCAACTTTCACCTTTCAACACTCTCGCGCTGCTTACATTCTGTGATAGATCCTCTACAACGGTCTCTACTTCTCCCCCGAGCGTGAGTTCCTTGAGCAGTCCATCCCGGCCTCCCAAAAGTCCGTTAACGGCAAGGTCCGCTGCCGCGCCTACAAGGGTAACATGATCATCCTTGGCCGCTCCTCCGAGACTGAGAAGCTGTACGACATGTCCGAATCCAGCATGGACGAGATCGGCGACTTCGCTCCCACCGAGACCACTGGCTTCATTGGCGTGTCCGCCATCCGTCTGAAGAAGTACGGCCAGATGAAGCAGGCCGCTGGCGAGAAGATGTAAGATGTGATATCGCTGGTACGAATTACGATTGTGAACTGAAAAGCGCCTTCGGGGAAGGTTTGTGTGCGATTTATGGGTTTTGTATGGCAAGTGTTTTAGAATACCTATGTGTAATGAAATAGAAAAGTGATATGGACATGCGTCACCTTGGCCTCGACAGTTTCAACCGACGTCTCCCAGTGCTGCCCCACTGAGCTTCCCCAAGCTTACCTAGGTCCGCAGTATGGATGGCGATCGAAGCTACCCAAGTAGGAACCCCCTCAGAAGCGATCTGATCTCTCGGGGTCGGATAGAAATCCTCCCGACGGGCCCTAGAACGTCGAGCGGCCAGTCCAATCAGCGCGGGTCATTTCAAACCTTCTGCCTGCGCCAAATTCTGTCCTGGGTGCCGTGCACGCCCACATTTCAACACCCTTGGAATCTGACTGTTGGGCTTGGCCGCGGCATCCTTTCCTTGGGCCTATTTATACATGGGCCTCATCTACTATGTTACCTTTGTCTTACCACGTGGTCTTTACGAACACCTTCACTTGGTTCTTTGATTGACCATATCTCTTAATCAACGTTTAATCTGCGTCTGGTTTCCCAATTCAACATGGTCCAAATACCGTGGGGAGTGCTCTATATGGGCATCGCAGGATACGCATTTCTAAAATCCAGCTTCGCAACCTTTTTCATTCTTTCTGGCGCTCTTACTATCTTCGCGTTGTTCTACAACTCATTCCTGTATCCGGAATATTTAACGCCAATTAGACACATTCCCACGCCCACCGTGAGTGCCATCTATTGCCTTGCAGGTCCTTCAACAGCTAATTAAGACCCAACAGAGCCGGTCATGGCTTAAGGGCAATACCGACACATACGTTCTGCAAACCCCCTTTGAGGACTTGCTCAAATGGTCTCAATCCGTTCCCCATAACGGTCTCCTGAGATACTACGTAGCAGGAAATATGGAACGAGTACTTGTGGCGTCACCAAAGGCTCTGAGTGAGCTTCTCGTACAGAATGTATACGAGTTCCCAAAACCAGAATTTATGCGTCGCGCATTGGCCCGTATCACTGGTAACCATGGTATACTACTTGTGGAGGGTCTTGAACATAAGGTCAGTGCTTTCAGTCTGCCATCCCGCTGGACATTCAACTGAGTCTCCCACCAGAGGCATCGAAAGAACCTCATGCCTGCTTTCTCCTACCGCCATATAAAGGATTTATATCCCCACTTTTGGCTCAAGAGCGTGGAGATGGTGAAGCGCATTGAAATGGTCTTACAGGCTCCCTCTAAATGCGATAATGTTGTCGAAATAAGACCCTGGGCGAGTCGAGCCACCTTGGATATCATAGGGCTTGCGGGCATGAGCCGAGATTTTGGCTCTCTAGCCGATCCGAACAATGAGCTTGCTGGACAATACCACCGAGTCCTTAAAGAGCCTCCGCTCTGGCTAAAACTTCTGTTCGTCGTTGGCTTTGCTCTGGGAAATCCGACCGCCATCCACAAGCTTCCAATAGAACGCAATAGGGAGATATTAGAAGGAAGAGAGTATATTCGAAAGGTAGCACAGGAACTCATTAGCCAAAAGAGAGAGATGGTCAAGCACAACCCAGAGGAGGCAGAGAGCGGGAAAGACATCCTTTCAGTGGCTTTGAATAGCGGAACGTTCACTGATGAAGAGCTCATTGACCAAATGATGACATTCCTCGCCGCTGGTCATGAAACAACGTCGACAGCGTTACAATGGTCAGTCTACGCGCTTTGTAAGCACCCAGCTGTCCAAACTCGGCTGCGCGAAGAAATCCGCTCCAATCTTCCTCCCATCTCGGTGGACGAGACCACCGAGCCTATCACGGCGACTATGCTGGATTCACTCCCATATCTCCATGCATTCTGCAACGAAGTCCTCCGCTTCCACCCCTCTGTACCTCTTACTTTCCGGACTACTGCTCAAGATACAACGCTTGTCGGGATCCAAGTTCCCAAGGGCACCAACTTGTCTATCTCTCCTGAAGTCGTCAACCATCACCCTGACCTGTGGGGGCCCGACGCTGACAAGTTTGACCCAGAGCGGTGGATGGGTCCAGGCAGGGCAAACAATGGTGGGGCGACCAGCAACTATGCACTTATGACTTTCCTCCACGGGGCCCGAAGCTGCATCGGCCAGGGATTCGCAAAGGCTGAGCTGGCTTGTCTGGTTTCTGCGATGGTGGGCCGTTTCCACATGGAACTGAAAGACCCGGATGCTGAGCTTGTGATCAAACGAAGCGCAACAGTCTCACCCGCGGACGGTGTACTTGCAAAACTAACTCCTCTTCCCGGGTGGTAATTCCTAAATGTCCATACCGGCTGCGGATAGCTATATAGTTGTATATAAAGTTATTTTCTTCGCTTCTTGTCAGCAAATGGTTATACTAAGGGGCTAACCAAATCAACATTGGATCTATATTTGTGATTCTTTTGGCCTACTAATCTGGAACTGTATATACTCAACCTAAGAGCTATACATGGCAGCGACCTAATCTGGTTTATATAAAGGGAGTACTAAGGGGCCGACCCTCTTAGAACTGCTCATCTAACAAACTATCAAGCAATTAGCATCCCCCAAATATTCTTTGAACTAGAAGAACTTACTCCCAATAACCCCATTAACCGGGATATCGATACTCGTAGTATAGCTCGCCGCATCACTAAGCAAGTACACATACGCACCGCCCAGCTCTTGCACCTGCGCCAGTCTCGGGATTCCTCCATAGTACTTCAACTGCTGCTCCCAGTCCGGCTGCTGCGGTACCCAATACGTCATGGCCGTCTGCACAAGGCCAGGCGAGACACTGTTCACTCGGATCCCATACTGTGCCCATTCCATGGCAAGCGTGTGGGTCATATTCCGGATACCGGCTTTTGAAGCACCATAAGGTGCCGATGGAACCCTCTATATACAAGTCAGTTGTCATCAAGTGATCTGTACTAGATTCCCGCCACGGTAGGTAGATTTGGTGGTTTGCATACCTTGTTAGGCCTATAACTGGCCATACTCGCCGTAAAAACAATACTCCCTTTGATACCTAACCTAATAAACGCCTTGGCCGCCGCGCGAGCTGTAAAGAACGACCCGAACAGGTTCACGTTGAATAACGTCTCAATCTCCTCCTTGGTGAAATCCAGCGCTGCCTTATGGTGCGTTCGCCCGGCGTTCACCACCATCCCGTGTAAGCCACCAGCTTCAGAAATGATGTTGTCGATGGCTGCGATGATGGTTTCTTCTTGCGTCACATCAGCGGTTATGGAGTGGAGTTTTCCCGGGAAGCGTTTGGAGAGGGAATTGAAGTCGTCTCCGGGGTTGCCGATGTCGATTGAGTAGACGTGTGATGCGCCATTTGTGAGGCAGGATTCGGCGATTCCTAGGCCTATGCCGCGGTTTGCGCCCGTGACTGGGGTTGTTAGATGGTATTACTGTGGGTGCTGGAAGCGTGAGCTTACTGGCGATAACCTTGGAGGCGAGCGTCAGTTGAGTTTGGGGAGCGTCGCCTGAGGCGTTCTCTGCGTGTTCTGTGGTTGCGGACATATTGGTGGGTGAGGTAACGGAAGATGACATTTGATGGGTTGTTTGGAGGGGTCAAGAGGTTATAACAGTGTGAGCCTAGTTACATATATGGAATAGCTATTAATTTGACCAGGAATAATGCACGTTGCTGTGGACTGCCTGCATATCATAACGAGTAAGACTGTTCATCCCATCTGTACACTGCCCCCGAAACGAGCTCTCGGATGATCAATTGGAGAGAGTGGAGACTGTGATCCCTCGAGTCGAGGGTAACCCCGACTTCTTCATGAAGAGGACAAATAGGATGGGATGACGCACCCGCTTCAGAAGCTGGGTTTCCAAGGTTCCAGTTATTTGCCCCTCTTATTCTTGAGCGAGCCGTAATGGGCCTTCCAGCTTGGAACATCCTCCGTGGTAAAGCCGCCGCTATCACGGGTGGCACAACGGGAATTGGTCGCGCAATCGCCCTCGAATACATCAGGCGGACAGGTAGGGATGCATGTTGCGATAAACCATTTTGGGTCGGTCAAAAGATGAACATCTTCGTCACAGCCTTCGGGGAGAGGTAGAATCACTACATAAGAATGGGACGTACTCTGCTGGGCAAGTCCTAGAGATTGCAGGCGACGTAACAAACCCCGAACTCCGCTTCGGAGGATGTGAAGCGCTGGGGAAAGCTGGATGCTGTTGTCTTCAATGCAGTGTTTCCAGTTTTAGACTGGCTGAACTTCTCTGGTACGCATCATTCTCACATCCATTAGTGCACTGGACAAATGCAACAGCATTCTAACTTTCAATTTCAGAATCGAACCCTCCCCTCTAAACCAGAGTATAGACGTCAATGCCAGTCACACTTTCCCCATGCCAGGCTGCAGCACGCCAAATAGCTAAACAAGGCCAGGGCGGTTCCATAACCAGCATCTCGTCCGTGAGCGCCCTCGGGGGTGGTGGACTCCAGACACACTATATTCCAACAAAGGCAGCGAAGAAGGTGTATCTAGAGGCGCGGATTCCTTTAGGGAGGGTCGGTGATCCAGAAGATATAGTTGGGACGGCGGTGTTTCTGGCATCTGAAAAGATGAGTCGCTATGTTAATGGATCGGGGTTATTGGCAAAGGGAGGGATGTTTAGCAACTTTCAGTAATTTCCTACAGTAGCTAAGGCTTTCCGCGATTATCTGGATACAATTCCGTAAATAAAATCATGATAAGTCTGTCAAATAAATGTTGAGGGCATAAATAAGTGCAAATCTGAGCTAGTAAGCAATCGATGTGACGCAGGGACAGTCTTCCCCATTGCCAAGCAGTCATCCGCAGCTCTTCTCCACGTTCTCTCTCGATCCGATTCTCTTTCTCCTCTTTCTCATTCTCGACACTGCCAGTTAATCACCAATAAACACGGCGGCCCCCTTTACGGAATGGCGTGCGACACGCCAGTGCGACTATCTCGAGGCCGAAAATCCCGAGGTCGCGGTCTCCGCACCAACACTGGCTGGTATGCAATCACTGACTACTTCGTTATTTCATCTAGCCATTATCCATATGTTCATAGCTGAGACACAATTATAGTGTGACATGCCGAAAACGACACCTGAAATGTGATGAAATTAAGCCCGTCTGTGGCCCATGCGGTAGGGTCAGCCGACAATGCAGCTACTCTCAGCCCTCAAGCCAACGCGATTCAATTGAACATGTCGAACAATCCGTCGATAATGAAGCAACCGAAGAGACTTCCACGGACTTAAACAACTCTTCTGCGGCCTACTTTTCGTCTATGCCCGAAGCCCACACTGGCAATTCGCCGAGCACATCATCTCCCCATGAACAACAGAATTCCAGTGTTCTCTCATGGACAACGAGCCACAGCCAACCCCCACTTCATCCGCTCGATCAATTGGCGGCTATTGTGGCAATTGATCACACGACATCACCATTTGGCAATGGTCTCACAGCGCCACAATACCCTTCAGACATTCCACATTCGGTGACGAGCTCCATTGAGTCCCCGGGACCAACTATAAACGCGGCAACTGTGAGATGGTTTGACCTGCTTGCTAGTGATGCTGTTAGGGAAAGTCCGCAAATATCAAGCGCCATTGGAGGTTATGGGCAGGATATACTTGAAGAAACAGATGCATCCCATATAACACCTTTACAGCGCGCCACCCGAATAGTGGATCGAACTCACATCGAAGAGGAAGAGCTACGGCCAGGCTTAAGCGCAGAACAGTCTACACCAAATCTCAATTCTCATGCCGTCAACTCACCTGCGAGTATACACCATGAGGAGAGGCTATGGCAATCACAAGAACAAATCCAACTTCTCCCACATGAGTACTCCTTGTTTGAGAACTTTGTACAACGGGTCAGCCCATGGATTGATCTTTTCGATCCAACTAACAAATTCTCTACATTTGTGCCTCACCTTGCGGTATGACTTCCCGCCAACTTTGTTCTGACAACAGCTTATAACGTTATCAAGATGCGCAATGCTGGCCTTCTGAATGCAATCCTAGCCCTTTCCTCCCGTCACCTCTCGATTAACCCAGAGCGACCCTCGCATGACCATCCCCACCGGGAAGTCTCACTCCAGTACTATTATCAAACACTTCACTACGTCCAGAAAGCTATGCAATATTCGAGTTACAAAACCAGTCTAGAGCTCCTTGCTACAACATTAATTATATCCACCTACGAAATGCTAGACGATTCAAGCCAAGACTGGCAGCGGCATTTAGAAGGTGTTTTCCTTATCCAGCGTTCGCAAGTGATACATGGTGATTCCGGGGGGTTGAAAGCGGCTGTATGGTGGGCATGGCTCTGCCAGGACGTGTGGGCAGCATTTCGAGAAAGGCGGAAAACCCTGACCTTCTGGGTTCCAAAAAAGACGTATGCAGACCTCTCGCCGTCTGAGATTGCTGCTCGCTCAATGTTTGTTCTCGCAAAAGTCATCAACTACTGTTCTCGGGAGGAATCCATTCTCGCAGAGATCAATCTACAAGCTAGAGTTGATAAGGCGAAGAATCTGCGTTCTATGCTTGATGAGTGGTGGAGTCATCTAACTGTCGAGTTTTCTCCTCTCCCAGCCATGACCCCCAGCTCATCTGCAACCTTTCGACCCATATGGATTCGGACTCCGGCGTTTGGTAAGTTTAAAATCCTGGCTATATCGTCTCTAGCGTGTATATTGCTCTCTGTATAGCCCAATACTGTTGATCCATCATTCAACTGCTGGACTAGCATCGGATGAACAATTGCTCCAGACTTCGTTTACTCTTGCTAACCTTCAAAGCTGTCGCCGTTCAACTACATTGTGTGGCCCATATTCTTATCTTCTCACATGAACCATATGTTGGTGGATTGGATAGCTATCTCGAGCAGCAGACGAGAGTTCGGCAATGCGTAGAAATCATCTGTGGCATTGCCATGACATTAAAGGACGATGCATCTAGCGTGCTATCATCACAATGTCTATTTATAGGTAATTTTATACTCTGGCAAAGTTTTCTCATGCTCACATTACTAGCCGGAATGTTTACCCAAGGCAGCCGCTCCCGTGAATGCGTGCTGGACCTCCTCGAATTATGCCGGCAACGGACCGGCTGGCCAGTTCAGTCCTTTGGAGATGAGCTGAAACAACTATGGATGGCCCACGAGAGTCCAAAACCAAATGAGACTGAGGCATACACAAACATACTCTGGAATCGCCATTAGTTCATTGTTTTTGCTATCGATCAGGGTCTACGCTTGGCCCGCAGAGCCGCAAATCTCCATCCACCTTATCGTCGTCTGGACCACCTTCTCAATGCCCTCCTCGATTAGCTGTGTATGCGGCATCTTCCCAGCGCTCGCATAAAGGTGCGCGTAGTATTCATCCAGGACAAGCTTGTTGACGTTGATCTTGCTGACACCAGCAGCGATGCATTTCTTCATCAGATCAGGCTCATAGTCGTTCGTCCCGTGCAATACTAATCGAACCCTGCCGTTCACCTGCCCTCGAATGTTGTCGAACCTATGTTCTACGTTAGCAGCTAAGTTCAAAGCTAATATCACGGGATTCCCGGACCCCATACCTCTGAAAATCCAATTGAGGGCCTTGCGGACCGTATTCACCGTGGACATTCCCGAATGCGGGAGCCAATGCATCAACCCCAGTTCCAACAAACTCATCAACTTCCTCTGGGGTAGTCATGCAAGCTTCTAAACCGGCCGTGTCCATTACTCCGTCCTCTCCACCCTCAATGCGGCCTGGTTCCGCTTCAGTGGCAATTTGTCGCTCATTGCAGTGCCGCACCCACTGTGCCGTTTTGCGCAAATTGTCCTCTTTTTCGTGATGCGACATATCCACCATAATGCTGTCGAATGGCAGCTCAGCAGCCTGTCGAATCAGGTCCTCTGACTGTGCGTGGTCCAAATGAATAGAAATGGGAACGTCGGCACGTTTAGCCGCATCCGCAGCTGCGCGCACGAGGGTCCCATCAAAAGCCTCAATAGCCCATGGAAAGAATTGGATGATGAGGGGCGAGCGCGCAGTTGTAGCAGCTTTTATCAGGCCATGGACCTGCTCGATATTGTATGCAATGGCCGCTATCACACCGTAGCGGCCGGCCTCGGCATTGCGTAGGATGCTGAGGTGCGTGTTCGTTTCTTTCCAGTCGGCCATGGTCTATTCTTTTTCCCGCGCTCAAATTCGTCAATGAGAAATAATCGATAATTTATGCGCATCAAATATGAGGTCTTCGCGCCGATATTTAAGAGTCTGTTCTTGCCGGAGCCTCGTCTCGGGGCCATCCATAGCCTCCACAGCGGGGATTGCCCCACGAAAAGGCCGCGACTCGCGCCGCAACCACCCTATAAACAGCCATCAGAATGACATTACCTTACTCGATCGATAAGCAGCAGCAAAACGACATGCCACCTACAACGCCATTCCTCATACACGATGACAGGTTCCGGGCAATCCTCGGCGAAAGTCCGACTCTAGACCTTCTCGCCGATAATGAGGCGTACCCTTTCGCCCACGAAGCGGGCGTGTTCCTCCCGTCGCGCAACGAGCTCTACATAACGAGTAACCGCATCAATGATCCAACCGATAGCCAGCGGGTACAGATAACCAGAGTCGTCCTAGAAAAGGACAATCCCTCAGCGCCAGTAACATGCGATGAGCTCTCCCTTCCGGTCCCCATGGCCAACGGAGGGGTCAACTACAAGGATGGCGTCCTCATCTGTGCACAGGGGACGATGGATGAGCCTAGCGGGCAGTACCATGTGCAGACATCGCCGCCGTACAAGACTAGCATAATGAAGACTGACTTCTACGGCCGCCCTTTTAATTCAGTCAATGACGTTGTCGTCCACAGCGATGGGACTATCTGGTTCACCGACCCGACCTATGGCTATGAGCAAAGGTATCGACCAGCTCCACGCCTACCGAGCCAGGTCTACCGGTATAATCCCGATAATGGGAGTATTCGCGCCATGGCAGATGGCTTTGGGAAACCGAACGGTATATGTTTCTCGCCGGACGAAAAGGTAGTCTATGTAACCGATACGGACTGGATGCGTGGTGATGGGACTACGGACGACACGCGGGTATCATCGATGTAAGGTCAACCCCTGTCACATTTCACCTTCATATCACCGAATGTAGAAGTAGCTAATAGCAGAGCAGCTACGCATTCGATGTCATCACACGCCACGACCAGCCCTTTTTAGCCAACCGCCGGCTATTCGCAATGGCGGATAACGGAATCCCAGACGGCATCAAATGTGACCTTGATGGGAACGTGTACAGCGGTTGTGGGGATGGAGTCAACGTCTGGTCTCCCGGGGGCGAGCTCCTAGGACGGATATTGCTGGAAGGAGGCGTTGCCAACTTCTGTTTTGGCAGAGATGGGGAGATATTCCTTTTGAATGAGAATCGGTTGTGGAGGGCGAAGCTGAATGGGGGTGTGAAAGGGGCACTTCTTGGTCTTTAGATTATCTCAAGTATCGCTAGAGGAAAGCTGGCAAGGTCCCCAGGGAATAAACTTATCTTGATGCGTAAAGTTGTTTTTCTCACAAGGTTGATGCCATCTATGAGCGACATCAGGCCATTATAACCTATTATATCCTCCCCTCTCAGGGAAAAGAAAAAGTTGGAGAGCGAACGCACAGTAATTGCCAGGCACACACCTACGCTAATGCTGTCAACCTTGATGGAAATGGCGACCATCTCTGACCTGATGAGACTTTCCTAACTCTCATCCTATCTCCACTTCATGTGCTGCTAGCATTTCAATTAATCGTCTCCCATTCACTTTCATCTAAATCTATGCATGATACACCAGCTAATCGAAAACAATGGCGGCTTTGATCACCCTTTTCGTCCTCATCGCATCCAGGCACTCTTCCCATTGCTCTACGCCAAACGTCTGGTTGACAATTCCAGAAACACGAATCTTGCCCGTTTCTAAATTCAAGTCAGTGAGTATTCTGGCCTCACATCTAAACGCAGAGGACTTACCGAGATAGTCGATTGCAGCAGGGAATTTATGCATCTCGCTGAACGACCCAAGAACTTGGATCTCGTCCTTGAAGATTCTATTCGGTGGCAGTGAGATTCGATCATCGTCCTTATAAACTCCGTAAACGACCAGTTTCCCGCCCTTTCGAACAAAGTCCAAGGCCCGTTCCAAGACTCTAGCACTGCCCGTCGCTTCGACCACGATATCGAATCCGTACGGATTATCCTCGTACAGCTTCTTGAGGACCACCTCCGAAGCTGCCTTGTCTCGTGGAAGATCTATATACTCGTCTGCAGCATCGAGAGACCTTGCAAGTGCCATCTTGACCCCCTCTGGTGCGGCCACAACAACATTGCATCCTCCGTTCTGTCGCAGTAGCTGCGCAAGAACTAAACCAGTCGGTCCAGCTCCAAATAACAGTACCTTCGAACCCATGTGCGGGGCGATTTTATCGATCCCGTGCGCTGCGCAGGCTGCTGGCTCGATCAGAGTAGCATCTACATCCGATATTCCTTTGAAGGGGAATACTCTCTTTGCTGGGTAAGCGGCGTATTCGGCAAAGCCTCCATCAACCATGACGCCGTGAGCAACAAAATTCTCGCAAAAGAGCTCGCTGCCCCGACGACAATGAAAGCACTCCCCGCATAGTTCTGAGTTGTCTGCCACCACTCGATCACCGACAGCGAAGCCCTTCACTTTCGAGCCAAATGCTGCGACCACGCCGACCGTTTCGTGTCCAGGGACTACCGGAAACTATCACTCACATTAGATCCTAGTCCAGAAATGGTGGTTACCTTGCCTACCTGCGCTCCGAATTCCCCGTCGTGGATATGTAAATCGGTTCCGCAGACGCCGCACGCTTTTACCTTGATCTATTTCCAGTCGTTAACTCAGCTCAACTTCTCCATCGATGAATCAAATACTCCAGTACCAATAAGTCGTGGTCTCTTATCTCGGGTAGAGGCTTTTCAACCACGCGCGGGTTCCTGGGCGCAGAGTACTCTGCCCAGACAAGTCAATGTCTTCATATCTAACTGAAACTGACTTATCCGAGCTAACATACCCAGTGCTTTCATTTTTTGTGGAAGATTGAAGGCGTCCATTTTGTGAGTACTGATGCTTTCCAACGTATGTGAAGAATAGACTCGAGAAAGGATCAAGAGGGAGACTAAAATCTACTCCATATACCGCGGTGTCTCTAGCCGAGGACTGCACCAAACAAGCCTCCATCTCTTGCAGTACTCGAGACGAGCATTCCGAGTCGACAGAGAGCTCCAACATCCGATATTTTGGAGACTGACTGGCTTCCCCGGATAGTTGGAGCACCGTGCTCACTTCATGAGTCAGGTTTCATCTCCTCCGTCCAATCAGTGGCAACAATAACAGGTCTGCTCGTCTCGGGGGAGGGCGATCAAACTCTTTGTATGATCCTGGGCATAGGATCCTTATGTTCCGGAAATCAGAAAATGATGCGTTCCGGGTGTCACCTCACATGCGCAGTGTTTATTCCGTCCCCGTGGGGTAAGCTGAACGCATGGCAATTTCCGGATATAGTGCCATGCAACTGTGGAGCCGACATATAAAAGCGTCTGTACTCGCCATTTCTCAACCGAAGTACAGAATACGGTCCAGTCAGCCGTTCTGTCTTTTGATTATCCGTCGACTATGGGATTTCTTGGACACCTAATGCCCCCGGGGCGCCTCCGGGGGACATCGCTAACCCTCTGGTTTGCTATCGGATGTGGTGCCGATATGGCCCTGTATGGTTACGACCAGGTGTGTACATTGCTCAATGTTACCATTGACAAATATTAACACTTGTTCAGGGTGTCTTTGGCGGTGTCGTTATCTCCCCAGACTACCTCCACGTGCACGACCTGGAAGGTCCTTCGAAGACAAGTATACTCAGTACGGTGACTGCTATTTACAACGTGGGCTGCTTCCTGGGTGCTGTTAGCGCTACATGGATCGGAGGGAAATTGGGACGCAAAAGATCTGTTCTCCTCGGAATCGCTATCATGACCATTGGGGCAATTCTTCAGACTACCTCCTATGGCGTTCCACAGATGATAGTCGGGCGAATTGTTTCCGGTATTGGAAACGGCATTAACTCCTCCACTGTTCCTGTCTGGCAGACAGAGACGGCCCCTGCTAGATTGAAAGGAAAGCTTGTCATTCTGCAAAATGCTCTCCTGCTCGTCGGCTTTTCAATCTCCAATTGGATCAACTACGGTCTCGCCTTTGTTGACGGTCCTGTTTCCTGGCGATTTCCCCTTGCCTTTCAACTGGTTTTCATTATCATGATCTTTCTCATCATTCCGTTTCTTCCAGAATCACCAAGGTATGCGCAAATCACCCCTCTTTTCTAGTGTATGACCCAATGTTAATCGATTTAGATGGCTCATTATAAAGTCCCGGGATGAAGAAGCGTTGAATATTCTCTCAGACATCGAGGACAAACCTACAACTGACGCATTAGTTCTCTCCCAGCTGCAGAGCATAAAGTACACGGCAGAATACGAGCGCAGCAACGGGATGAGCTGGAGCGAACTTCTACGAGTGCAAGGCTCAAACAAATCCGGCACCAAGACAATCCGCCGCTTGATTCTCGGAATGGGCGTCCAAGTCATGATGCAAATCTCGGGAATCAACGTTACATCTTACTACTTCCCAACCATTCTAACAACATCTGTTGGGCTAAGCGCAAATATGGCGCGGTTGTTGTCCAGCTGTAACAGTGTTCAGTACCTCCTCTGGGCCCTCCTCGGTATTCGGCAGGTTGATAAATGGGGTCGCCGCAAGACCATGATGTTTGCTGCCACGGGACAATGTTTTTGCTATATCCTTATTACCGTGCTGGTCCGGTTCAACGAGATGCCAGGATATCCGCATGCGCAACAAGTTGCCTCCGCAGCCGTGGCATTTTTCTTTCTCTACTACGTGTTCTTCGGCATTGGCATGCAAGGTATACCGTGGTGTAAGTGTTCCCACTACTCTATTATCGTGAAGCCTAATCTGACGAATTCCCCAGTGTACCCGACAGAGATCAACTCCCTTACCATGCGAACGAAAGGTGCGGCAATCGGCGCCGCAACTAACTGGATCTTGAACTTCATGGTTGTGGAAATCACACCTATCGGGGTACAGAATCTCGGCTGGCGTTTCTATATCATTTGGGTTACCTTGAATGCGGCAATGGTGCCCACCATGTATTTCTTCTACCCAGAGACCGCTGGGCGAACCCTCGAGGATATGGACGAGTACTATCGCTCGAGTCCCCCTCTTTTGGTATTCCGCGACAAGGAAGCTATCTCGCTCAAGAGACCTGAAAGGTATAGGATAAAAGAGGAGGAAGTTATCAGGAAGAACGATCTCAGCCAGGGTGCTGGAGAAGCACCAGTTGAAAAGGCCGCGGATGGGTTTGTGGAACATCAGGAAAACACATCACAGTAGACAGATGGTGAGACTTCCGCGGATAGCAGCATCTGTCTTGTTTAATTATTATGTCTGGTTTATTATGTTATAGTAGAATGCTTTTTGTTTTGCTGGAATACTTATTAGGGGTACTACAGCCTGAGAAACCAGGCATCAGCCGATGAGCCGGGCAGTTACCAAGTTAGGGCTACCTCGTCTCGGGGGAATGCATAAGCAACCAGAATCAAGAATCGAACTCGAGTCCCCAATTAATCTCTACCGAGGAATTCTGAGAGCTTCGACTGCTTAAGTGATCACCCAAGACCGGCACTTATATCCACCGCGTCGCCTCCATGTCGCATCAAGTTCTTTATCTATCCGGTCTCGTTTACTAAGGCCATATCTATCTTTTGCTGGAGTATCAGTATCCCAGAAGTCTTGGTCTTCGTGGAATAATACATCTATGTAGAAATTTGGTAAGACTAGACCATAGTCGTCGAGAAGAGTAGCGGGCTAGGAGCACACGATGATACATTTTAAAGGTTCAATGGTGGAAGTTCTCAGCTCTTTATTTATCCTACTAGGTAGATCTAGAAAACTACCGATATGGCTCTTTAAACACCATGACATGCTCTATATCCCTCCCATCTACATCCTCCTCAATCCAAGCCCGAAACATCCCTCCGCAATTAAAGTCGAAAGCAACCTTGCCGCGATGCAAGCCTGATTCATCTATCGTGTCTTCGTCAAGTACCGCCTCTATTCCAATAATGCCGCCCTGCCCCTCACCTGTCTTGCCCCATCTCCTCCCTGCGGATCGTTGCAGCTCGCCATCCGCTCCCGCAACGGCCGAGATGGCTTTACTCAGGCTGACCGTCTGTTTAGAGAACCGCATCATCGCGCATGTTGTTCGAGCGGCGGCAGTGCGGAGGAAGGAATCTCCATTTCCTGTCCCAGATACGGCCGCTGCTCGTCGTTTCTTCCGGGGACGCAATGGCTTAGGCTTCCGATCAGTGAATGGCTCTCCCGGTGGCGAACGTGTACGCATGTCCGTGTCAGGCTCAGCTCCGAAAGTATCCCTAAACAGGGGAGACAGGTCGGGCATACAGTCTACAAGGGTCATATCCCAGATAGACTTCGATGAACCCGAAGTGCGAAATGGAGGCTGCGCCATTTGCGGATGATACCGCATGTCCTCAAGCTGTCCCGTGGAATTACGACCTTCAACGTCCCAGGCTTCAGCCCAAAAGCCCGCTCCGAGCGTAGGCGTGTCACCCACCCGGCCAGGAAACTTATTCGTTAACCCGCCCGTACTGGTCGCAACAGCTAAATCACCCCATTGATCGAGACAAACGCAGCCAACCGTACCTTGACTAGGGTAGCCATGTCCCAATCCCAGCCCGGGCCCAGACGTATATTCGCAATTCGGCTTGCGCAATCCCCTTTGATGCTCATCCCACCGCTTCTGCGTCCAAAACCATTCATCAGGCTTAAACTCAAGCCCCCAACCGCGGGCAAGTTCCTCCACATACGGACCAGAAAGCTGCGAATGCATACTGCCGTTGTCCTGGCCTTCATCATCACCAGGAACCGGGTTCCCATTCTCATCTTGCCCTGTGCGGACAAGGACCTCCTTCGCCAGTTGTATAGGATGCCGCACGTTCCGAACACAGATAACGCCGGCACCCCGCTTCATGGAATCGCTGTTATTCGTAACACTGTTTTCACTTCTCGCCGATGTAACCATAACCGAGGCTTCCATTTCGATTGTCCCCGCGGAGGTGAAGACGCTGCCGCGGCCGCAGTTGAAGAGTTCATCGTCTTCCATAAGCGAGACGGCGTGAACGGCTGCATCGATAGCATGCGCGCCATCTTCGAGGAGCCTTTTGGTAGAGCGAAGGTAGGAAAGCAGAGAAGAGTGGTATTTCGCGTAGAGATCTGGAGGGAGAGTGGAGCGGTGGATGGCGCCTGCACCGCCGTGGAGGATGAGCGCAGGCTTGAATGTTGGTGAAGACGTCATTGTTTGTTTGTTTGCCGAATCAGCTGGGGAGTACGCTTGGAGGGAGTCTCAAGCGTAATTGACCATTTCCGGCGTTGTTTGTTATACAAAAGTGGAGTTGGAGAAGAGGGTCGGATGCGGAACGGCCGAAGATCACGGGAAGAGCTGCGTCGAGATTGTGTCAGCGGCAAATCAATGGAACCCCCGTCCTACCAAACCCCCCAAACCACAAGACAAGTAATTTCAAGAAGTAGGCCTGAATATCGCATTAATCTTGGTATTGGCAATAGTAATGTACAAGAATTAGAAAAACATAATGTTAACATGCCCCTGGTCGCCAGTCGAGGTTCCGCGTCAGAGACTTTCTTTTCGCCTCCCTAAGAAAAAGCAACATGCAAGGCTGTAAATCCAAAAGAAATCGCCGGTGAAAACCAGTTCTTTAAGGCAATAGTTATGAGCGGAATCGCGGCTTGCTTCAAACAAAAAAGAACCTCTATACCATGCATCCTGATAGTCCTAACACCGGAGAAGAGAGATGAGATATAATATAATGTGGCAGTAACGTTTATGGGCATAGAGCTGGGCGCAAGAAATCGTAGGTCTCGAGAAGGTTGGGTAGTTCGATCGTTTAGGCAAGGGCCTTGTTGTCCTCTGATGGAGGAGCAGGAGGGAGCTAAAGACGTGAGTTGTTAGAATCACAAATATAAAAGTGACGGATGGGATGATGGAAAAAAGCATACCTCTAATTTTGTGTTGTCGGCCATCATTCTCTGGAATCCAATACCGACACCTTCAATAACAGCCAGGAAAACGGCGCACATGATGGCCGAGTTTCTAGCAGCCTTAACACCACCACGGACAGCCAAAGAACCACCAGTGAAGAAACCAGCAATGACTGAAAGAAAGGGGAAACGATTAGTTCACGGTCGCCATTGTATACGGTCGCTCCGGGGATAACATACTAGCATTGTAAGGATCCTCCTTCTTGCGAATGCCCTTAATGGCGCAGTCAAAGGTCGAGAACAAACCACCCCAGACGCCGAAGTTACCACCAAGAACGGGCGCGCGGGCCTTGATGGCTGTGATGGCACCTATCCGTCGCTCGCCGTAGGGGCTGTTTCGGAACCCTTTAACACCGTGCCATACAGCACCACCGATGGCCTATATAGTAAACATTGTTAGCTCCCGATCAAAAGACGCCAATTATGGTTCGGCTAAAGTGAAAACGTACACCCATACAGAATGCACCACCGAAGTCGCTCAGGGCAACCCAGGGGCAAGGATCTCTGGAGTGATCCATTTTATGTGCGAGAGTTATATGTGAGAGGAAGGGAGGTGAATTGGATGAAAGGAGGGCGAAGAAGCAGCTTCGTCCAGCTCGGTTGCTCGGGGTCAGAGAAACGTCACTTCAGACGCGGTAATCCGAGCGTGTCCAGAAGGAAGGGTAGGGTGGACAAAAGTCGAGGCGGTCGTAAATGTCGCAGGGTAGACACGACAATTGGGGAAGTGTTGACAGCGGGAGCGGACAGGCGATATGGCAGAGGAGGTCAAAAACTGGGGTCCGATGGAGAACGACGGTTCGTATCTTCTTTTGAAGGCTTTTTTTTTCGCCCCGGAACGTGACTTGGCAGGTCACGTGCCCGCGGACACCCGGGAAATCCCTTTGCCTCAGGCAAACTTTGCATCGGCAGTGGCCGTCATTGGACTGCGACAACCAGATTCATTGCTGTCGGGAGATGTAGGGATCTTGTTCTTTTTTTAATTGAATCCCAAGGCGATCTTGATCTATATGTTGCTTTATCTGCTACAGTAACTGACCAAATTCATCACAGCCTATCTTGCATTCATAATTCTCGCCTTCGGGGAATCCGCCTAACACAAAGCGACGCCTTAACAATATATAATTACAGCAGGTTATGCGCAACCAAACTTCAACTGATATTCACCATCTGTTGTTCCGGCCAATGCGCAATCGACATTCCTGACAAACCGTCAGATGGCAGGAACGGCATTGAAGCAGACATACATACTGTTGCGAGAAGCACATCCGGCATACGAGTGGGCGCCTGCCCTGTTCCATCCGCTGAAAACGCTCGGCGTGCGAGCCTTATCGTTGTCTTCCAGGCCCTGATCTATCCCTAAATGATAGACTTCGTAACCGCCAGTGTCTTCCCCCAGTTCTTCATAAATCACTGAAATGGCAACCTTGTTATATGGTAAGCTATCAGCTCGATTTTTTTGACTTTGCCTTTGCCGAGACGGTGTTGGATCTCGTCCAGTTGCTCAGTGAGAGCGATTGAGTCATCCAATATCGTGCCGCTCGTTTCGAATTCGCGTAAGGTCGTAAAGCCGGCATAAAATGTTACAGATTGAAATTTCATTATAAAGAACACTGTCCTTGAAACTGGTTTGTTCACTGTTGTTTCACGAATGCACCCAGGGCTTCCTTCGCGTGAAGCACTGGCCTCATTCAGCTAGGCGAACTCTATCTATATTTCATTTAAGCCTCAATGACAGCATCCCACGTGGTCGTACCTTGGATTCAGGACGGCAGATTCCAGATAAAGTTCAAGGTGTCCCCTTCATACGCTGGGAATTGTCCTCCACTGCTCATACCGAAAGGAGCCATGGAAGGGTCAAAGGGCAAGGAAAGCCAGTCGTCAGCACCTAGATCGTCAAATGATGGTACAAACCCTAATTCGGGAATTGGTTGAGCAACAGACACACCCATCGAAGGCGTATTGTCTTCTGTTTCGGAATCTTGTTGGGGCGCCAACGAGGAGCTTGTAGTATATCCATGGCTGTTTTTTGTAGCCTTGGAAGACGCGAGCAGATTCCGTCGCAAGCGTGAGACATGTGTCTCGAGCAATGCAGCATAACGGGTTGCTAGATGAATATCATCCAGAGCATTGGACTTCATTGCTTGTATGCAACGTTCAAGGATATCAAGAGACTCGCGCAACTTCGCATGGCGCGTCCCAATGCTCAATGCCTTCATCAAAAAAATAGAGGATGTTGTAGTTCGGATGAAAATACGGACTGGGGAAAATTTCAAAGCCCCAGCTTCTCCCAGTTCGCTAGCTTTCTGTAAGACCTGGCAACACCCTTCGATAACTTCTTGAATGTATTCATAATCGACCGGGTCGATATTCGTAGCACGTATTTCAATGTTGGGGTCACTATCCGCAAAAACACGCTCCACAATCGCTTGCATACCAATCGAATGGGTGTAAGCTCGGACAAAGTGATACTCAATAAAGAGATCGTTATAGAATCGTTTATCAAGCGCTGTAAAAAGTTAGTCAGAGATCAAGTTGACCATAGACCTTAAACTTACCTTCGCGGCGAAGATGCTCTTGCTCCCACTTGAGTAGGAGCGGGCGGAAGTGGTCCAGAAGGTCAATATACCGACCGCTGTGTAACTGCTGTCGGGCAAAATCCGCAGATGGGAAAAACATGTCTGTTACAGATTTTGCCAGTTTTGTGAGATCCATCCAAGAGTCCATAAATGCTAGCCATTGGTCACTGTAGTGTCTAAGATTTCTGGATGTTTGTCGGTTTAGGATTGCATGGTTTAGGCTCTGTGGCATCAGGGATACACATCCTATGCGCCACGCGAGCTGATTGATATAAACGTAGAGAAGCCTCTGGACTCGCTGCCGCCGGAGCTTAGTCTGGTCGCTAGGAATACATCCCTCATACGCCAACGACCAGCTCCCATTATTCTCATCCAACTCGTAGATTCCCAACTCGTGGGAGAGGGACAGTGCAGCTCCAAGAAGCATCCAAGACATCTGGTCAGATCTCTTCGATGGTTCAATGATGTCCTCTAGGAATCGGTTCTTTGGTAAACCATCCTCGCTCCTAGGTTGCGGAGCTTTTATAATAAGATCGGTGTCCCATCCGTCGCTTTCCGGGGGGAAATGGAGAGACCGGGGATGCCACTCGGACATCAATAAGAGAGCTTCGATGGTTCCAATCCTTCGGAGTTGAGAGTTCACAGTCCTTTCTTGTCCAAATATGAGCCGTGTAACTAGCTGCTGGCAGTGCTGCCACAGACGATGGTGAATAAAAAAGTTTCTAGACTCGCCACCTGGTCCAGGTAAAATATGATAGCGCGAAGATAGCATCAAGATAGCGCAGCACAGAACAGGATCACAAGTGATTAGTTCACGGTGATGCCGGTGGTCTGCATAGAAATAGGTCAAGATCGGCGACAATGAGGACATATTCTTGAAAAACCTAACCCGCAAAACATTAATTAGTATTGTGACCTTATTTCTTTGTAAATCTGTGCGCTTACTACTTACTGGTCAATAAGAGTGACGGCTTCCCTGGAGGTAAACCACCCCATCATTACGAATCGGCATCCTTCCCAGGTACTAAGCACCTCCTTCGATGCATTTGATAACTCCGCTGGCCGAGCCGCCGAGTGCATCTGACTGAACGGGCTCTCATGGCTTACCCCATAGGCTGAGCGACCAGGCGTATTCCCCGAACGCATGCCTTGTTCAGTCATGTCGGCATCTTGGCTATGAGCTGCTGCCTCAAATAGGATGTTGAGAGCATCATTTCCACTAGATACCACAGTACGCATCATAGAGTTATCCAGTGTAGATGCCGATTGCTGGCGGGTATGTCGACCTTCTGCAATATATGGTCTGTGTGAGGAGACGCCATTTTCAGTATACCCGTCACCGTCAGTATAGGTAGTTGAGGTCTGATCGCGTTGTCGAACTACCCGCTCCTCGTCATTAGGTCGGGCGTTGGACACTTTTCTGCGCGTGTTTGGGGTGAACGCCGTACTATCATCTTGCGACGTTTCTTTACCAAGGCCATTCGTCAATTCTGGAAGCAAGATATAACGACCTCATTATAGAACAACCTACCTCGCTTTTTCTTCCTCTCCCAGGCCCGGGATTCACTAAACACACATTGTCTCTGCTCTCTTCGGCATTTTGCACAAGGTGGCCCCATAGGCGACCCGTCGGGAAGTTCGCCCAGGTCACATTTAGCCTTTCTTTGCCGGCAGGGGATACAGGCCTTGTAGGTGCGCTGATATGTCCGCTCCGACGAGTTCCCGGGCCGCGAATGCCTCCTGGCTTCCATATCCAGGCGTCGGGATCAACCAATGACCTTAGCGAATGGGACAATCTGTATCGTAAGACCTTAGTTTCGCTTCATGCTGGTTGTAGCTAGTCCCGTGGCTGCTGTTGTTGATGTTGTACCGCGAAAATGCGTTGAGGGGGAAAGCGGGAAACAGCCGAAGATACCCGGGGAGGCCAAAATATCCGTTCCGTTGGCCGATGGCACAAGTGAACCATGAGTACTGGCTTACTTGAACCGGCACATGTAATACAACCAGATGTGCATTAAAGAGATCCGGATGGTGATAAGCTTAGTGAGCATAGTAAGAGAAACCTGGAAAAGGACAAAAAGATGGAGAAAGAACGTTCAATGTGAACAAAACAAAAAAAATTGACAAGGGTGGGATTCGAACCCACGCCAAATTAATGACGCGGAAACTTGATGAGATCAAGAGAGGGATCCGAGTTAGGAAGCCTTAACCGCGCGCCTTAGACCGCTCGGCCACCTTGCCAGATGATTGGAAGATGCAGCAAACTTTTGAATCATAGCCTGAATGATAATATCTAGGTGTTAAATCTACAATCTATGCAAAGTACTGCGAAGGAGGAGGGCATTCGTTCCGAAAATCGGAAAAGCTATGATTCTTCTCAATAAATGTCATATGTTGTCTAAATATAGCGGTTATTATATGTCATATTTGCCGGTGGATTGATTCGCAATGAGAACTCCAAGCCCGCGGCGGACATATATATAAAAGTATGGGTATACAACATTCAAACAAAATTCGATAAAGCACCATGACATGAGTTTTACAGGCCATCGCGCCCACCATTGCACTATGCTCTCCTCGCTGCAAGCCTGCAACATCAGGCCCCCATAATTGCAGTAGAGTCGCCTCGATAAGGGGCATCCACGTCATATTAGATACCTGTTTTTTTTGGCAAGGTAACCTGATAGAGACGTAGTCTAGACTCCCGCACGCTCTGCAGAAATTCCTAACTTCAAACAGTTAGCATAACCCACCCCGTCGAAGGTGGGCTGGAAATCCGGTTTCTGTTCCCCTCGTGGGGTTCCGGCGGATGTGGGTATTTAGAAGCAAATCCCGTTCGCTCTTCCAGCAGCTTCAAAAGGTCGATTCTGGAGACAACGTGGGTTTCACATGGACCTTGGAACCGTTCCGTTCAAGCGGTGTTTCGCCATTGGTGGTTTTAGGACCGAGAAGTTGGAAAAGTTGGAAGTTACAGAGCGAAGTTGGAAGCCGGGCTTGGTTGCGGTTCGTGCTGCGGGCGAAGATCTGCTGGCACTACGGCTGGCCATTGGGAGAAAACTGAAGCGTCAATTTTCGCCCGGCGGTGGACCCTGCGACTTCCTTCCAGAACACACTCGAGATACTCCAGCCTGCACTGATCGCCAGGCCAACCCCTTGCGCCTCGACACTCTCAACGCGCTGCATCTATCACGAGACGCCCTTCACGCGAGTAGAGTATTGCTGTCTTTATCGGCGGCTCGGGTCGCCGCGACCCTGGAGACAGTCAACCATGCTGTTTGCCGACTTGCCTGAAGAGCTGCTGTTGTATATCTTTGCCACCTACTTTGATCGAGACTCGCACACCTTACTTCTTATCGCAACCCTCAACAAGAGATTCCATCGCATAATAACCCCGATCTTGTACTCGCATGTTACGTTGGGCCTAGACGATGCGGACGAGTCGCGCAAGGTACTAGTTGTTCCGCCACTTACTTGTCGTCCGGATAGCTGACACTGCCTGCCTCAAGGTGCGACGGTTCATCATGTCCGTGTTCTCCAGACCCTACCTCGCCCAGTGTGTACGGTCGCTTGAACTCAACGAAATATCGTGGGTTTCGCATCAATCTTTAGCACGCCGCCGCAAGGAGCTAGTTGCGCGAATGGTGACGGGCAATGTCCTTGGCCGTCCGGACAGACTGGACACGTTCAAGCTTGTGACTGTGGTGCGGCGACTTCCGATGCTAGATAAGAACAAGCTCAAGTGGTGCACGGAGCTGCAGGAGGTCTCGCCGAGCCTGGATTCCCTTATTGCCCTTGTCTTCGTGTTTCTCCCCTCGCTGCAAAAGCTGGAGTCCAATTGGTCTCTGGACCCGGTATTTATCTGGCACCTCTTGCCTAAAGCTGATATGAAAAAGGTAGATTCGACGCCCTCGCCCCTTATTCTTAGGAATTTGACCCATCTGAAAGTCAACTCCGAATCCCCATGTGGCAACTCCTCTGAAATACTCCCCCTTTTTCAGATGCCTGCGCTGACCCACTTCTTCGCCAGCAACTGGGGGCCCATCAGGCGAGATGGCCGGGATGACGGAGTTGAGATTCAGACTGAGGATTCAGATGGCGGCAAAGAGACAACCGCGTCAGCGATCACGCACCTTGAACTCCGCCACTGCAATATTGATCTTTACAGCTTGGAAACGATCCTTAAACACTGCAGGTCGGTAAGGACGTTCATCTTCCATCGTGACTGGGACCCTCGAATTCACGTGAGGCTTTCTGGACTTTCCATCACCAGGGCACTCCGCCCGCACTTGGAAACACTGGAAAACATTATGCTTTCCTTCGAGCCTGGAATTTATATCCACCAGGAAGGGGAGATACATCCGTTGGACTTTTCTCAATTCCCTGTACTCACGAACCTTTACATTGCTGCTGGGTATCTCATACACGATCCAGAGGATTTTGACTATGACGAATTTTCAAAAACCTCCGATCTGGAGAACCAAGAAGAACCAGGAATCAATAACCACCTTGATGATCGGCTGCCGGCGTCGCTCGAAGTATTACGCATTACAGGATTTAGCACACCAGAACAGACGCAATTTCTAATTGATAACTGTTGCCAAATGCTTCAACGTCGTTCTCGGATCCCACGACTGCGAGAGCTTTCTATCGAGGCTCCATTCGACGATCCCGATGTTAATTTTGACACGATTAATTTACAACAGGAAGCACGCCGTGCGGACGTACGGTTCCGCAAGATCAACACCATGGACTATTCTAACGATGAATATGAGATGCTCCCCCTACCAGGATGTGATTGGGGCATGAATGGCGAGTTTAAGTGGAGCGCGAAGCTTGTTTGACGATGAACTAGACGAAGTTACTGGAAGGATTGATTTAATGAGGCGGGCGTGACAGCCTGACACTACAAGTTTCATGCTGGGAAGGATTATGATTTGGCGTTTTTGTGTGCGATACGAAGTCATGACCATGAATGTGCACGGCAGAATGATCTCAACTAGGGATACTATATGGAACTCGGCTGATGCAGTGACCAATGGCTGGAAGTCATTGTAGTGCATCCAAAAAAGCGGATGCAGGATTCAAACTTCTCACAAAAAGCCTAGGATAGCTTGCTGCTCTGGACACCCAATCTTGGAATCATCACAGCCAAACTCTTAGCCCGGCGGCAAAGGTGAGTTTAGCTGGTTCGACATTCTTAACCCTGGGGATGAACGAACAGGCGAGCGTATGAGTGTGCCGCCAATTTTTCTTCTAGTTGACCCGGGGTGTAGCGATTACTCCATCGTGAAGGGCATTCACAATGACAGGCTCATCCAAGACATCAGAAGGCAAGTGTTCGCCCGACCCCCTTCCCATGTCCCATCAAAGAATTGGCCTTCAGCACTGCATGTGCCATCCCAAGAGCATATCTAGCCCGCTCTTCAGCATGCTGCATACCAATAAAGTAAGGGGCAACGGCACCCAAGGACGGGTACCCACCTACCCGACGCACCGGAGCGGGTGGCTTCGAAGCAGGCATCTCGAACTGTGAGGGCCCGAGAGTCGTACACAAAGGGAAATCTACCGGCTTGGCCACTGTCAAATCAACGACTGACCAGAAGGAAACTTCCTGCACGCCAAAAGGTGTTGTTTTGTAGTTTGATATCTATCCTACACAGTAGTATACCGTCATTCCATCGGGATTGATGATTAATATTTGAGAATCTCATAAAGGCCCTGTTTTATCCACCCCCTCAATCACTCCACCTACAATCCACTAGTTTCACATATCAATCGGGGTTGAATTCGGTTAGACTGCCCTTTGTCATTGTAGTTCGGAAAAGCGCGGGAATTTGCGCGCGTTGTTGCGGATGTTGAACCCGCGGAAGTCATTCCGCAACCCCTCATCCTCCATTGTCCAGCATTCTAGTCCAACAGACCGGGGCAATCAGGAAATTGTTGTTGAGCATGGCCTTTATTAGGGGAAGAAATTACCGGCTAATACTTAAGAATCTACATTGACGAGCGGCTAGCCTGTAGTACCCCGGGTGCTTCTAGGAAGAAGTGCATGGACGCTGTGCACACCCCGCCACTTCTCTTAATAGCTCTCTAACCTAGACAATATACACCAAATAACTACACCTCGCAACCCATCCAACAAATCTTTCCTTCTTCCTCTTACAAAGATCCTCAGCGAAGACCGACAAAATGTCCACACCATCAAACCCCAAAGTAACCCTCTACACCTACTTCCGCTCCTCCTGCTCCGCACGCCTCCGCATCGCCCTCGCCCTCAAATCCATCCCATACACCTCGATCCCAATCAACCTACTCAAGGGAGAACAATCCAGCCCCCAGAACACAACGGTGAACCCCTCCGCCACGGTTCCAACCCTCATAATCGAACAACCCAACCAGCCGGCAACCACAATAACCCAATCCCTCGCCGCCCTCGAATACCTCGACGAAGCCTTCCCCAACACCCCCCAACTCCTCCCACCACCCTCCAACCCCACCCTCCGAGCCCTCGTCCGCACCCTCTCCTCAATAATCTCCTGCGACATCCAACCCGTGACAAACCTCCGCATCCTGAAACGCGTGGCCCCATTCGGCGTCGACCGCGCCGCGTGGTCCAAGGATCTAATCGAGGACGGGTTCGCAGCTTACGAGGCTCTTGCGTCGCAATCTGCTGGGAAATTTAGCGTTGGGGATGCTATCACATTGGCGGACTTGTGTCTGATCCCTGCGGTTTGGGGTGCGGAGCGCGCCGGGGTGGATTTGGCGAGGTTTCCTACTATTAAGCGTGTTGCGGAGGCGTTGGAGAGGGAGGATTCTGTTCGGGAGGGGCATTGGACGACGCAGGCGGATACGCCGGAGGAGTTTAGGACTTAGGTAGATATATGGTACCTACCTTATAGGTAGGAAGATGCCTGTCTAGGTTAAGAGGCTTAGTTTGGGTGTATGAGAGTGCTATTGTTCAAGTTCCAAAGTCTTTTGTCACTATACTTAACAAAGGCTGGTCTATCACGCGGCAAGACGCAGTAGTTAAGGCCAGTTGAGTTTAATTAAGCAGTTCATTTATGACAACAAAAGAGAAGGCTTGGGGAGAAACGACAAAAAAAAAAACAAAAAATACAAAAAATGGTCCCAGAGGGGGTCGAACCCTCGACTTTCGCGTTATTAGCACGACACTCTAACCGACTGAGTTATGGAACCAATTGATGGAAAATTGGGCGCTAATTAACATACACAGGCTCTCAGTATTTCTCGCATTTACTATAGTCTTAGTCTTGTAAGAATGAACTGAGTCGGATCCAATGTTGTAGATAAATGCCGACCTTTTTCTCACCACACCGATGTGTAGGCCCTCTAGATAAGAGGTGACATCGCATTAGGTAGCTAGCATTGGTCCAACACCTTCTGGCCCATTTAATGGCGATAGCTAGTCTATGGAGTCTACTAGTATTTGCAAAAGGAATAGGTCATGTGGTATGTTCAAGCGGATCAGGCGTGTGCAGCAAATGTATCCAGTCTTTTAATTCCTCAATATTTGTATATAAATTCATAGCCCAGTGAAATAAGTCATATCGCGTAATATCCCACTTTAAAGGTTGAGCTTCACAGGGGGGAGGATAGTGCCCACACAGTCGCCAAACCCTACATAGTTTCCTTCCGTCCCGGCCTTACCACGAAGAACCACGGTATCACCATCCTCTAAGAAGAAGCGCTCAGAGCCATCCGCAAGCTTGATCGGAGTCTTCCCGTTTGTCTGCTCGAGGAAACTACCCTCTGTTTGCTTGTCCTTGCCAGAAATAGTACCGCTACCCAGAAGATCACCCGTGTTCAAGTTGCAGCCCGTAATGGTATGGTGGGCGAGCATCTGAGGGAAAGAGTATAGGAGGTTCTTAGCATTGCTGTGGGAGATCACAGTAGCTTTGCCGCCAGCGTTGGTGACTTCAACCTCGAGTGGGATATCGTAGGCATTTTCAGCGCGCTTTTCGCGCAGGTACGGCAGGAGGGATTCCCGGTTTCCGGGTTCCAAACCAGAGGCGCGGAAGGGTTCGAGAGCGTCGATAAGGACGACCCACGGAGTAATTGTGGTGCCAAAGTTCTTCGCATTGAATGGGCCTAGTGGAACATATTCCCAAGCCTGAATGTCACGCGCGGACCAGTCGTTCATGAGAACCACTCCAAAGATGTGGTCTTCAGCATTGTCGATGTGAACGGGGTGTCCCAATTCGTTGGGGGTTGATACAAAGAATGCCATTTCGAGCTCGATATCTAGCTTTTTGCAGGGGGAGAAGGTAGGAACCTTGGGAGTCGCGGCTGGGTTGGTTAGGATCTGTCCCTGGGGACGGTGGAGAGGGGTGCCAGAGGTGACCACAGACGAGGCACGGCCGTGGTAAGCAACTGGGAGATGTGTGTAGTTTGGCTGCAGAGCATTGTCCGGTCCACGGAAAAGAACTCCAATGTTATAGGCGTGGTTGAGACCGGCGTAGAAGTCTGTGTAATCGCCAATTTGCATGGGAACGTGGTTGGTCACCTCCGACAGCGGTAGGAGGGCTTCCTTCTGAAGGGACGCATTGTCTTTGAGAACCTGGGGAAATGGTGTCTCTGTGCTGAAGACCTTCTGAATGTATTCGCGGACCTGTCGGTGCACTGGCCGACCGAGAGCTGCGAATGCGTTCAGAGTAGGCTGGTTGAAGACATTCAGATGCGACTGGATGGCGGGAAGTTGAGAGAAACCGCCGGACGCGGCGAACGCGCTCAGGTTCAATGCATACTCTCCAACTGCGACTGCAGGAACTCGCGATGAGATCTTGGACGATGAAATGATACCGAATGGGATGTTTGCCAGCGAGAAGGGCGAGTTTTTGGGGATTTGTAGCCAGGAAGCCATTGTGACGGAAAACAGCGGAGAGGCAGGATAGCGGGGATAGAGAGGAGAGAGAAGAGCAAAGAGCAAAGATACAGAACGAGGAGAAATAGGAATTAAAATGCCGTTGACAGGAGGAACTGTGGAGGGACAGCAACAGGAAGCATTCCGCCGGGGGGAAGAGAGCGGAAAGCGGCCGCTGCCGCTTATTCCCGGCTGTTGGCAACACTCCCAATTTCCGCGGTCCCCCTCATGCGTCTCGCCTGCCTCGATGATGTGATACGTACAGACGCGGATTCCGGCATTTCCAAGCCGATGCAGGTGGACTGATTCTGGACCTGTGCAGCTCTGTGGTCTCGCGTGTCTTGGGTATATAGGCTGCCTCCTCACTCTATCCCCACTACGTACTTTGGATACCCAAAATCACAGTACATACCAGCCAACATGCCGGTCACCAACTTCGCCTACAAAGACCCCTACTCGTACCAGAATGGATTCGATTCCTACCACGAGTATGTTTATGAAGAGGACTAACCTTCGGGTAGCGCTAACGTATGTAGATCGGAAGCCATTGAGGGAGCCCTTCCCATAGGCCACAATTCTCCCCAGAAAGCCCCTTACGGCCTCTACGCAGAAAAGCTATCCGGAACTGCCTTCACTGCCCCACGACGTGAGAACAAACAAACCTGGGTTTATCGTATCCTTCCCGCTGCGGCACACGAGAACTTTGCCGAAGAGGAAGCAAGCTCCTACCACACACTCACAGACGCAAAAAAGCTCCACCACATTCCCAATCAGCTTCGCTGGAACCCATTCGATCTGGATGAAACCGTCGACTGGGTTCATGGACTGCACCTCGTGGCTGGCTCCGGGGACCCCACAGTAAAACAGGGTCTAGGAATTTTGCTGTATGCAGCGGGTAAGAGCATGGAGAAGGAAGCTTTCTATTCTGCGGATGGAGACTTCCTTATCGTCGCCCAACATGGTGTGCTGGACATTCAAACTGAGCTTGGTCGCTTGGTGGTTCGTCCGAATGAGATATGTGTAATTCCTCGTGGAGTTAGGTTTGTACAACCTTGGGCTTGTCTATGAACGAGCATGAGATTAACGAAATTCAGATACCGTGTTACCCTACCCGATGGCCCCGTGAGAGGCTACATCTGCGAGCTTTACCAGGGTCACTATGAACTCCCCGAGCTAGGACCCATTGGATCCAACGGTCTTGCCAACGCGCGAGATTTCCAAGCACCAGTGGCCTCCTTTGACGACGAGGAAGGACCATCGGAATACCGACTATACAGCAAGTTCAACAACCACCTCTACTCTGCCCGCCAGGACCACACACCCTTCGACATCGTCGCCTGGCATGGCAACTACTACCCCTACAAATACGACCTGGGCCGTTTCAACACCATCGGGTCCGTTTCATTCGACCACCCCGATCCATCAATTTACACCGTGCTCACAGGTCCTTCAGACCATGTGGGTACAGCCATTGCAGACTTTGTCATTTTCCCACCACGATGGCTCGTTGCGGAGAAAACCTTCCGTCCGCCGTGGTACCACCGGAACACAATGTCTGAGTTTATGGGCCTGATTACCGGGAATTATGATGCGAAGACGGGTGGTGGCTTCCAACCGGCTGGTGCAAGCTTGCACAATATCATGAGTGCTCATGGGCCAGACTCAGATGCTTTCGAGGGAGCAAGCAATGCCGAGTTGAAGCCAGCGAAGGTTGGAGATGGAAGCATGGCGTTTATGTTTGAAAGGTGAGTGCTTATCCTCTGATGTAACGAAGTTCGCTAACCGTTACGTAGTTCTCTCATGGTTGGGGTATCGGAATGGGGTCTGAAGACATGCCAGAAGGTGCAGGAGGAGTATAACGAGCACAGCTGGCGTCCATTGAAGAGACACTTCAAGGACCCCAGGAAGGCATAGGATTCAATTGGTGTCTATAATTCATCCCTCATTTTTTTCAAAATTGTCTTAGTATATACCAACCTGTATAAATCTGGTATCGGAATATGTCGATAAAATAAGGGCCTCCATGGACTATGACCCCAGTATTTCTACCCGAATAAGCCTGCGAGCGGAATTCAACCGCGACCCACCCGTATTACTCTCAAGCAATAAGATATATCATTAACAGAATCAAAGTATATGAATTGTAAGCTATATCATTACCCATTAATATTCACATAGCATATCTAAACCACCCCCCCCTCAATCTCCTTCGTCATGGCCTCCTTCACAATAGCTCCACACATCTTCGCATACGGATTCGTCTGCACAGCCATCTGCTGCGCAACTTTATTGCCATAGCGCCCGCCAAAGAAGAAATCTCGACTTGCCATCTCCTCCAGCCCCTCGGGCCCTAGCTCCCTCAGTCTCTCCGGGATAGCCTCGACATCAGTTGCATTCTTGCTCTTGAGCTGTCGGGATATTTTTAGGAGCAGGTAGGCGCGGTGGGTGTGAGAGTCTGCAAGAAGTCGCGCTTGGGATGGGGAGACTGGGTCTGCGGGTGATTTGGGTGTTGAGAGGGTGATTGCCTGGCCTAGGTCTGAGAGGAGGGTGGAGAGGTATGGGGTCGCGGAGGGCGTGAAGAAGTCTGAAGTTGTGTTCTCGCTTTCGGTTCCTGGAGAGAGCTTTTGCTGTTCCGGCTCAATTAACATTCGTAGTGTTTGAGCTCGGTTTGCGTAGGCAGAGGGATATGTTGGGTGCTGGGTGATGAGTGCGTCGAAGGCATTGATCGCTGACTGTAGGGTTTCTGGTGTTGGCTGTGTCGTTGATGCTAGCGGGGTGATGATTTCTTTCTCGCGGGCTTGGAGGAAAGAGTGCTCTTTGGCGGAGATATTCAGATGTGATGGGAGTTGGGGGAGGGTCGGGTCGATGGTGACGCCTGAGGAGGGAGAAGATTCCGCATCGAAGAGGGCCTGGAGGACGGCCGAGTCGTTGGTTGTGAGGGAGGGTTTGGTTGCGCTGATTGATGCTGCGGCAGACATTGTGTAGAGGCTTGCTTTAGATTCTGATTGTCGAGCTGAGATGGATGTCGAGTTGGTGATATCTCTCACTGTCTTTGTCATCGTCACTGCCTTTGTCTGGTGCGGATAATTGACGGGCACCACCGGATGTTTTGAAATAGCCGACACCATCCGGACCCCAACATCCGCCTCCATCCGTCTCCATCCTCACCCGGATATTTTGGTCTTTATGTTTCGCCGTCAAAGAACAGGATGAATAATGCCTTGAAGCTAATATGTCATGGGATGGGGGACTGAGTGTAATTATCCATAATATACTTTATAGGTGGCACGGTAGATTTATAACGCGGTTCCTCCCAGTCCCTGACTTGATATCATCCATCAATTATCAACCATCAAACTGCCACCATCAGCCATACTTTGGATACTTCAGATACATACTCGACTAGACGCAAATATGGCTCCTTCAGCAATCTCCGAACCTCCCTCATCTACCAGCCTACCCTCCTCCATCGCCAGCTACCGCGGCTATGACCACGTCCACTGGTACGTCGGCAACGCCAAACAAGCAGCCTCATACTACATCACCCGCATGGGCTTCAAGCGAATCGCCTACCGCGGCCTCGAGACCAATTCGCGCGCCATCTGCTCCCACGTCGTCCGCAACGGAACCATCACCTTCGTCCTAACCTCGCCCCTTCGCTCCCTAGACCAGATTGAGCGCTTCTCACCAGAAGAGCAAGAGCAGCTAAGAGAGATCCACAACCATCTCGAGCAGCACGGCGACGGCGTAAAAGATGTTGCCTTTGAAGTTGACTCCGTCGATGCTGTATACGGTGCTGCTGTAGCCAACGGTGCCAAGGCTGTGAAGGACCCTAAGACGCTGGAAGATGAGAATGGCCGGGTGACTATGGCGACGATCCAGACTTATGGACAGACAACGCATACTCTGATTGAACGGAGTTCATACCGGGGTGTCTTCCTGCCCGGATACCGAGTTGAGTCTGGTGCTGAGGACCCCATTTCTGCTATGCTGCCGGGTGTGCGGTTGAACCGCATCGACCACTGCGTTGGCAACCAGGACTGGGATGAGATGGATAAGATTTGCCAATAGTATGTCCTCCTTCAAAAGTTATTAAACAGAGACTAACGAGCGCAGCTATGAGAAAGCCCTCGGATTCCACCGCTTCTGGTCTGTCGATGACAAGGACATCTGCACGTACGTTGCCCTAACTTCTATAAGCTATTTAGAATGCTAACCCCGACAGCGAGTTCTCCGCCCTGAAGAGTATCGTCATGTCGTCACCCAACGAAGTCGTCAAAATGCCCATTAACGAGCCCGCAAAGGGCAAGAAGCAATCCCAGATCGAGGAATACGTAGACTTCTACAACGGCGCTGGTGTGCAGCACATTGCGCTCCTCACAGACGACATCATCCGCGACATCACAAACCTCAAGGCGCGCGGTGTCGAGTTCATCAAGGTCCCGGATACTTACTACGAGGACATCAAGATCCGGCTGAAGAAGGCTGGGCTCAAGCTGCATGAAGACTTTGAGACTATCCGCGCTCTAGACATTCTCATTGACTTTGATGAGAACGGGTACCTGCTGCAACTATTCACCAAGGTATGTGGACCCTATTTGATTCTAATCCAGTTTCACTAGTGGATGTAAGCTGATGGATTGTAGCACCTCATGGACCGTCCAACGGTTTTCATTGAGATTATCCAGCGTCACAACTTCTCTGGGTTCGGTGCTGGGAATTTCAAGTCGTTGTTTGAGGCTATTGAGAGAGAGCAAGAGCTTCGTGGGAATCTTGTCTAATGAACTGTTTCCTAATATCCTTATGATTGTTGCATAGCATGTTTTTATTTTTAAAATTAATGAGGCATCTCTATTAATAAAGCTGTAACTGTAAAACGAAACTTCCAGAGTAAATAATAAAATAATAAACACTGCTGTAGCGAATAAAAATAAGAAACATAATAGCCCTAACTGACACCGACCATGGCCCACCAGTACTCGAGCAAGAAACTTCAGACAACCCTCCCAAAAACACAAAAAGCCAGAAAGAAAGAACCCATCGCTCCTTAGTAGGTAGCATAAACATTCCTACCGTCACCACAAAACACCTGGTCCGTAAACCCGAGACAATAATTCTCATCTTCGACGGTCAAGAACCTCCCAAAGTACTCAATCTCCGCCGCATTATATCTCCTCTCAAGACCCGAATGCTCAAGCGCCATCAGGATATCATCCTCACAAACCAGCCAGTGCGCACCCAACATGCGCAAGAATCTCAGAATGAAATAGTTGTTCGGCCCGGGGGGAGTCTTCCAAAAGATCTTGTCGAACAGCGGCAGGTGTTCCCTGTGCAGTGTCCCACATGGGATCAAGAGCTCGTAGGCACCGCTGTTGTTGTTGGCGTCGAGAGAATGCAAAGGCTTGTCGATGCGGAAGTGCTTTCTGTATTCTTTGCCGAAGCCGTCCTTGGGTCCTGACTCGATGGTGTATGCTCGACAGACAGTGGGGGTTTCGGTCTCTGGGATGGCACCGACGTCGAATCTGTGTAAGAGGACGGTCCATTCTGTGCAGTTTTGGCCTGGGATCTCCCTGGATATACCGAGGGAGATTCCGAAGAGGACGGGCTCTGGCCAGGGAGGCAGAATAGGGTCGTGATCCTCGGTTGTGTAGGGGTTGGTTTCCGGTGGATAATCTGGTTCATAATCGTAGAGCTCTGTAGAATGGGCGAGGGGGGAGGGTTCCTTGTAAGGCTCTGTGGTGTTTGGAGGCGTAGAATGGACTATGAAAGGGGCATTACCAGGGTTCTCGGACGACATATTGGTAGTATATCGTGCTTTTAGCTTTTGAGACTCTTGTTAACCCGTTCTGTTGTTTCAGGATCTGGTGTGGTGGCGCCTTGGTTTGTTATGAGACAGCTGGTGCCATATTTATACACCTCCTTCTACTGCTGTGAATGAAGATATTGAATCTTCTTCACAGTTGGTAATTTATGGGATGCACAGCTCACTTGAGAGTCAATGTTTATGCCCACGAGGAGGAGCCGAATCGATTTGCAGTACAGAAATCACAGATCTGCTGCTTCACTACTTCACTGTCTCTAATTCACTTGCCTCACTTGCTACTTTTGATAGTGAGGAGTGAACTATGGTAGGATTTCATGGTGGACGCTTTTCATTTCCGCTCTGATCTAGAACTACAGTGCGTATGAGATGACTAGACTCCCCATGGCCGTTTCAGTTACTTCTTCTTCGACGAGCTCGCGCCCCCAGGCGTTGTCCCTCCGCGCCGTTTATATTTCCGCGGGTCTAATACTATATCAGCACCTCCATACCGAAACGATAAGAACTCAGGGTACATACCTTTCCTACTCATCAGGGCTCTATTTCTCGTCCCCTTCCCTCCTTCCCAGAATCCACTTCCTGCTTTCCCGACAAGGTACGCCCGACAGATCCCGCAGTTTTCGGGGCGGTAGATTTGCTCGCGAGAGCAGAAACCACTATAACCGTTAGATAAGCTAGAATATATGTTCGTTGGACGCTTACCATATCATGCGGTTAGCGTGTTCATTTGGATGATCCGTGGCTGCATCGTGGCATCTAGTAGTCTTGGTTAGTTTTGTGGGCCATTCAAATCTGCATGGTGATACATACTTGTCGCAGGGAAATACTTTAGCACAGCAGCCGAATCTGTTGGGTGTGAGTAAGATTTTGCATGGTAGATAGGGGAAAGGCAGGTACCTAAACCAGCGGTAGCTTTTGCTATAGTGCATGCACCGGCCGCGACGGGGTAGTTCCTGGCCTGCTACGATACCAAGGGTTTCCTTTGGCTATAGACCGTCAGCTTTATAATTCCGGAATATATTAATAGACGCACCTTCTTCCTTGATGGGGCACGTTCGCGAGATGTGACTGCAAATATTAGTACTTGAACATTAACTTTGTTTCGAAGACGAGAACTCACACGCTGCAGATCCTACTCTGAGGAATTTCACCTCGGGAAGTTTGAAAACTGCGACAGTCAGTTACCGATATCTGCTGGAATATAACATGCATACCCATTTTACGATGGCATTGCCGGCAGTTGGCCATGGCGCTTTCTGCGCGAACTGCGACTATTCCTGGTCCGGGGAAAGGGGTTGAACACTCTGCGCATGTTGGGATGAACCCACTGATCGGGTATAAGCATAATCTAAAACAAGAAACCAAGGTTACATACCTAGGGAGAAGATCCACAACTGTACAGCCGTCCAGGTCCAGATATCCCGCTCGCGTAGAGTTTTGATGTATCAGCAACCGACGGAACCCTGGAAGGATGAGTAAAAGATATAGTAGTAACAGGAGGACTTCCTACCGATACTCATTGAGTTTGAGCATTTCTTGCAGACCTCCACTTTCGGAGACAACGTGTCACTGCTGTCTTTGGTCTGGGGTATATTTCTCACATCCAACTGTTCTTTGCATCGGTCACACTTGATCGTAATATAGAGACCAACTAGTTCAAGAAGTTCGATTCCATAAAGTTCCAGGTATGGGAAAGATAGAGCAACGCCGTACTCAGTTGTTGGTTCTGGTATAAGTGGTACTGGCGCACCACCGTCCTCTTCGTCGTCTGAATAGTCGTCATCAGTCGTAGAAATATCGGTCTCATCGCTACCACTTGTTCCATCACCGACAGTCCATTCCGGAGGTCGCTGGATAACGTGGAGGTGAGGTTTGTCTTCGTCTATGATTGAATGATCCACATTTTCCGTAGACTGTGGTTCTTCTGGAATTGCAAGTTCAGGCTCGGGCTGCTGGGGCTCGGTGTCCTTGACGACTGTCTTCGCAAAGTTATGAATATTGCTGGCTAGATAATTGACTTGCGACACCAGATTTAGTTGAGAATGGTCCTGGATCCATTGGGAGAAACCAATTTCAACGGAATGCACCTCGGTCCCCCGAACTCCTTGTAGCTCCACGGAGCTAGGCTCGAGGGGATATAGTGCAGGTACTGAAAGCCTGACTGTTTTGACTGCCCGGAGTGTAACTGGGAGCCGGTCGACCTTTGTAGGCTGGATAGGTATGATGAACGAAGAGCTATCTCTCGCTTTCTGGAACAGTGGCAATCTTCCAAGGCGAGCTTCAAGCTGTTTTGTTTCGGCTGCCCTCCGCTTCTCTGCCTGGGCCCTCTCTTCAGCCGTATGAACTGGACGGGACTCCACCACTGGTGGGGGAATCACTCTCTTAGGTTGAGGCTCCTGTTTCAAGGACAGTGAACTCAAATCGTCCACCAAGGGCTCGCTAACAGACTCTTCCTTCCTGGCGTTCTGCACAAACTTGAGAGTTGGTCCACGCTCGGTGGTAGTAAGGAGTCGCTCTAGGTGTCGGTCCAATGTATTGACCCAGTTGAGAAGGGTTCCACGCCCGCCCATTCTCACCGAACTATCAACGATATCGTCAAATCCCCTGGACACATTTTCCTGGAATGCAGCTCCAATTTCCGGGTTAGCCACTTTCAGGACTGGCCGTCCCCGCCCGGGATACGTCGAGGGTACGTATAGAGCACAATCTAAGCGGTCCAGGTCGAAAGGAAAGTCTGGATCTGAAGGAGCTAGCCCGAAGGATAATGTGATCCCCGACTCATCAGCGCTCTCTGTAGGGCGAAAGCGCCGCCGGAGCTGGTTGAGCTGAAATTCCCTCGGATTTGAACTCTCCGTCCGAGAAATTGGACGCTGGCCAGCACTGTTGCCGGCATTAGGGGTGGAAGTTATCGGGCCAGCCATTGTTGTCGTACCGAGTTTAGCGGGGAAGATCTGTATAGGCGGCTCTATGCGCAACAATGCACTCGGATTGGATTGATTAAGTAAGACAATATGAACAAGAGCTTCTGGCACTAAACATGGCTCTCCAGCCACGAAACTACATATAGACAGGCCTCGGAAGGCGACCGAGCAATGAGTCAAGGTGAGTCAGTGAGGTCCAGTGCAGTGTGACTCTTTCTGTGGCGTTCTTGGTGGTTCTGCACTAAGCCTCTTTCGGAATACGAGATCTCAGGCTATACTGCCTCAGGCATACAACAGTGCCTAGGCTATACTGCCTCAGGCATGAATCTCTTCGTTTGTCTTCCAGTTCACTTTGTCTGCTTCTTTACCCTCCCGTCCATGAATCCATCTCTGTCATCCAAGTCATCCAATGTAGACAGCAATGGCATATTCCAACAGCTCTATCTATTGGAAAAGGGAGACACATGATGGGTTACTCCTGACGAAGACGACGAAATGCCCTAATGTGTGCCTTGTGTCCAAGAGAGTATAGGTCTCTGTCCAGTTTCTTCGAGTCGCGCTCCGGAATGTTTCTCCAAGGGGCTGTGCAGGGTGATCCAATGCTTATGAATGTTCGGCCTAGTTTGACATCGTTTGACCCCGTTTGACCCCATAACTCCGGTGTTTCGACCGTTTGAGCATCCGTTTGCATGGGCTGACTCGGGAGTGCAGCTTCCCGGCCCGCCAAGGGAGAAAGCCACCCCAGCAGATGCTTGAACCACTGCCAAAAAGAGCTTTCCAGGCTGCAGTAAATGCGTGCCAGAGGGTCAGAGCCGATCTAGGGGCTCCATCAATCACCGTGGCCAGATTACTTATGCCGCCCCATCTGTTATTTCTCGGCCCCGTCTCCCTTCTCTGTATGCACTCTTGAGCAGCCTTCAGTATGATCTCGCCAATTCTCTTCAGTGCCTATGCCCTCGTGGGTGTAGTTGTCACAATTCTTTTGAACGTTGCTAGTCAGATCCTCTTCCGGAACAAGAATGAGCCCCCAATGGTCTTTCACTGGCTCCCATTCGTGGGCAGTACCGTCAATTACGGAATGAACCCTTATAAGTTCTTCTTCTCTTGCAGGGAAAAGGTAAGTGCATACTATCTTGGAAATGGGCATAGCTAACGATGATGACTGACTAGTATGGCGACATCTTCACCTTCGTGATGCTCGGAAAGAAGACAACGGTGTATCTAGGCATCAAGGGCAACGACTTCATCCTCAACGGCAAGCTCAAGGACGTCAACGCGGAGGAGGTCTATGGCCCGCTCACAACTCCTGTTTTTGGATCTGACGTTGTCTACGATTGCCCTAATTCCAAACTCATGGAGCAGAAGAAGTTCATCAAATTTGGCCTCACCCAAAGCGCTCTCGAATCGCATGTTCAATTGATTGAAGCGGAGGTTCTGGACTTTCTTAAGACGTCTCCGCGGTTCAAGGGAAACTCTGGAGTACTTGATGCGCCGGCCGCCATGGCTGAGCTTACAATCTTCACTGCTGGTAGTGCGCTTCAAGGGGAGGAAGTCCGCAAGAAGCTCACCACGGGGTTCGCCGACCTCTTCCATGACCTCGAACAGGGGTTTACTCCAATTAACTTTATCCTCCCATGGGCACCGCTTCCTCAGAACCGCAAACGTGACATTGCCCATGCTCAGTTACGAGCAACGTACATGGATATCATCAACAGCCGTCGCAACAAAACCGAACCACAAACTCCCGATATGCTTTGGAACCTCATGAACTCGACGTACAAGAATGGCACTCCCGTACCAGACAAGGAGATTGCCCATATCATGATTACCCTTCTTATGGCCGGCCAACACTCATCTTCGTCAATCAGTGCCTGGATTCTGCTCAGGCTGGCATCGGAGCCTCGGGTTCTCCAAGAACTCTACCAAGAGCAGCTCGACAATCTTAAACATGACAACACTGGGCAATTCGAACCTCTACAGTACAAAGACCTCGATCTCCTCCCATTCCACAAAAGCGTTATAAAGGAGACACTTCGAGTCCACCTGTCCATTCACTCCATTCTCCGCCAGGTGAAAAACCCAATGCCAGTTCCCGGCACGTCCTACGTTGTCCCGGCCAGCCATGTCCTCCTGGCCTCCCCCGGTGCGACTGCGCTTACCGAGGAGTACTTCCCCAACGCGAATATCTGGAACCCTCACCGCTGGGACAACCAACACGCAGACAAAGAAGAAGAGGGTGGAGAGCTAATTGACTACGGCTACGGTGCGGTATCAAAGGGCACGAATAGCCCGTATCTCCCGTTTGGCGGAGGCCGGCACCGGTGTATCGGCGAGAAGTTCGCATATGTCAACCTCGGGGTCATTGTCGCGACTATTGTGCGAAACCTGAAGCTTTACAACGTGGGCGATAGGAAGGGCGTTCCCCCGACCGACTACTCGTCCATGTTCTTGGGCGCTATGCAGCCTGCTGTTGTTGGCTGGGAACGGCGCTTTCCTGAGAGTTCGTAGTCTAGTTCAAGAATGATATGTGGACGAAGGATGCTGGCAATGCTTGTAATAATAATAATGGAATGTCTCTATTTGCTTATTTCATCTGACCAGCTGAAATCGTACTTGTTATAAGCGCCCGCCGCATTGACACCTTAAGTGAAGATCTTATGGCGGCGTCAACTGACAAGACTCAGGGCAGACACGGGGAATGAATGATAAAAATAAACACGAGCACCGTTACGGCAAGTCGAGCTCGAGTGACAAAATAATAATATCACCCGTCAAGGCGCCCTGTGTCAACCGAGCAATACACCCCTGTTATAGAGGGTATAGCACCGCCACTATCAACGGCCCTAGCAGGGTTTACTCCGGACTCAGGGCGCCGTTATCTTCTGCCAACGCATCGATCCGGTGACCCCCAGATCGGCATCGTCCTGTGCATCGCATTATTGCTGACTTCTTGCTTCATGCAGTGCAGGGATCGCGCCGGGCCTGGACTCTCAGCCCCAACCCTCCATCAGCAAATACAACCTCGACGGCGACTCCGATGTCAGCTACATATTAATTATGTCCTGATTACTGGTACAAGTCCAAAGTACTTTACTGTATGTAAGCCGGCGTAATAGAACGGAGCCTGACGGCGCATCTTACACGGACTTTTATCGGGAGCTGATTTTCCTTTAGGGCTGTCATTTGTACCTACTGAAGGCTGTGCAGATGAATCCAAGACACCCCGTCGACCTTACCTTAACATATCAATGTATGTCTATTGTTATCTATGTGAACAATATTGATAACATGAAGCCACGTCCCATGATTGACCTGATCTAGCTGTCTCTATTTTGAACGTTCTAGGTACACCCGGGGTGGATACTCAGGATCAGTCCACAGGGCTATGCAGAGATTGTATCGATAGAGTTGATTATAGTACTCTCATTCCTGTCCATTCGCCAGCAAGATGCGGCCGCCATCGATGCAAAGCGAGATTCCATCGACGTATGCCTGTCCCAGGTAATCAGTATAAATCATGAACTGTGCCATGTCCACTCACCCCAGCCTTGCTAACGAGATACAAAACCGTCCCGGCAATATCCTCTGCATTGCCTGCCCGTCTGGCCGGGACCTTGTCGAACAGCGAGCTGAAGATATTCCCCTCCGCACCGACAGGATTCATATTGCTAGGAACGACTACTCGAGTTAGTATGTTAAAGCCAGCATATCCGGTATTATAGAAGCCAGACAAAGCACTCACAGCCGGGATTGATCCCCACAACACGCACATAGAACCGGTTATACTTGGCCGCCAACAACCTCACCAGATGATCCGTAGCAGCCTTGCTGGCCGCATAGCTCGTCAAATCGACATTCGTCGCATTATGCATACTCGCGCAAGAGCTCGTCACCACAACGACCCCGCGCCCTTCATCCCGACCTTTCCTGCCTTCAGTACCGTCCAGAACACGGTCCGCCGCCGCAGCGAGGAGCGGGAGAAAAGCCACGCTGAGGAAATAGTGCGCGGTTGTATTCACCCGGAAGGTATCCTCCCAGTCCCTGCTATCGATGGACCACATTGAAGCCTGGAGCTCGGCTAATGGGGCAGTGAGGACGTTGCAGGGGAGAGAGGGGTCGCGCCGGATTCCGGCGTTGGAGATGAGCATGTCCAGGGCTGGTTCTTTGGCGGATATTGTGGCGGCGAGGTGCTGGATTGCGTCTTTGGAAGAGATGTCGCAGGCAATTCTGCGGTATGTTGAGTAGCTGGGTGGTATGCCGTCGGTGTGGATGGTGGTATTTGCTTACCCTTCTGCGCTTCCACCGTCGCGGCCTAACTCGTTCAGATCACGGACGGTTTCTGCTATGGGGTCGCTGGGTAGAGCGACGAGATAAACCTTTGCTCCGTTTGATACCAGGCCCTGCAGTAACTGTTGTTAATGCTGGCTCCTTGGGAGAGTAGGGCTCGTACCCTGGAGATCATAAGCCCTATCCCACTGCTTCCGCCGGTGACCAGCGCAACGCGGCCTTTGACATTAAACAGCCCGAGTGTGTCGAGAGACATTTTGCTTGAAAAGGATGCAGTAAATTGGAGTATCTCAACAAGAAGTATATTTATCCTCTCCAGCCCGTACAAGAGCGGGGAAATTCGTGTCGGACCCCCCGAACAATACCCCAACTCTATAACAAACTATCAGTATGTACGAATACTACAATAATGCTATACTTATATGTCCAGACGACATCACTCCTTGTAATGCTCCCTAGTCCTCATCTCCGCCTGACTCAGACACTCCGCAGCCACGGCATCATCCCTAGGAACCAACCGCACCTTAAAGTCCCTTGGAATAGCAACAAGCGCCGTCTTAAACTGGTTGTAATCAACATAGTCCGTATTCGGGGGCGCGTCCTCGCTCGCAACAATCTTGTACGTCGAAAGCAGCCGAAGCAGCGCCGCATAGAGCAGCCGGGACGCAATGTACTGGCCCGAGCAGGCGCGCGAGCCTGCGCCAAAGCTCAAATGGGGGAGGCTGGTTACCTCTCGCTCGACGGGGGGGTCTAATGATTTGAGCCAGCGCTCAGGGTCGAATTTTCCGCCGTTGGGGCCAAAGTGGTCGACGTCTAGTAGAAAGTCAGCACAGATATGCTTTGGGTAGGGTTGGATATACTTGAACGCACCATGATTACCAGCTTGGGCGTTTATGAGAATCATTGTCTTTGGTGGGATGATTGCCCCGTTCCAGTTTACCTCTGTCACTGTCTTGCGAGGCAGGCTCATCGCGCTGACGGTGTAGTACCGGCCGGCCTCCTTGATGATGGCGTTGAGGTAGGGGACCTTCTCCTCGCTGACAGCACTTGTCCAAGCATCGCGGATGTCAGGGTAATACCGCTTGATATCCTCGTAGGCACGATCCTGCCAGACCTGGCCCTCAGGAGTAGACAAGGACCCAATAGCAGAAGTCAATGTACCGGGGATAGTCTCGAATCCTCCAGACACCAGAGACAAACAGATTGAGGAGACCTCGACCCCGGTAAGCTTTGTCTCTTCGTCTTTTAGAATAGCCGCAGAGATGCACGGCTTATCGGTACCTTTCTTGATCATCTCGCGGACTTTATCGAGCAACAGGTTGAGGTATGCATCGCGACGCTCACGCAACTCCTTCGACCGCGCATTCTTCTCGTTATTCGGCACATAGCGCAGCGCAGGGATATAATCCTGGAGATTCTCCGACGCACTACGCAGCAGCGAGATCGCCGAGCCAACATGGAGGATCTCGCGCAGGAGGTCGTCATACACCGCGTCCATGCGGATCCCATAGCAAAGCGTCAAGGTCGTGTTCAGCGCATACCGCTGGATATAAGGCCTGACATTCAACTCAATGGCCCCATTTGAGCTATCGCGGTACATGTCGCGAACAATGCAGTAGCTCTCCAGGTCGAACATGGGGTGGTAGTTGCGCAGGGCTGGTCTCCCTAGTGCTGTACCTGACGCCTTGCGCTTTTTCTTGCACGAGTCGTCCCAGGGCGAGGAGCCGATTGTGAACCCCTGTGTGCTGCTGACGACGCCGTGGAAGGTGTACAGCTTTGGTCGGTCGATGACGGCGCTTTGGTGGCCCAGCAGCATCTTGCGGCAGTCTTCGAAGGAGTTGACGACCACTGCGCGCGTGTTGCCCAGCTTGATCTGGAAGACGGAGTGGCCATATTGCCTCCACCAGCCCTCGCAGATGCTGGCGTGGTCGTCGCCGAGTTTCAGCAGGTGGCCGAAGACTGGAACTGCGCCTGGGATTTCGGGGAGTCCTTTGATATGGGGGATGTCGGTTGCAAAAGCCACCTGATGGGTTAGATTGGAACAAGACGATGTAAGAGACTTACCTTGTAGAAAAGATATAGAAATAGGGGAATCAGCCCTAGCAAGTAGCTCCTGGGGACAGCGCCCAAGAGGGCCAAATGCTCGTCCAGATTCACGTTCTTGATCATGTTGCAGTTTATCTTGCAGCTGAGAAGCCTTGCAAGAGATGAGATTATATAGATTATAGATTATAGACTAGAATAACCAGGATTAATGGTTGACTGGTGTGTCCGACACCCCTCACTGTTATCCCTGCTATCCACTGGAGGGTCGGTGTCGGACAGTCCGACTGATACTATCTATTCAGTTGAACTCTAGATATGGAGTTATCGGTATGAATTCTTTTATTTACTAAGAAAAGACCTGATCTGCCTGTCCATCCACTCAGTATCTTCGTTATTACTCCCTCCTCCAGCAAGATGACCCCAGACTGACGGAATCACCGCCAGTTCCCCAGACTGCAGAAACTCAACCTCCTTCTGACTTGCCTCCCACTTGAAGTACTGGTCCGTACGACAAGGCATAAGCAGGATCCTTGCCTTCAGCCTGCGTAGTGCACTTTCCAGGCCCATCTCATTGCTCAGGTCGGACCGCTGCCACATCCCCAGCATGGCCAGCAGATCGTCAGGATGCCAGTCCTCGTAATTCTTACCACCTATCACTCCAGCCCATTCAGCCAGAGAGCTAAACCCCTGTTTCTCGAAGAGCCGCTGCTCGAACCATTCGGCGCTGGTGAGCCACGCGGAGTACGCTCTTCCGAATGCATGGAGACCGCGAATAGGCTGTGCATTTGAAACCGAAGAGTTGTAATCAACAGAATGGATAAGAGCAGCCTTCGGACCCTCCAGAAACTGATAGTTATGCAGACTGGTCCTCGCGGATGAACATATAACCACCGCGCGTTGGACCATCTCCGGGTACATCGCTGCCCAGTGATATGCACACTGTCCGCCCATGGAAAAGCCAGCCACGACGTCCAGTACTGGGATATTCAAGTATTCCGTGACTAAGCTGTGCTGGGCCCTGACACAGTCCTGGTATTCGATGGTCGAGGGGAAATTGGCCGTGTTTGACGGACTCGAGGACTCTCCGTTGCCGAGGAGGGCGACCACGATGACTCGGTAGTCGCGGAGTGCTCCGTTGGCGAAGTTCAGGGTCGTGTTGATGCGTCCGCGGAAGCATGTTGGGATAAGTGCTGTCCTGCTGCTGTCTACGTTGAACTCGCGATACGCCAGGCGGAGGGGGAGCGTGTCGCCATTCTGGAAGGTGAAGTTGAGTTCGTAGTACTGAATGCCAGGCATAGTAAAACTTAACAATAGCTCTAGAAACCAATATAACACTACTTCAGTGACTGGTTGTTAAGATAAGCTTAAGTATTACATGTCGTCGGACAGTCCGACAGCCCTAACTCTCAAAGACCGCCGTCGCCTTAATCTCAACCGCAAAGCGCGGATCAGGCAGTTCTCTCACCCCAATCGTTGCACGAGCAGGCGCACTCTCTCTATCCGACCAGATCTTATTCCACTCCTCGTTCATGCCCGCATACTGAGTCTTCATATCCAAGATGTAGACGGTGGTGTCGACAATATTGTAGAGATTGGCCTTCCCTCCGGAAGCGCCCTGGATGATGCTGTCGACCCTGCGCAGGATAGCAGCTGTCTGCTGCCGCACATCGACTGTAAATGTGCCGTCGGGGTTTTCAACCACCCCTTCGTAGCTTCCATCAGGGCTGATTGCGGCGATTCCGGAGACGTAGATTGTGTGGTGTGTGGAGGGCTGCACGACGCGGGCGTGGGAGAACCGGGTTGGGCCTGTGCGTTTCTCGGGGTCGAGGAGGAAGGACTGGCCGTTTGGAGACATTCTGCTGGCAATTGATATTTGATGTTTGAGATGTTGGAGTGTATACAGCTGTATCCTTCAGGGATTTATTTGTGGTTGTTTCGGACTGTCCGACGCGGCAATGCCGATGTCAGTATAAGACATGACGTTGATTTATTCTGTTGGATTTACTCTGCTTGATTTATTTCTGAAGAATGGTCTTCACCTGGTAGTAGTATTAGTTATTACCTTACCTATTGCCTGTGTTGGAGCCATCGTTTCACGGTGGAGAGTTGGAGATATCTTGAACACCAATAGGTAACAGATAAGACGTACAGATAATGAATGATAATCTCCTTCATTCCGATTGGAAGTTAACAGTTATTCCCCGCACTTTGGCGTTCTTCAACGTGATGGCTGGATGTCTTCAGATAACTCCTCATATCCCTCCCCCAGAACAGTTTGCTTCATGAATAATGCCGGAACTCACTGCCAGGGCAGAGAACTCCTGCAAGCGATGCTATCGCAGGAAAAAGCGCTGCGACAAGACCCTGCCCCAGTGTCTCGCATGTAAACGCGCCAAAGTCTCGTGCAGCTTCCTCGACGAGGAGGCCCCGGTGGCATCCTATCCCGTTGCGTAAGTGGACTTGACTGATGATACATGCTGTTCTAATAATGGCACAGCTATGTACGAGGCTTGGAGCGCCGCGTCAAAGAGCTGGAGCAGCAGCTCGCGTCATCGCTGACGCCCCAAGACTCACAAAACGAGGCATCGCATCCCTGGGACCAGGAAGCTGTTGATATCCCACTGGGGGATGAATTTGTTGCCCCTGAGCATGTCGTAAACACGCCGCCACCTGTGCCCGCGGACATGGTATCAGTGATACCCATCGACCCTCTTCCCAGACAGAAGCCAGGCAATCTATCAGAAGAGCTGCGGCTGCTGTCGCTGGAGGCAGTAGCAGAGCGCTATCTTGGTTCTTCATCCGGCCTTTCCTTTGCCAAACTCACCCAGACAGTTCTTCACCGGTTATCCCCAGACCAAGATGGCTTTGTCTTTGGCGAGAACAGCGGTGACAGCGACGAAGCCCGACAAGATCCAGACTGCGATATAGATCCCATTTTCTTCGATATGAATACACTGCCCCTGAATTCGCTATTCGGGACCGGCGACCCGCCTGTTGAACTGGCAGACTGCGAGGATGCAGACGCAGATGCAATGGAGCTGGCTTTGCTGGAGCCCGGGCATATCAGCTACCTCTTGGAATTCTACTTTGCACACTCGCATACCCTGTATCCGATAATCCGAAAGACGGACGTTGAAGAGGTCCTCTGGCGGATCTTTGCTGATCCGCTGGATCCATTAGCCCAGTCTCCGCTGTGGCAGTTCAGGGTGTGGATGATTCTGGCGATTGGGTCGACGACGTACTGCTCCGTCTCTTTGATGGATGAGACTGAGCCCGTGCGGTTCTTCAACAAGGCCATGACTTATTTTGAGCCGGCAATGGGGTGCGGTGACTTGGTAGGTGTTTCTATGCTTGACTGATCATGGCTAATGAGAGTAAGGCCGGCCTGGAGGTTTTGATGCTGCAGGTTTCTTATTCCTTCTTTAACAAAATTGGGCCCAGTATGTGACTTCCAGTAGTTTCTATATTTTTCCGTCCTAATCCAATAGATACGTGGTTCTTGGTGGGCGTCGCTGCTCGCATGGCAACGGGGATGGGACTGCACACCGACGAAGTATACCAGACTCTGGCAGTCGACGTCGCCGAGCAGCAGAAGCGGATATTCTTCTCTCTATACATGATGGATCGGTACTTCTTCTAGCTTTATTGGATGGGCATAACTGACATCCGCAGTGTCGTGTCATTGGCTTTGGGACGGCCCTTTGCTATCCAAGACGACGACATTACAGTCGAGGCATGTCTACTTGTATACTTATACTGTTTATTCATATACTAACTTGTTGCAGCCATTTGCTGATGCCGAAGACAAAAACATAAACCCCGAAACAATCACGCCCTCCAGCAATCTCGAGCCATCCACCATGGCCGTCCCCCTGCACATCCTCGCCCTGCGCAAAATCGCCAGCGACATTGGCAGCAAGATCCACTCCACAAAGTACAGTGAGCGGCAAAGCCCCGAAGCAAGAGAGCAAACCATCCAGCAGCTACACAAACGCCTGGTCGAGTGGCGGCGCAGCATGCCATTCCCCCTGCCCGATCTCCAGTCCAAAGTACCCCATCTCTGCACCAGCTGGTTCGACCTAAACTACTACACCCACGTTATCATGCTCTACCGGCCATCCCCCCTCAGCCCAGTCCTCGACGTCTCCAAGATGAAGATCCTCGCAGAGGCATCCGACATGGCCATCCGGCAGGCAATCAACCTCCACCGCCAGCGCCGGTTCGCTTACAACTGGCTCAATCTCGTGGCCGTCTTCAACTCGACTCTGTCTCTTATGTATACCTCTACTGCGGCCCTGGCAGACGACGGTCTTTCGTTGGCAATGGACCAGAGCAGGGCGATCGCGGGCCTGGAGCTGGCGGTGGAGTTGCTGGATTCGTTTAGGAGGAAGTTTCCCTCGGCGAGGAAAATCCAGGCTATGATCCAGACTGTCATAGCACGGCTCAATGTATATACCCTGTTTTCGTGGCCGGAGCCGCAGGATTGGCGTGCAGCTGCTGGGGTCTGTCGGCAGTCATGAAGTATCGTCGGACAGTCCGACAGTCCAGATTAAGCATGACCATTTCGCACTTTTATCTCCTGAGAAGAGCCCAATTTTCCGTTCATTCGAAATGTCTGCAGCAGATGATTCATTACAGTCCCAAGACAATGCCAGCCAGCCATCCTATCCAGAAGGGGGACTGGCTGCGTGGAGTGTCGTGCTGGGCAGTTGGATGGCCTGCTTTGGCACCATGGGCCTGATGAACAGCCTGGGGATCTTCCAGGCATATCTCGAGGAGAACGAACTGCAGCAGCTCTCTCCAGGCAAAGTCGCCTGGATTTTCGGCATCTACTCCTTCCTCGCCTTCTTCTGTGGAATCCAAGTTGGCCCTATCTTCGATGCAAAGGGCCCCAGGATTCTGATCATCTGCGGAGGGACTGGGACAGTGCTATATCTGATCCTCCTTGGCTTCTGCACTCTATACTGGCACTTCATGGTCGTTTTTGGCATTCTCGGTGGAATCAGCCTGTCTCTCACCTTCAACCCTGCAATCTCCATCGTCGCGCACTATTTCAACCAGCGGCGAGGCCTGGCAACGGGCATTGCCTCGTCCGGCGCCTCCTTTGGCGGCGTCATCTTCCCTCTGCTCTTCCAGAATGTCATCTCCAAGGTTGGTTTCGCCTGGGCCACGCGAGTCATCGCCCTCGTCGATCTGGTTACTCTGATCACCGCAGTCCTGCTCATCAGGCCCCGGTTCCCCCCTAAGCAAAGCTCAGCCAGGAGTATTCTCCCGGACATCTCCGTCTTCCGCAACACCGGGCTGGTCCTTGCAAGCATGGGCATGTTCTTCATGGAATGGGGTCTCTTCGTCCCAATCACCTACCTGACATCTTACGCCTTGTCCCACGGTATGTCCCCGCAGTTCTCCTTCCTCCTGCTCTCCCTGATCAACGCCGGCGCAATCCTCGGCCGCTGGATCCCCGGCTACTGCGCCGACCGCATCGGGCGCTTCAACACCTTCATCCTCACCATCTTCGGCTGTCTGCTATTCGCCGCATGTCTGTGGATGCCCGCCCAGTCCAGCAAGGCAGTGACAACCGCTTTCGCGCTGCTGTTTGGATTCGCCAGCGGGAGCAACGTCAGTCTGGCGCCTGTGTGCATCGGCCAGCTATGCAAGCTGGAGGCTTATGGGCGGTACTATGCGACTGCGTACGCTATTGTCAGTATAAGGTGTGTTCGCCTTGTCTTCAGATAATTCCAGCGACGACAGCTGATACCATCCTTATCAACAGCACCCTGACGGGCATTCCGATTGCCGGTCAGATCCTGACGCAGTGCAGGGGCGAGTACTGGGGCTTGATCGTGTTTACCATTGCTAGCTATGCTGCTAGTCTGGTCTGCTTGGTTGCGGCGAAGCTTTACTGCTGTGGATGGATGGGGTGGAAGGCGATCTATTAGCATATTACAATTCGGTCGTGGTTTGGCTTCCTCATCTCAGCGTCTGAAAAGGCCATTCAATAAAGGCTGGAATATGACAACTGCCAGCAAGCCTCGCTGGTGTGTTGCAATCAGAAGATCAGGGTGCATGAGCAATGCAGAGTCCTGCGCCTTTACCGTTGTCCAGTATGGGATACCACTTGCTTGTTTGTATTGACAGATTAAGCCAGATGGGGCCCCTTACTACATCGCAGCTCGACATTCTATAACTTGAACTACGTCCAATCTACAGAATGCCCGCGCAACTGAAGGATCTTTGCTCATGGTCCAATTTACAGCCGTCCAGGAAAATACCACCGGCAAACGCCACTTCCACGTCTCTTGCTTTCGGGAAGATGCATCAGGACAGGAACTCGCGATTGCCACCGACGACGAACCAGAGGCATGATGGGAATTTCAATCTGTACATCCGGGAAGGTCTTGCAGATGTTGAAAGAAATGGCCACACCGCATTGTTGAATGGGGTGGCTGTTTCTCGCCATGGCCATGCCTAGCTCCATCGACCAACTCAACGCGCGGAGCAATGCTGTAGGCTACATGCCTGATTGTACAGATTCTCGTTCTACCAATGGTCACTTATTTTTGGCTACTGCTTGGGTTCCGGATAGCAGAAATGAACAAATGTTTGTATACAAACAACCTGGCCATGGTTCACATATGAAGGGCCATGTCGATTGATGTCCATTGTTATTATAAAACCTCATTCCTTGTACCTCCTAGTTTCTTCACATTCATTGTTCCAAAATGGCTCCTTTCCAGGGCGATGTTCGTTGCAACTCTTGCCCCTCCAGATATCAATGCCCAGATTGCCTAACATGGACTGATGTATAGGAACTTTTCATTCGCACACGTTTTGACGCACATACTCTGTCCTTTTCTTTGACGAGAATACCAGCTTTCAATATGTGGTTTAATCAACAAAGACCGGTAGTATTCCATTGCTCACGTAATGGCGTTCGAGTTTATTTACTTGGCCGCGGAGAGGTGAGTGTATCAGGTTGCGCCGCTCTGGTATCATGCACTGATTATTGATGTTCACGTAGGGCGTCAGAGCCCTCATTCTGAGGGCGATCACAGTGGATTCCTTGGTCATCTATATCCATCGGTTGTCCATGACCCGTCCTCCCAGTTGGAGGCTTGTCAGACTGCTTGTTGGCCTCGCTCGACACCCGGACGTTGTGGGAGAACTGTCAACCGAACAAGAAGATATGGTTAGGCTTGCTATTCTAAGGGCAACTGGTTACTTGTGATGTTACAATACAGGAAGAATGTTAAATTGAGTGTCTTTGATTGTAACAGACAGCAATCGTAGCTTGTGATATTCTTTGAAGATGTAACCAAGCGAGGTGAGAGAACAAAGTGCAAAAAAGCGAACGCCTTCACCAGCGCAGCCCTCGTGGAAAGATATAAAACCCGACCCTAATTCCCTTCTAGAAGCCTCCACCAATCCACTGAACAAGGATCTCTAAGCCCAAGTTAGTTATATTCTTAGGGAACTCGCTCATCATGTCTTCCACGCTAGTTGCTGGACCTAAAGTTGCGGCCTGCGTGGCTCGGATATTGGACAGCGCCAAATGCGGATACGTCCAATGGGGCTGGGAGAATATCGATTTGTGGATAAAGGGGGAGAAGATGGGATTCAAGGAAATCGAGTTTGTGATCCCTGATCGCAAGATTGAAGATGCCATTCGCGTCCTAGAAACCACGGGGGCTCCCCGCTGCAAAGATCCGAAATGCATCGAACTCCAGCAAGACTGGTTTGATGAATGCGTAAAGCAAGAATTACTACTTGACGAGTTTGACTGGGATGGCAGAGACGCTTTATATGCCGAAATACCGCCTATCTGGAGGGTTAATGCAAAACCAAGAAGGGATGCCAAAAACCGGATACACCCTGTAGGTGCCGCACATTTCCACTACAAGGACAATGACGGAGTGCTTACACTCCTGTGCCAGAGCAAGATCCTGCCCTGGGTTCGCGAGATAGAGTCTGGCCTTGCTGCTCCTGGAGACCCCGATCTAGTCATGACAGACCAGCCTGGGCTATATCCAGTCAAGGTCTTGCGGCCCGCCTCTTTTGCTGAGGCTGTGCTCCGACTGCTGTGTCGTGATATGGTTGATAATGAAGACCTCGAGATGCTATGGAGACGGATGCTTGATTCGATGAAGGAAGAGGAAACCCTGTTCTCTCAGAATCTCAGGCCTGCATTCCAACCCGCCTGGAATGCCCTCATGGGACGCAGTGGCTACATCGACCCAATAACCGAAGTCATTCAACTCCGCAGGGAATTGATCAAGGATGATTTCCGACCCGATCGCCTGCCTGACGAGGCCATTGCCGGGGGCGAGCGGTATCAGGAAGCCACCGCAAGTAATCGTGAGAAGCTCCTAAGGTCTTTGTGCGATAGAGACCAAACAGTGGACCGGAAGTTTGGTTTATGGCATATGAATAAGTTTCGTCCCATACTGGAACGCTCACCACTCCCAATCCCAGAAGACTGTGATCCTGTAACCGAAGGTCTTCTGGAAAATTGGACCAGGATCATCCCTATGGGAGTGTTCAAAGTCATCGGCCCTGGAGAAGTGGTCCTCGTAGATTGAACCGCGGGTCTTCTGCAAAAATTGGACCAAGTTCACTTGTTGACTCTCGTCTTTCTGTTTGATGGCATGTTTAGTTAATTCTCAATCTCATTATTCTCTTGGCACAGATCCGTCACAACGATACGGCGTTATGGTAAAACATCTGTAATCACGGCCCACATCTGTGTCGCCCTATCACTGTCTCGATCCAGACCCATGGCCTGCACTGTAATTGGCCACCTGGCAGGGCGCTCACCAGCCACAGCTGAGATCCGCCGCCCCAAACCGTTTTCTCCCGGGCAGAGTCGGAGCTCTGCACCCCGCGCACGCCGTCTGGGCGAGGCAAGTTTCCCGGTTTGGCGTGACCGGCTGTCTGATTGAGTAACCGGGGGCGTGCGGTCCAGACTTTGACGTCGGAAGATTCAGGAACGGTCGCGAATCAGGATTCTCGAAAAGGAGTCCCGTGATTGCAAGGTTTTTCGTCACGGCTGGCATTGTGATCATTGGCTGTGGCATTTCTTCCTTTTGGGCTGTCGAATATTCGATCTGAACTTTCCAGTTCCAGTTCCAGTTACCAGCGATTTGATCGGATTGTGCCAGACAACCCATCGTGGGCGGAGGATCGAAGTGCTACGTCGTCTCCACTCATGGCCTCGTGATTCCTCTACCGGAACAGCTTTGGCAATAATGACTCTACCCCAGATTACGACACGCCGCTCTGCCTGCCCCGCGTTCGGAAGTTAACTTGACTGACGTTGACATCTTGAAGGTCGACCAATTGAGGCTCGGGCTCTCTCTGTCATCTTGAGTCTTAAATATCACCAGCCCTACGACACTTCACGACCATATAATAATGACTTAAAACTCATCTCCTGTCCCAATTCCAATGCAAATGCCCTCTACGCTTCATGACGAGGTCACTGTCTCCAGTCTTCATTCAGGTCAACCGCCCGCCCCAGCGAAACAAATCGCCAGCATCCCTCTTCCGTGCGGGATTCGCCCAAGATCAATGATCCAAAATCCAAGCAATTCCACTCCCTTTTGGTGATAGTCCTTCCCCGCTCGCTGGAAAGATGGTCGGGTTTTTGTTGATGGCCACGAGCTACGGACTGATGGACTGACGGCAGTGGTGGCGGTATTCCATCTTAATATTATACTACTAGTCGTACTCGGCTTTGCCGTCTTAACTACTCCTGGAAAGCTAAGCGGGGCAAGACGTTTGGTATACGACTTGGCTTTGCGCTGCATGCTTTGGGCGGTTCCTTGGTTTCAAATAGTAAATGTTTGAAGAAGTAGGGTGGCAGATGGGGGCCGATGCACCTGTCAGGGATGCAGACAAAGAACCTGGACGCAGATGAGCAGCTCTTAAATCAGGGTTTGGTTTGCATGTGAGGGATCAGTGCTGCGGTTCTAGATCTCGAAGATCCCCGTTCTTTTGAACGCATTGGCCTGCTTCTTACGTGTCCATGCGTCAGTCCAGGTCTACCAAGCACAAGCTACAAGATTCTATCTCTCCAAGTACGACCTACTCATCTAAGCCAAAAGCACATCCAGTTCACTCGGTTTCTCATTTTTTGTAGTCTTTCCAGGTTTATTAGCGTACATGGCATGCCACCAGCCATGCAAAACGTGTTTGAACACAAGGTGGTATCTTTTTACAACAAAGACACGATATTAGAGGTTGCTTCCCTGCTTCGAAAATGAAGACAGTAACAGCGCTAAAGTCGCCATGATAACATCCATAAGCCTCCAACTCTTTTGTATCATAATGAAAGAAAGGAAATCCCATGTGACCATATCAACCGCGTGTACCCCTGTATCCGTATCAAATGGAAAATCGTCTGTACAAGAAGATTATTCGTAATAAGAGGCTTCCAGTAGTAAGGGGGTGCCCCGAGTATGTGTATAGTGCGCAGGAAAAGAGACAGCCACCATGCAGTATCGAACAAGTGCGGAAATAACAAAGGAACGCAAAATCGAGAATTAGGCGAACCCGAAATGAGGCCAAGTCAGAAATAACAGCCATATAATCCATAGGTGCGCCCAAAATGCAATGCAGTCGTGATTGGTATGTGTGACAAGGATGACAAGCAGCATGTCTCGAAAAAGTAAACAGGAGATTTGTCAAAATCGGGTATCATAATCAAAAGGGGGGGAGAAGAGAAGAGTCTTGAGGCTTGTTCGTGAGGACATGGGTGTGAATTCGGACTACCATCCCTTTGCGTGGTACTCCCAAGGCCCGTAATCAGTAGTGTGATTCCAAGAGCCGGTTCTTGCGACATCTTTATCCTTGCCCGGCGCTACCCCGTTGGAGGCGGCCACCGGCGGCTGCTGCTGCTGTTGGCCTTGAGGTCCAGGATATTCTTTCAAGTTGGCCATGTCATGAGCCGTATGCCTCCGCTTAAATGCATTCGCGGTCGCACTCTTCTGCTGTCGCTCCCATAAGAGATGGCGACGAAGGGATTCCGTCAACTCCGTGGCCAACATGTTTCGGCGGGTGGTTCGGGGCGAATGCGCGACAGACTCCGGGGTAGGCTTCATGATGATCGGCTTTGAACGCGGAACACCAGGCCCCTTCATTGTCAGGCTCTCCTCGTCGTCCTCCGGGGGTGATGCCGGGATAGAAGGACCATTAGGCGAAGTAAGGCGCGAGCGCTGTAGGGCGGGAGTAGATCGAGATGCATGGCCCATTTTCAGGGGTTGGTGCATCATCATCGTCAAAAGTGAGCGACGGGAAACCAAGTTCGGTCGCGAATCAACCCTTTGGAACATGCCGCCGCCCTTCTCCTCAACGCTCGAGCGACCACTCTCAGTAACCGAGTCTTCCCAGTCTGAATCTTCGTCATCGTCGATGGCACTCTCCGAGATGTCGTCGTCCGTCTCGATCGCATCCTCGTCGTTGCTACGACGATCCCTCATCGATTTAAGATCTGCGGCCTGGTCCTTGAATGTCGTAACCTTTTTGGGATTGAGATTGCTGCCCGGTCTTTTCTCGAGTTGATCAGAAAGCGAGCTGTGGCGAGGAGCATGCATCATGCGATCCTCAAAAGAACTCTCATCGTCATCACCGGAAGAGCCACCAAGGGTGAACATGCCACCTTTTTTCTTCAAAGGAGACAATTTGGCGGGAACTTGGGTTTTGGTGGTACCTGAGTCGTTCGAGAGTCTCGGCTGCGACCGGTATGAAGAAGAGATCTGGGAGGGGGTGAAGCCGCGGACGATGCTGGGAGACTTAATCAACTGTGGTTTGGACGGCAGAATACCTGACGAGGAGACGCTGGTGTCAGAACCATCTATGTTCATGTTGGCGGTATCGCTGTCATTGCCGTCCGGGGCGGTCGTTGAGCAAGATTCGGTTGAGTGTTTTTGGCGATCATTCAAAGCAAACGACGGTCGCTTGAGAGTGGTGTTGGACGGAGGGGTAGGCGTAGGCGTGGACGGTCGGGGTGTGATGTCAACAATCGGCTGGGCTAGCGTTGCGGCCGGTGAGATCGGTTCCAGACTTTTCTTCTCCTTAATGTTAAGCACCATACGCTCCAGATCCAAAGATGTCAGATGCTTCTCCTTTGCTCGGCCAAGACTATATGAGTCGTCGCGAACAACAGCAGGCTTATAATCCAAATCTCTAGGACGCTTAATGTGCTTCTCTATCCGCTCTGCCTGGTCTGAAGCTGCTGATTCAACGCTGGCAGAAAGCTCCGGCAGGTCTGCGGCTTCCGATCGAAGCAAAGGCAAGACAGAAGTATCGCTCGAGTTTTCAGGTTCCACGCAAAATGTCTCACGCGTCCAAAGTCTCCAGCTCAAGTTTTCTAGTCGGCGCCCTTCTTCCATGAAGTCTGCGCATTTAGAAAATACTGTGGCAAAATAAGTTAGAAAAAAAAATGTTATAAAACTCTGTTCGCTTCAATTTTACTCACCCATCCACATTCCATGAAGGCTCTGTGTGTTTGCGGTATCCACCTTGTGAATCTTCGCAGTGTCCACCGTTAGAACAGGGGTTGCTAAACGTGAAGGCATCTTTGTGTCGCCACGATTGTGAGTTTTGCAAATGAACCCCCGGAATCTGTCACTTGTCAAAGAATCAGGTACGGGGTCGCCGTCTCCCCCGAACGTAGTCGTACGGCGCGATAGAGGTGCAGACGAAATGTTCCCGATCTAGTCCTTTTGTTTTTTCTTCCCTTTTTGGAGATTCGCCCAGATCGAAAGTCCAGCGATGGCCACACTAAGCAATGGATTGCAGCGGTTTCAATCCAGCTGCAAATGGCACCTTAGCTGCCGTAGAGAAGCAGCACAGCGGAAGGATCTATTTTTTCTAAAGCGAATGGCGGGTGTGAGTCGTTAAAAAAAAGGGCAGGTCGGAAAGTCGTAACAAATTCTTCAGTGTCCCGAAATCGCGTCTGAGAACGGACGGAAAGCGACCGAGATGCTAGAAACGGTTCACCTGGAATGGGCGATGAGGATGTTTGCGGTGTCGTAGTTGGTGATGGCCGGTTCGGGACGTGTAGGTGTGGTGAGGGGATGAGGGGGAGGTTGGAAGACGCGAGTTTGCCGGTAGGAGGAGGGAAAAGGAACACACAGGAATATGGGGGGAGAAGAAGAGTAGTAATAGCGAGGCACGGTGGATCCTGTGTGAAAGAGGAAAAAAGGAAGATGGACCAAGTCGATGGGCCGGTGGAGAAGAGAGATGGGGGGAAGGTCCGTATGTAAGTATGTAACAGTACAAGGGGATGCAGTGCGTGAGGATGGTGGCCACACACTCTCTCATTCACAGCCAGAAAAAGTCCGACAGACGGTACCGAGGGAGAGGTTCAAAGGCAAGAGGATGGGCGGTAAGTAATGGGAAAATCCTACATAGCCGCGCCTCTGCCCCGTGTTAGGCTCGATTTTATTATTATTATTTGGGATTTATTAATTCCTTTTCGAATTTTCGAATTTCTGGATTTTCCGTTTCTCTTCTGGGCTCGTACCTCTGTACCCTCCTGTGACTCCCGGAGTATCCCCGTGGGTCGGTTGGTAAGGAAAACGCCGTCCTGACGACCGGTATTTTACCAGGTTGTTTTCGGAGGCCCACCGAAGAAAAAAGTACGGAACTTGGAGTTGGGCTGAGAAGGGGAACTCGTTCCCGGTGAACATCCAGAGATTTAGCCTTATGAACCGACTTCTGGGATTACTTGAAGCTCTCCATATTCTTGCCGTATCCTCTTGCTGTTCTCTCTCTGTCTGGCTTTGATCGCAATTGTCCTGGACCAGAAGTACCAGCCAGCGTTGGTCAAAGAGAGACGGGAGAGGTTCTAGACAACGATTCAGCAGAGATCATCTGCCCTGTGACCACCTCCGCGATGACTAAGACAGCTCCATGCCCGCTAGTCTCGCAGCAGTTCTGTCGCTGGACAATTCAGCATTATTCAATAATATTCAAAGAGTGATAGTCGGTGGCCAGGTCACTTGACTGCCAGAGAAAAAATATGGATCCGCAATGATTGGCCTCCAGTGGCTGTTGCACCTTGAACATCACCTCCGTCCTCTTGAGCCGCTGCCTGTCAATTGCGACTCGTCTCTCTTGTGCAATCTGAGGGATTATTATTGTTCGAGATGCCCCGGACCTGTGGGAGAAGGGCCCCCTGGCGTCCAACTTCCAAAGAGCCTTTGCAGAAATGATACTGGCTGGGCTGCTCTTCAGGCGCCCAAAAATCTCCATGTCCTGCTGACTACAGGTCGGCCGCATCAAGCGATTCATCTGCTTTCGCCACGGATATGCAGGCTGTACGCTGAGCTTTTGGCAGCAGATCGAGGTCGTTTGGCCGCTCGTTCCTTTTTTTTTTTTTTTTTTTTTTTGCTGCCTCGCCCTTGACGCTTTGAACTCGTCATTTTGTTCAGTTGATCAATGTTCGGGCTATCCCTGGGTAATGTTATTGATTGCTAACGAAGGGGCTCAAGTAGTAATCCTATACTATGATATGATCATACGTGTCAATTCTATTGTTTTATCCATCCTGGCTGAAATGGCTCCATGAACAGCGATCTTCCTTTCCGCCAGCTGCTCGTAACCGTTGGAATGGGCCATCACATACCGGGAAAGAGCACGGCGTATCCGATCGAGGAGATCGTCAACACACACTATCCCTAACTATTTTACTAAATACGTCTCTACCGACTGCCCCCTTGTCAACGCCATGTTCATTTTCAGGGACGTGCCATTTTAGAATGTACATTTCCTCGGTTGTATCCGTAACTCACCTCCAATATTTCCATTCGGAGAAAGCATCCTACTTTGCCCTCTGGTAAATGTTTTTTTATTTCGCATCATGCGGACCACAGTAATGGCAGTGGCGTCGCCGAAAGGCCCCGAATCGGTTCCTCGATCATACTATCGAGAATTCGATATACTGTACGCTCTCAATACAGCCCCATGGTTTTACCCGCATTGCCAGCGCTAGTAATAGACCCAGAGGGAGAAACCAAGGGGCGGAGGAGTATCACAACAACTCAATATTCCGCTTACCAGGGAGAGATCACAAGGCGGTTGACTGCCAGCTGTCACCAGTAATCAGCAGCAATCAGCCATATCCTCGCCTGGTGAGCACATCGAGTGACAATATACGTGTACAATCAATCAGTTAACGACTCGCAAGCAGCCATCTTGATCTCCAGCACTAGTGCCCGTAGCACCGGTAAGTCAGGTAAGATTGAGCCGCCCCTTCTCCATCACGGGATGGTGGCAGGGGGGAAACCAACCGCCCCCGCGCCATCGAGCAAATAGAGCGGAAATGGGCCAAAGGTGCTCGAGTCAGAATGCCCCTTGGCCACGAGTTCTTCAGGCTCGGTCATTTCACAATATGGAACTCGTGGCATTTAGCATTTGCCGCGGGCTGTCAGCCTTCATGTAACCCCAGACTCAAATGCCAATCAGGTTCCATCAGATGATAATGATATTCTCCATCGGGGCCCAGAGTAGAGATTTCAAGAGACACATGATGGGCGGAGGCCCCGGTGGAGTGGTGAGATTCGACCTGGGGAAAGAAGAAGAAGAAGAAAATACGTCTCCGAGCCAGTCCCTGCAGTGGCGTCTTCTCCAGCCCTTGTCGGTCTTCGCGGTGGATGTTCCGGATAACAGGTCGTGGTGAATCACGCGTCTATGAATGGATGGAGGAATTCATCAAGACTGGAGAGGGCGGATGGGCTCTCGGCCCCAAATGAACCGAAGGATCTAAGCCTTCCAACAGCCATCAAGTCACGGCGTGTTGCTGCAAGGTTCTTCAAGTCACCAACGAGATTGGTTTCATTAATTCATTTACCCTCCCCCCTCCTCCGGGGTATTTGGGATGGGAGGACGTGACTGGCTACATTGGACATACTCCGATCCCAGGACGAAAATAGTCGGTAAGATGATGCAGCGTCGCCGCATAACAATCAATAGAGTATACGCTGCACTGACTACTCAAGTCACTCGCATTTCTGCATGCGCGACACCATGCACAGAAGACAGCAGGCAAGAACCTTGAGCGGGTTGGCGTCGACAAGGTGAGCATATTAGACGCATAACTATCAGTTTTACCCACTGTTCAACTGTTGGGATGGGGCGGACGCAGCGCCGGCGATTGTCCAAGTGCTCACCTGCCCACCTCCGTGCATACGCCTGTTCCACCGGGTTGGAGAAAAGCCACGTAGCTGCATATTATTCCTCTGTGAGAATTCGAGGGCATCGTGTGCCCAACAGGGACTTTCAAGGAGAAGACAGAGGCTACGAGGTGACGACAACGACGATGCTACGGAAGCTGGTTGGTATGCTCAGGATACATACTTGTGACTGAGTGGCCCGTCTCACCGGGGGCTTTTCTGGCGGCCGAGAAATACGCCGAGCAAGGAGATCAGATTTCCACTGTTCGCTGGATGCACCGCTGACAGCCAGCGACAGGACATTCAGGGTCACCCTCGTGCTCGGGAAGAAAGCGCACAGCACAGAGTACGATACGAATGGTCGTATGGACCCCCAGCTCTTGATCAGCTCCCGAGGTTTCGGGGCCGCAGCGTGGCACCGGGAGTCGTCACGGTGCTCGACCAGGAATGATAGACGAGCTCTTAGTGAAACTAGGCGCTCAAATGGATGAGCGGAAGGCTGCCGAGGCGCAACAGAACCGCCAGCAGTGCAAAGTACAATCCTGTCATGATGTTGGCGAGCAGCGAGCATCGGCAGATCAGTCACCAAATCGAGACGAACGTGGGGGAAGTCACGGGAGTCACGGGAGCGGGAGTCACTGGACCGGCGAGTGGCGAAAAACCGTTCGGGTCACAAGGACAGCCCCGTGCCGTCACATGATGCGCAGTCGATCTGCCCGCGGCAGCAAGTCGGAGCAGGTCTGGAGCTTCCGTCTGCCCGGGAATCACTCCCCGTTTCATAACAATGGGAGCTTGGTTTAACGAATCCAACGCTGCTCCTGATGTTGTCGTTCCTGCTGATCTCGCCTTGCTTAGCTGACGCGGTCAACATCGCATGGCCTGCTCGATCCAGTATACAACTACGAGTCAAGCAGCACCCAGTGCAGGGCAAGGGCCGCATATCTATTACTTGGATTGCCCCAGCTTATTTGGCCTGTAATAATATGCAATTTGATCCAATTGGAGACGCTCTATCCCAAATAGGCACTACGTTGTACAAAGGCAGCGCACCATCTCCCTGCTCCGAAACATGTGTAAACGGCATGGACATCCCGACGAGTGATCTGTCCTCGAAATACAATGTCTGGGCTGGAACCTGTTTACGGTTGTCCAGAGCGGGACAGGCGAAAGGGGAGTCCGACCAAATGACCCTGTTTGAAAGAAACCTTCAACCGGTTTGAGTTATGTGGCTGGTTAGCAGGGCGAGGATCGCTCTCTGCTCTGGCGAAGTATAATTTCCCGGCCAAAGAGAGTCACGGGATGCACCGTGTGGAAGCTCTGGAAGCCAGCCTTATAGAGGCTCCTGAGGACATCCCCCTTTCTGGATTCCTTTTCGCATAACTCTGCAGATTGGGTCGCGCACGGATATCAATATCGAGGATCGTCGTCATTCCCATCCCCGTGGTGAACAAAGGGATGCGCGCAGGACGAGAACATCCCAGCATCGGATCCCTCAACGTGACTTGAAATTGAACAAAGCTTCGAGCTCCAGTGGAGTAAGTTCCCGGGATCCAGGTCAGGAACCAGCACTTCTTCATTTGCCCGTTGCGACTCAGGGCGAGACATTCCATCTTCCCCGGCCGTGTTCCCCGAAAGGTAACTCGAGAGTTTTGCTTCATGTAACCAATACTTCATGCCAGCAAGCAGAATAGAATATACGGGGTAGTAGTAAGCCTCGTCCCCAGACAAATTGGCAATCCCAGGTGTCATAAAAACGGGTACTCCAGGAGAGCAAATACACCGATTGAAAACCCAACCGTCTTTATCCAACCAGGGACTCCAGTCAAACCACGACGAGCTCAACTCCTTACCCAAATCAATGATCTGCAGTTGCAGAAGTCGGAAAGTTCCAAAGGAGGACTTGTATCTCGCCGCGGAACAGCGCGCCAGGTCCCGGTAAATCGTAATGCAAGGGATGCGCGGATCCAACTCAGGGACCTGGAGAAGCAGAAGCCCATGCATTATCCAGGCTGCCCATGCCCATTCCAAATCCAGGTCATGCTGTCCTGCTCAGAGCTCAGTGCGCTGTGCTCACGGACACTTTCACTGCGTCGCAAGACTGCAACCGTACCTGATCCCTTGGCGAAAAGCTTTTCCTCCTGCTTGTCTAACCTCACTGTTACCTTCCCCTGCAATGTTATTGTCGAGTCTTCCATCCCGAGCGTGCGTGGGAAAAGTACCGCAACATAACACGGGCCGTGGCCTGACAACCGACCACTCCAGGTCTTCTTCACTGGTCACGCCTTGTTCAGTTCTCAGCCTGCATATACCCCATACTTACCGGTCCTTGCGACATTCTTACCCGCAAGGCTCCAAGTACGTAGTTGCAATAACAACCACATTGCTTGCATATCCAATCAATAAGCATGTACTATTGCAGATATCGCCCGGGGCTACTCGATCGCGATCTAAGTTAAATGCGGACATATATTAAATTATATTATATTATACTACACATGGCTGGGCCAAATTTAGACCCGACTCCGGTAAAAACGCGCGTGGGGAGTGCTGCAACTACTAGTATACCACTCTGTCGTATACTCCCCTTCGTCCGGTATTCCGCAGCGAAACAAGAGCTCTCGGCCTATCCAATCAGTCTTCCAAAGTAACGTAAAACGCAGCAGTTGACTGCGGTTTTAGTTGGTCAAGGTGCATTTTCCAGGAAAGAAAAGCTTCGGTCGGCTGGGTTGTGGGAGGTGGATGCCCTCCCTTGTACGACGCAACTACATGACCACCCAAGCTGTCCATATATAAAACATACCCTGCCCTGGGCTTTCCTTTCGCGAGTTATTCTGGTAGGTTGCATTGTATTGATACCAAGTTGAGCTCTGGGATTGAGATGGGTATCCGCAGGCTGAGTGAGACCTTCCGGTATATATATATATGTATATAACTTCCGTACCTTAGTACAAATTATATAAATTACACAACCCCTCCATTCCCTGCGCCCCCCCAAAACAGAAAACGGAGAGTACTTCTGTATACCCTGTTGATCGTCGCATCCCAATGCGGGGATGCGTCGTCCAGCACCAGCGCTGCTGCACGCTCGAGACGCCGCGCGCCGCGTACTTTCTCAAGGGTGGGTGCGAACTGTGTGAAATGTTTGCTACCCAGGATCTAGACTCCCAATACCGCGGGCGTTGAACAGGGCTCTGGATGTGTTTTGCATGAGACTCGCCTGACTACTGTTTAGTTTAATTACCACTTAGGTACCTCGCTCATCTCACGAGACGGGGAGGAGGGAACGCAGCTTCGTTTGTTTCTGTTACGAATGGGAATGGCTTTGCTTTTGTTTGCCTTGTTATCATACTACAAGCAAAAGCATGGTTTTTCGGCGTTTAGCTCGGCGTCTAGGTTTATTGCCAGTATTAATATTCGGGTGACGCCTTGACGGGCTGAGATTGCGGGTTGGAGCGCGGCTGGTGCGGAAGTCGCTGGTTGGATGCTCTTAGAGGGCTTCCTGTCACTTGGACGCCACGCATCAACCCATCTTGGCCTGGATAGCTGGTGGTGAAGACGAGGACTGAGGTTTAACCGTCGGTAGGACAGTCGGGACTAGAGGTCCTGGGCAGACAGCTACTACAGTACTTTGGCTCGACAAACAACATCCCAGTACGGACTCCGGAGTATCAAGACGCTGAAACAACAGCTCGATCGCACAGAAGGATTTGAAGATCTGACTGGCTTCAGGCAACTCAGGTACTGGAGGCTGCGATCCCATGACCCGATCGCATTTCCGGATTGGGTCCGAGACAGGGCGCCTGTTCAGCCACTGCGGTGTCCTGGAGCTTGACTGATGGGGTCCTATTTTGTGATTTATCCTGTTTGGTGATTGTGAGTGTTCATGGAGGAGGAAACCAGGAAAGCTGAAAGGATAGCACGAATGGACGAGAGACTTGATGAGAGACTTGATGATTGAGAATGAGCCGTAAGGGCAGTCTTGATTGTATTGATTGTATTGATGTATCTGGAGGTGTTTCCAGACACAGCTCGTACTTTCAGACGACGGGGCAGAGCGAAAATACAGAAACAAGATCTGCTGTATGGAATCTTTCACCCGCAGAACAAGCGCCGCGACAAACGCAGAGACAGAGTCATCTCGCTGGCAGACGGAAAAGCTCGTCGCGTCGTGTGATGGCCTCAAAGTAGCGGTATAGAAGGAAAAAAATAAATAAAAATAAAAAAGTTCAGTCACAGAAGCTCTTGAGTCAGCATGGGAATGTCAGCCATCATCTCGCCAGCCTGCAAATTTCGCCCCTGATTTGCTTTTGTGGCCGCGGCCCTGTTTGAGGCTTCAAGTGGCCGTCACGAGAAACATCAGGCTTTTCCCTCAGATTTCAGTCTTTCCGCGGGACGGAATCGACTGCGAACAGATTCGAGCCACGTCAATGGCCCCAGCGGCCATGTGATGGGGATTGCCAGCGCCAGAGATACCGACGTTACATGATGACCTTTGGCGCAGCAGGCAGGGAAGAGAAGCGCAGAGGCAGGCCGGGCGCTGCAAAGTGATATCAGCGGAAGCCACTGGAGGGCCGAGAAGAGGCACGCCTTTCTTTGCTTGTTTCCAGTCTCTGCCTCGCAGGGTGTTGCTATTTCGGGGCGCCAGAACTGTCCCACATGGCCCGGGGGTGAATGCACTTCAGCCGGTCATCTGGACGTCAGCGTCAATCTCGGTATCCTGATTCCTGGCGGGCTCTGAGTTGTCAAGTCAGCCAGTCTCCGATCCTGAACGAGCCAGTGAGTTGTCAACCTGGAGGCTGGACAGATGATCAGGTCCTTGGGACATCTACACGGTACATACTCGTATTGCGCAGCTTAATGTGTGTGTCTCCACGACGTCTTCAGACAGACTCGAAGGATTCAACAATCACAATCACATCCAGCCGGCCCCCCACCGGCCCGCTCCGTCACGCTCAGTTCTCCTCCGGGCGGACTCAAATCCTCCGTTTGTGCGGAAGTTCCTCCGTCTCGATGAAGCGGAGGCAGCTCCCCTTGTCTGTCTCGAACAGGTTCTCTACTGACTTTTACTGACCAAGGCCGGCAGTCGACTCCCCCAGGGTGGGTTCGAAGTCTCCATCGTTCGTACTTTGTCGCGTTTCTTCCATTTCCCCGGGTTTCAGGTTTGTCCTCTGTGCCTGGGGATAAGCCAAGCTCGTGCCTCGGCTTTGGCTCCGCAAGCGAATCATTCACTGTAGAAACTTACGAGAATAAGATTTATTAAGGAGGGGAGAACTCTTCGGATTCAGATCCAACAGTTTTAAGGTTTCAACGGGCGTCATTTGACCCCAGTCTCCGACTTCATCCTTGATATTTCGTACTATTGAACTCTACGCAATGTTCCGTGCCGTTCGCAGTTGGGGCCTATTATTTGTACCTCGGGTGTGAGTGTCGTATGACTGACACTTCATCATATCTCATTATGAAACAAGTTTCGGGGCTCAATGCTTCCGGTAGATCTTCGCATTGGGGCCAATTGAGCTGGGAGAAATGATGCCGCTCGAGAGACGGAGAGGATATGTGTGTTCTGGCCTTGGTATACTGGTAGAAATGGCGTGGCTATTCAATTTTTTCATTGCATCAATTTGATCTATGTACCTGCGCCGTTTTTTTTCTGCCATAGCACGGTCTAGATGGTTTGATTAGTATGCCAAGGCACATCCGTGCTGTTTTAGGTCATCGAGAAGGTAAATATATCATATACAAGTAGTCTAGAACTCCTGCTCGTCGTCTCCGGAGATGATGACATTGTTGATCTGTCTCAAGTTAGGGCTGTGTAGAGAAGGCGCAGGAGTAGGGTCCATCCAACTCACCTTCAGAACCATACGGCACAGCTGGGTCGCAAGCAGCAATTGCTGTCGCTTCCCAATGAGCGGATCGATGACAAAGTGTTCTTTCATATCTGGGTTTGATCAGTATCGACTCATACAGCCTGGAGGGAATGAATGGGAATACCATTGTTGCCACTCAGCATGCAGTCAACACCCAGGCGAGAGTTGTTCTCCTTCACCTGGCGAGACTTGATCGCAGCAAGGGTCTCAATCGGACTCAAACCGGAGTTCTCGGACAGAGCGAGAGGCACTGCATCAAGTGCATCGGCGAATGCACGCATGGCATACTGCTCAATTCCGGGGCTCTGGAATAACACAATCAGTATCGGCTCAGGAGAAAACGAACAATAGATAATTGGCCACAAACCTTGACAGCGGCGTCTTCCACAGCAATGGAGCAGGCAATCTCCGCAGCACCACCACCATACACAACACGGTTGTCTGTAACAAGGTTACGGACAACGCAAATGGCATCGTGCAATGATCGTTTGGCTTCATCGATGATCTGAGCGTACAATTAGCAAGGTGAAGCCCAAGTCAAAGCCGCCTCGTCATTTCTCACCATCTTGTTACTTCCTCGCACGAATATCGTCACCGCACGGCTGTTGGCGCACTCTTCAATAACAAGCATCTTCTCTCGCGTGGTACCGAATGTCATCTCGCGCACTCGACCGGCTGTTCCGAGCTTGTCTGTGCTGAGGTCCTCGAAGCGAGGGACGATACGGCCGTTCGTAGCAATGGCAATCAACTCGATTTCGGGTCCACCCACCCAGCGAACAGCAGGGAGCTTGTTTTGCAGCAGAAGGTGGTTAGCCTCATCATCGAAACCCCACTGGCAGATTACCAGGTTGGCGCCGGAGTCCTTTAGGTTCTGGATCATCTCTGTGAACTTCTCCCGTTCGTAGTCTTGCAGGCGCTTGAACTCCTCCACCGATGTGATATCGAGCTTGTGCTTCGTCTTCGGCTTGGGCGGTTCGAATGGGCAGGTCAGGATTGCCAGCTTAGCATCCTTGACCTCATCGGGCATCTGCGGGTGAGAGAAGTCCTTGTCCACGATGACACCCTTGACAAGGAGGGAGTCCTCAAGCGCTCCACCAACTTTCCCGTCCACCTTGATCAACTCGAAGTCCACATCCTTCCGCTCGAGATCCGCAACAGAGAGCACAGCATCGACGGCGATCTGTGCAAACTGGTCGTGTGATTTGGAAACGCTGCAAAAAGTTAGTATCATATCCGAGTCTGAGATTTCAAGCATCCATACATCTTGCTTCCTAAACTCGTCTTTGCGACCTTGAGAAGGTTCTCAGTGTTCTCTCTTGTGAATTTGATTTCGTCACTGATCTGGTCAAGCTTCGATACGGCGATATCGCAGGCTTGGTCATAACCATCCGCAATTCGGATAGGGTGAATGCCCTTGTCGATGAGGTCGGATGCCTGTTCCAGCATGGCCGCGGCCAGGACGACCACACCGGTTGTCCCGTCACCAATTTCTTCATCCTGGGACTTCGAGAGCTCGACGAGGAGTTTGGCCACGTTGTTTGTAATTTCCATCTTAAAACCACAACGAATTAGACTTGTCTCGTAGACGGTCGGAATGCGGTGAGTCCGAACGAACCTGGGAAAGGATGGTAGCACCATCATTGGTAACAGTAATATCGCCGTCGGGGGAAATCAGGATCTTATCGAGACCACGGGGACCCTAGATGTTCCTTTAGAAATTGCCCCTATGCGGGCTCGGTTGGTGACAGTCCGTACCAGAGAAGTCTTCACGATGCTGGCAACGGTCTTCGCAGCCACGATGTGAGATTTAACAGCCTCTGTTCCATGCTGTCTCTTCTTCTTTCCCTGGCTGTTCGAGAGAGTACGTCAGTTAGGTTCAGGTATGAGGGTCTGGGTGTTCCGCGGCGTACTCTCGAACGATGATGAAGGGTCGGCCCTGTTCATCTTTCATGACAGAAGCTGTTTGTGGAGTCAGCGACGAGTCATCGGTAGATCATTCGCAAAGCGAGGTATTCGAACCTTGAGACATATCAAGCTCTACAAGAGAAACAGAGAGTTAGTACTGAGTAGAATGAGGGGCACCGGAGACGCACGCATCGCCATCTTGACGGTCTGCCACCTGGCAGTCTGGTGATTTCAAAGGGAAAAGCAAAAAGGGAAAAGTCCAAGACGAAATGGAGGAAATGATTCCTCCAAGCGATTTGAAATGTGAGGTAGGAGCGACAATGAGAAGCCTCGACGTTCGTCCACACTTCACGGGGCTCTTTTCAGAAATTCTGGAGATTCCCAGTTCGGGCTAGTGAGCAGCTCTCCTAATGGGGTTTAGCCGGTGCCTCCCACCGACGCGGTGCTTTGCGCGACTCGGCAAGCAGCATTCGAACCTCAGGAACATCATCTCCACCATCGAGACTTGCCCTTCTATGTGGACGCCGGGGCGGTCTCAAACCATCTAATCAATTTAGTTTTATCGCGGATTATTCTCCAGGCACCGCCAAGCTGTTGTCGCGTCTGTTCGGCTTCACCTCGTCGCAAACAATGCCGCGTGAGTGATCTATTAACCTTTCTAGCAAGTTGCGCGGTGAGCTAATTGCGCAAACAGCACCCGTGGCCGACTTGTCGGATGACGAATCCACCGGAGAGTCTATCCCTTACGATGAGGTTGAAGATAAAAAGAACGGAGTTGAGGAATCCAATGATGCGGACGACGACGAGGAAGACGACCTGTGAGCTGGAGACCAACCAGTTTGCGATCAAGCAATACTGACTCTACTAGTTACGTAGTCGAGAAGATCCTGGGCCACACATTCAAGGGAAATGTGCGCATATATTATGCCTCTTTATCCTCCCTATGCGACGAACGTTAGACTAACATTGGAGTAGAAACTACTGTTCCAAGTGAAATGGCAAGGCTACGAAGACCCCAGTGATCAGACTATGGAGCCAGAGGAGAACCTGTAAGGCGCCAGGAAGTTTTTTTTTTTTTTTTTTCCTTGGCTAGCATATGCTAACGACTTTTCCTCAGCGATGGTGCACAGGATGTTCTTGAAGAGTACTTCAAGTTTATCGGAGGACGACCGGAAAAGCCACAACCCAAAAAGCGCAAATCTATGGGTCGACCACCCAAAGCGACACAGGAAAAGAAGCCAGAGCCGAAGAGGCGGAGAAGATCACGAGCGCCGGACAACGAAGAGATAGATGCGGACGAAGAAAAGCCAAGAGAACAAGAAAAGGAAAAGGAAGGTCAAGTGCCGGACTGGATGCCCAAGTCCAAGAACTGGGAGAAAGAGGTCAAAGCTGTTGATACCATAGTTCGCGAGGGTGATAGTCTGGTGGCTTACCTGCACTGGAATAACGATAAGAAGTCCAAGGTTTCTATTGAGACCTGTTATGAAAGGTGTCCGCACAAGATGCTTAAATTCTACGAACAACACCTGTGAGTTCCGCCTAAACCGTGGGAAACCCAACGAGTCTAACGTCTACCAGGGTTTTCAAAGATTCAGACGCGTAAATGCGCAATACTTTCAACCTCTTCTTTTAAACCAGCCGAATTCACTTGCTCGGCTCGAGCCTGTATTAAACCTGGTTTCTCTTCTATTCGGCTACAGCCTAAGGGTAATGCTGCATGATCGGCGTGAGGCTGGAGTTATTGGAATCGTGTCTGCTATTATTCAGGACTGTATGATAGGTTCTCTGGCGCAAGTTGTTTCGGGCATTGTTTACATTGGCGGTGTGTTCCCCTCAAAACCATATTCCTTGTTGACAGGGGTAAACCAAGCACGAATAGCTGAGGCTCAGCCAATTTGCCCATTCAATTCCTTTTGATTTAGCGTTGCCTCTTTGGAATCTCATATCTTGGGTCATTTTTTCGTCATCATTACTGTTCAATCCGATGGCTTTTCTAATTAGTTGAAGGATTCTCAAGGCCCTCGGCTCGTGCCATGTTAAGATATTCCCATCGATAATCCAAGCATACCGAGCCATGCTTGTCCATGAGCCGTTGAATCTCTCGTGTATCCTGTGCCTCCAAGCTTCTGTCATCCTCTGCTGTCCAGACTCCGCGCATATCAGTCGGTATACCGTTCCCTGCGGCTATGGACTCCAAAATTTGATCCGCCAAGGTTGGATCCATGCTGGTGCAACGTAATGCTTCGATGATTTGGGCCTCGTTGCCCTTGCCTTCGCGACGCCGATTGTCTATCCATGATTCAATATCTTGCTCTGGAGCCTCCTCCTCGGCCGATGGGCTTGGCGGGAGAAAGGGCAGCTCTAGGAAGAAGTTATCGATGCCCATGCTAGCTCCGCCGACAGGTTCCTGGTTCACGGCGGCTTCTTCACTTTGTCGTGTTGCGATCTTTGCCTTTTTGGGACTTGGGGGGGCCTCACGGCGTGGTGACTTTCTTTTCTCATTCAGGGGTTTGCGAGGCACCACTACTTCTGATGGCTGTGGTGTTGGATGTTGCTTTGTTGCTTTCGTTTGCTGCTTGCTAGCCATGCGCTTAGGCTCACGTTCGCTAGACTCTGTTGGTTCTGGGCTGTGCTTCCGTTTCCTCTCCTGTGGCTTTTGTGGTGATGCCTTTTCTCCGGCTGCTACTTCATCTCCACGTGATGTAGTTGCGTGAGCAGATTGACTTCTGCGGGTTTCCTCACCGTCCGCCGTGGTGGCAGTAGGCTCTAACATTCCGCCAGGACGTGGCCGCCCTCGAAGCCTCTTGAGGTACCTATCGCGCCACGATTGAAATGTATGTCTGGGGTGCTAAAGCCTATCTGTTAGTGCAAGGCCCACCTAATCTCTATTGAGTGCTGGTTGAGTATTGAATACCTGTGCTGCAAATTCCTGGTAGATCTTGTTACCCGAAATTGAAGCCTTTGGGTCCCTTTCAAATGGTTGCATATAATCAAAAATTAATTGATCGTCTTCTGGCGTATATGCTGATCGGTGGCTTCTGGCTGGAATATTTGTTGCCCCGACAGGTCGGGCTGCTGAAGGACCAGCCTTGTGTGCCTCGAGATCTTCTAGTTTTCCTCTTTGGATAGACTTCTCGATATACTGGTAAGAATACCTGCGCATTATCAGAATAAAGGTATCGAAAACAATAGAACGTGGGGGCATAGACTTACGTATTGGCCGGGAGGTTCTTCTGCTTGTGGTCCACTATCAAAATGTCCGCATCCTTTTCACGAAGTTTCACAATGCCACCATGTTGCTTTTAGTTTGTTAGCGAGTATTATGGACCAGAATGCTGGTGACAAACTTGTATGAGGTCCCTGAATCTATGTTTTTGAGGGACTTTCTCAGATAGCCAGAAAGATTTTCCCTGGAAAAGGCGATCACGCCGTTCCTCTTCAGGTCTGTCTAGCTCAGCCCCTGTCGCCCCGCTTGGAGCCATGTTTGCAGCCCCCCCTAGGTGATTCTATCTGTTTTGAAGAAATTGCACGTTGGGCTAAACCTGGGGTTCCTCAACCCGTTTAAAACCACTATCATGTGCACACGCGACGTGCCGCAGCATCGCGCATGCGGCCAAACTTCAAGGGAGCCACAGAACAAATATTTCTTGAACCCTCTCCGTGACAGAGATAAAGTAATGCAAGTCTCTCGTGTTCAATCGAATAGTTGTAACTCCAGGCGGGTAATTTCGCTTCTCCTTCCAGGCAAAACGTACAAGCTGGTCACGTGCCCGCAGCTAGCGGCTTCAGTGAGGCTTCGATGTTGATTCCAGCTTTCCTTTTGAAATAATCTCAGGAGCCAACAATTTCAGACCGAGGTCCGATTATATATATTCGAAATAATCAAGGGGGATGTACTCTTTAGTACTTTGATTACTTACACTTTATAACAAGGAGGAAACTCCTTGTTTAACGCGTTTGTTCGAAAGCGATGGGGCTTATCCGAACCATCGCTCTTGTGATCCTGGGATTTTCTAGCTTCGTATTCGTTGTTCTTTTTGGGAGGCTGCCATTTTTCCGGTATGGTACAATTCCTACTATTTCCCATGTCGCCCTGTCTAATGAATCCAGGAAAACCCCAATTGGCTTTGTCTATCGGTTTGTATGGATACATGTCCCTAATGGAATATCATACCTAGATTCCCGTTTGTTCGGCGGGAGAGTCCTGGGGGTTTGGAATCGGGCTGGTAGCTATGTACTCTATGAAAACCACCCACTTGTTCTCGTCAGTTTTGCATTTAGACCCTTGGCTTTGCATAGTTATTGACTTATTTCGTAGGTATTCTTTACGGCAATACTGGCCAGCGGTGAGCTCATATTCATACCGAGTGCTTGGCCTAGAGTCTCTGTGATCCACCGGCTTTGCATTCCTGTCGCTATAGGACTTCCGTATTATTTTCTATATGCGAGTGTTGTCACTAAATCCTTTATCACTGCGGACAATCACGCAGAGGAGATGGGACGCTATCCTTACGACAAGGCCATATTCCACCCTGGGCATACTTGCGAAACCTGCCTTTTTCTCAAGCCAGCAAGAAGTAAGCACTGCAGCTTCTGCAAAGGCTGTGTTTCTCGGCAAGATCATCATTGCGTATGGCTCACCAACTGCGTTGGCCTTAACAACTACCGTTACTTCCTGTCGCTTTTGCTGTCTTTAAGCGTCATGTTGACCTACGGCGCATTACTTGGTTATTCTCTTTTGTCTCAAACCTTGGACGATCTCGTACCTCCAAACTCCCCAGCGCGCGCCAGAAAACAAAGCTGGCCTACATTTTTCAACATATGCGCTGGAATAATAGCATATGATACGCGCATTGGGGCAGTTACGATGCTAATGTTTATGACAGCCCCTCTGGCTGCAGCCTTTCTTGTCTACCATACATATCTTATCTGGGCGGGAATGACAACAAATGAGAGCGCAAAATGGTCGGATTGGAAAGATGACGTGGCCGATGGAATGGCGTTCAAATTTATTGGCGGTCATAAAAGAAGCGAGTCTTCCTGTCCCGATTCTCCTGAGGCGGAGTTTTCTTGGCCTGTGAGCAGCGATCAAATACTTGTCCTTACGGAGGGAGAGCCCCCTAAAGAAGGACATAGTGTTCACCGAAGCTCAAATTATATTATGCAGCCAGATGATCCCGATGCAGCCGTCGACCAGAGATTTGTTCAAATCAAAGACATGAAGGAAATTGACAACATTTACGACTTGGGGTTTTGGAATAATCTGTGTCATGTCTTTCAAGCCCGTTCTGCGCAGAAGAGTCACCGTAGATAGGGTCATTTGGAACATTACTTTTTGCCGAGATTTTATTCTTTTTTATTTTCATCTGAAGACGCCTACGGTGTAATGGTAGTATACTTCATTGTTGCCCCAGATCACGAGATTTGAATATCCCAAAACAGCAGGTGAGGCGACGCTCACACCGCGGAACCGGAAAAATTTACCACTTCAAATGATTTCTTTCTGTCCCGCCAACACTTGCCTCTCAATTAACTTCTGGAATTCACCAATACAACCGGATTGCCTGAGGCTCGAAAGATTATTTTTGTCCGTTCTGCCTCCGAGGCACTTCAAAATGGCGGACCGAGCTTCAGCAGAAATGAAGCCAAAATGCACCCCCGCGGAGCTCATGTTGAAGGTTATCCTGATGGGCACCTTGAGCCACTACGAGACCCGGGGGATGATTGACGACAAACGCCTGGATCATATGCTTTCTGCTGGAAAACAAATCCTTTATAAGACACACCAGGAGAGTGATGTTAGGTAGGAACTGGCCTCTCAATTCGCTTTGTCCATATTGACAGGCGACTAACACTTTTGCCCGTGCCAGGCATGGTCTAGGGTTGTCTCCGGACATTTGGCAAGGTCTCACGGACGTTTTCACGAAGGCAATCCCCGTGTTGGAATCACAATCATTCATCTGGAAAAGTCCACCAGCCGCGAATTACGAACACTCTTCGTCTAACCTAATAGCCTACAATTACTTTTCGCTTGTCAAGGATATTGAACGCCTCAATGATCTCTGTACGATCGCCCGGAACCTCCTCGCCACTACGAAAAAGGCGCAAAATATGGCAGCAGAGAAAGGGTTTGACCAGAGGGTATTGGCGTTGGTAGATACCTGTGTGCGAGTGACGGCGCGGGGTTTTGACGGAGAGACGAACGCGAGAAATGAGGAACGGTGGCAGAAAGTCGTTAACCTATACAAGCGGCTTTTGATTACATGTCTTCAGTTCCTGCACAACTTTATCATGCATAACGAGCAACGGAAGATGGTTCTGTGGTTGGATCTCTTCGGCTACCATTCGACTGGGGACTCCAACATCATTCAGCCCAAGGAGCCTCTTGACCAGGCAAGCAGCCACCCAGAGGGACTGGCACCGATTGTGAAAACCGGCGAGAGGATAGTCAACCCCCCGATCAGGGCACTTTACGATCAAACAGCCGAGGATTTATTACTTGAGACGATATCCAACTTCCCGCGAGAGCCAGCTACCATCAAAGAGGAAGCAGCTATGCTACTACTTGCAAACATCAAGGATCACATGGAAAAGCTGCTTGGGCGTGATCTGACGGCGATTCAAGAAATGGGCAAAGACCCTGACCAAGTTAAAGAAATTCGCGCCGCACTTACTGCTATTCTGGGTGCCAAGGTGGATGGGTGGTCAGACCTTCAAGACAGAGCAAAGGATCTTCCTCCCGCCCTTCCAGATGATGAACCTCCCCGGAAGAAAGCAATCCTTACGATTGACCGCAGCCCGACTGCAGGGTTTCCGCGCATATGCTGGTCAGACCTCCCAGATCTCAATGAATACGGTGCGCTTGCCTCTGGCGATGCCCCGATTGCAGAAGAAGACACGAGCATGCCGAGATCGGCTCAATCAGCGGCAGAAACACTCCAAGAAGCCAAGGATGAGTTAATGGCGCGACTACAGGAGACTTCCCAACTCGGCGATGAGAGAGATCATGACTATGACACAGGCGATGCAGGCACGGTTGGCGATGATGATTCACGTAGCTTGGAAGCAGTTGCCGATGGGAGCATAGATGAGGAGGAGGAAGACGATGAAGATGACGACGACTACCGCGGACGTCCAGGCGATCAGCAGCGCGGCCTGCTAACCGATATCCCCCTTGTGTTAGGCCCTGCCGAGATCGAGGCGCTTCCGATGATTATCCAAGCCGGTATTGTCGATAGCTTTGGACTCAAGGGTGGCGAGCGTACTGGATCGCGGAACATGCAAGCTCTCAGATGCCATGTTCTCCTTACCCAGGAGACTGGGCGAAATCTGCTCCGGGAGCTTTTGATCTTCATTGCTGCTTGGGATCTTCCTGATGATGAGCTTTACTTCAAGATGATGGTCCAAATTATGGACGCAGTACTTAAGAATGGCCTTATGTCTCACGCTTATTCGGACTTTGGCCAACCAAAGGATATAATCTCCCCAGCACAGGCAGTTGTTGTAAAGATCCTTACACACATTTTCAGAGCCAAGTATTCCCCCGCCTCCGTCACAGGTTCCGGTCAGGCCAATGCTGCAAAGAATCCAGCTCCGCTTTCCAGGGTTGACGTCCTGACGGTCCGCTACATCTTCACAATATTCCGCGGCAACATCATCCCCGAGACATGTGCTCTGATTTACCTCCAAGGCCAGATCCGCGCTGGACGAGCTCTGCCGGAAGACTTCCCTCTGAACCTATGGGACATGGAACGTGTCTACGAAGGTGTCTATCAGTTCCTAGAGTTCTTCGCCGTCCTAACCGAGAACAACGACTGGAAAAACCTCCTCGTCAAGTGGGAGATCGTCTACGACCTTGTCACTCTGATCAAGGAGCTCGAAGCGAGCATCCCCAAGGGTCAACTCAGCCAACTGAACCTCGGCCGTAACAGCCCATCTCGGGACCAGCATCAGAGCGCAAGCCCCGGTCCTATCGCCGTTGAGCGACCCTACGACCCAAGCGACCCAGATCCTACCGACGGCGGCACCGCATCCAGGCCCGAGTCTCCGCCAATCACCGAAGATCCGTCCGAGTTCGAGTGGCGCAACCTCAAGAAGCTCGTTGTGCTCGTTCTCTCCTCCTTGGTGTGGAAGTGCCCTGACGTCCAGGATCAGATTCGGAAGCATGGTGGTGTCGAGACTATTCTTTCTTGCACCAATTTTGATGCGCATAACCCGTATATCAAGGAGCATGCCGTGATGTGTCTTAAGTTTCTCCTTGAAGGGAACCGCGAAAACCAGAAGCTCATCGAAGATTTGGAAGCTCGCGAGGTTCGGGACGACGGTGGAATGCTGGAGCAGCGAGGACTTGAAGCTGTCATCGACAAAACCGGCAAGCTGGCACTTCGCCCACGCGACGAGCAGCCAGTCCATGACCGGGAAATACAGGAAATATGATGGCCGAGTAAGAAAAAAAAAAAATAAAGAAGCTATGTCAATCTGTACATATTCCATATGCATTTGATATGCAAGAAAGATACTCCTGGTAACGCACTATGCAAACCACGCCAAGTAGCCTCGTAACAACAGCCATACTCCAAACCCCTCGTCATTAACTAGTCACAAATCAACCATACATCCCATCCCACTCCTCCTCGTCATCCTGTTCCGCTATCTTCTTCCTCTCCTCAATCCTATCCCTCTCCTGCTTCGCGAAATCCGTCCGATCGAGCGGACACGTCCCTCTTAGTCTCAACCAAGGCCTTACACACTCCAGATCAAACAGATGCGTCGGGTGACAGGGTAACCGCACAACAAGCGGGTACTTGTCTTCCAGAAACGGGTTACTGCAAATGGGACACGACTGAGACGGTTTCAGCGAGGAGCGCGGGACACGATCGAGCACTGTAGCATATGATTAGTTATCTGCGATTCGTCCAGAACATGTACCCAGAGCCACATTCAATAACGGAAGGGAAAACGCGACGATTGAAAGGGAGGGGAAAGAACGTACTGTCGCAAAACTCCTCACTAGCACCCTCCACCTCTGTTGGCGGTGTCTCCGCATCCTGCAACAGCGTCTGGATCATCTGCGCCAGGAGATCTTCGCCGTGCACTCGAATCGGCGTGCCGTCGGGATTGAGCATGGGGATGCTCTGCGCGTCGGGGTCAACGGGCCCCGCGGACTCGTCTGCGCCTCCCTCGCGTCGCATGATATTCAGGGCTTCGGCGAGTGAGTAGAATGCCGCGCTGATGTCGCCGGGTACTGGGACGGCATGGGGACGGTGGCGGGCCTCATCCGGAGAGATTTCGGAGAGGGTTGCGAAGAAGGTAGAGAGGTCGGGGCGACGGCGGCGAGTTGTAGATTGGGTAGACGGGGCTGAGGGGTCTGTTGAGAGATTGTGTTCGACTGTGTTCGCATATGAGTTAGAAAGCAATATTCTGGAGTTTGGATGAGGGGTAAGATGATGCTCTTGCCTTCGTAGGTGGACATTGTGGCGATGAGGGGTTGACGGACGAGGACGTGCTGTCCTCGCTTGTCTGGTGATTAATGAATTGATGAGAGCGGGAGTATTGAGAATTTGGTGGGTAAATGGATTGGGGGGGTGAGAAATGCAGAGCTCTTGAGGTGAGAATTAGGAATAGATTTATGTGTCGGAGATGTGAGGGACAAGATAGCTCCTGCGGGGAGGCAGCAGCCTGACGCGTTTTCAGCTGCCCGGATCCAAGAGAATTTATTGAGAGCTCCAGCAGAACAAGAAGCAGAGGTCCCTTGAATTTTGGGATTGCTTTTTCTTCTAGATCATTTATCAGACAAATCGGACAATTGAAATGTTTTTTTAACAATATTTTTTAATGTTAATATAATGCTCAATAATTGAAATCTTCATATACTACTTTTTTATCCGCAAGCCAATTGAACACGGGCACTTTCAGAGCAGGGCTGCCACAGAAATACCATGTGTCTGATAGTGAGAGATCGAGGTCTCGAGCCTCTATCCTCCGGCGTTCTATTCGTGCTCCGGACGAAGCGACTGCTTCCATTTCAGCACTGATCTGTTCACCCTGAGAGTCAAGCCCTGTGACGAACACGGTCGTTGAACTAGGTAATTCTGGGAATCTTTTGAAGGTGTCCAGCACCAGAGCAATGTCCTTTATCGAGATGGACCAAAAAAGTCGAAGTCCACTAATATCAATAATCGATAGCTGGGCGAGAACGGGTGTGATCCCAATTCCTCCTGCTATGAAAGGCACCACACCACTGCTTTGTTCCGTTAGTCGGAAGTCGCCCCCAAAACCCGTCAGAGGCACTTCGAGTCCAGCTCTATCACTCGTCTGGAACAGGTAGCGGGTCACATTTCCATGTTTTCGAATAGTTATTTCGAATTCTCCACCGGGCAGTCCGTGGCCTGGAAATGAGGAGATTGTGAATGTGCGGACGTAATCGTCATTGAGGCTCAATGGGTCCTCATCCATCATATGGCTGTATCCCATGTCCAGTTCATCATAGAAGGAAAATGTTGCATATTGCCCCGGTTTCCATGATCCAGCTTTCTGGGGGTCTGATATGCGGAATCGAAATCGGCCAATGGATGGCGTGATGATCTCCTTCCCAACCATCGTTGCTGTAACAGATGATTCACGATTTTCTAGAGCTGCAGCAGACACCTTCTCCGTTGACAGATATCTGACGCTAGGGTTGTATGGAGACATTTTCCCCGGGAATCCTCGGAACGAAAGTGCTTTCTCTACAAAGCGAGCCACCGAGACGGTCACTCTGACGGCGATATTCGAGCGAGGAAGGATATAAGACGCATCCTTTCCAACCAGAATCTCTGTTTTACCTGTGATAAATAATGCATTGCCTGTTTCAAAGTCCGGGAAGACGTAGCCTGCCCGTGGAGTCGTCCGTATATTCCCAAGAGTTTGGTATAGTCTATTCCCAGAGTATTCTGGGTAAACGAGCACAGCACCACCAGGTTCGTTGGAGGCAACTCGTACAAATCCGGCAGGCCCACCACGGATGTTGGTGTCCATATCCTGGGTTTCGTGCGAAGACGAAATGAACAGGCAATCTGCACGGTCTAGGAGCTTAATGGCGTCAGGGTGCAACTGAGCAGTTTCCGAAATCAACTTTGGATCAGGTCGAGCGGGGACGATATGTTTCGCATTTAAATATTTTGGACAGTTACCTAGTCGACGCATTAAAAGATACTTTGATCTCAATTGACGAGAACACATACCGAGACTACCGTCTACATGGACGGTAAGTTGGGCAATGGCTGCGCGAATACTTTCATCTGCGACGTTCAGCGATCCAGCGGTGATTCTACCAAACAATTTTACCCTCCTCCTATTTTCTAGATCAACCGCTAGAAACGAAACCAGGCGCCCACTCTTCGCGGTGGAATCAAGCAATAAGCTTTCTACCACCGGATCATAAGCTTCCCCGACAGGTGTCCTAATGTCGAAACTAGAGGAAGACGTTGGGGTTGCGAGGCCCTCCTCTCCACCCCAGAGTGAGCACCAAGGCCTCCCATCCCGATCCAAAGCACCGATAGCGAGCAACGGCGACCTTTTCATCAGTAGACCCGCGCCAGGGCTCAGGAAAGGCACAGTGGGATTGTCCTGATCGGGGACCCGTAGTAGCTGATGTATATCGCGTTCGCCATCATGCCAGGGTATTGAGGTCGTGAGAACAGTTGCCATGGTGAAAATAGGCCTCCCGCACGATGATATAAGATGGTGCGGTGTGGGCACTGGGCAGCGTTGATCTGAACTCTGCCGGCGAAGTGTGGGGAACTAAACACGAGCCGCAGTCTTGGTGTCTCATCCACGGCACCAGCCTCGTGGCGTGGATTCAAACGGTGTTGGCGCGCCGTTTGAGAGGCTAAAGCAACCGGTCAAACCACCAAACCACCGCGTTGGTAAAACCATCAAGTGTCAAACGAGAAGAAAGTCGAGATTGATCGAGACCGGGTTGATGTTGTTTCAGGCTGGGGGGCGAGTGGAGGAGCGATTCGTGGCCGGTGGAGCGCGCGGGTGTTTTTTTTTATGGGGCCAAGAGAGGCTTTGCCCTGGCAGCACAGCACATCTTCATGGTTGGCTTAAAATAGATTGATAGACGTTCGTACTCAGGCTCAGCCTGAGTCTGACCCTCTCCTGACGTGCTTCGTGTTTTGTCTTTCCATCTTCATTCCACTCCAATACTCATTCTTTCTTGCTGGCTCAAGAAACAGCCCTGGATACATTCCTGAGGAACGAATGCCGGCCGAGTGCGGTATGCCAACGCCCACACCTTGACTTCGATCGCCGTGATTGTTTACGACACCAACATCTGACACCTCTCTTCTGAACACAACCGTCGACATCGCAACCATGCGTCGCAAGTCCGTCAAACCCTCCGAATACCCGGCCCTGCCCTTCCACATCATCCGTTTTACCGTCTTCGTTTCCTCTCTCGTTGTCGCCATCATCCTCGCCGTCTTTGCCTACAACCTCCACAATGCTGATCAGAAATTCCCTTGGGCCTTCCTCATTGTAAGCTTGAACTCGCGTTTACTATCTTCTTTTGTTTTATCGCCTTCACGCAGTACTAATTATGTTATTAGCTGATAATCGCCGCGTTCCTGTCTCTTCTAAACCTCATCCTAACCACCCTCATCCACTGCTGCTATGGCCTCTCTCCACGCCTCTCCCTAGTCACAAACTCCATCGTCTTCGTCGTCTGGGCTGTCGCCTTCATTCTCCTTGCCTGGGCGCTCTCGCACACAATCCTAACAACATGTAACGCAACTTATTGGGCCACATCAACAGGCATCTCCGTCTGTCGGACATTCAAGGCCCTCTTCACATTCACCATCATCGGCGCCTTCGGCCTCGTCGCATCCATAATTCTCGATGTCGTCGCCTACCGTCGTCAAACTAGACTGGGCGAGTACGACCCCATGGCTCTCGAAGGGCACAACCTGGCAGAGTATAAGACTGGCACGCATAATCGGGACCCCAGCACCCTTTCGGACTCGTTCCCGCATTCGAATATGGGCCCGGTGATGATGGAGGACGATCGCTCGCCGCTTGTTTCTAATGGGAGATATGAGAGTACGCCTGCGCATTATAGAGGGCGTTCGGAGTCGATGGATATTGGCGAGAGCAGACCGGCGCATCAGCCGCCGCCGTCGTATACTAGTGACCCGTATTCTGATGGGCCGGCCCCGCACTCGCAGCCGCAACAGATGTACCCGGGGACGAGGATGAGTGCTTACGATAATTTCTATAGGCAGCAAACGAGTTCTGATCCTGTGATGTATAGGTGAAAAGTTGGAACTGGGTCAGTGGGTTATTAGCAAAACTTCCATTGACATTGCTTTAGTTGTCGTGGCTTTACTTCTTTGTTGACTTGACGACAGTGCTGCGTTTTGCGAGGTTTATATCTATGGTCTTCTATATTATGGCTTTGAATTTTTTATATATTTTCCCCTATGGGTACTCTCCATGGTGGAAAGGCTTGCGGACATTCATGATATCAATATTGAGCGAGAACCTTAGTTAGATAATTTTATAATCGACAATATACAGAATCCATCGTACTACTCAGTGCTTGAGTCCTTAAAGGATTGTGCTACCACAGACATATGTGGAAAGACTGATCAGCTTGAGAAAGGAAGTGCACGAATTTCAGATTTTACACTAGAGACGAACCCGAAAGGGAATGAACGGCAAAATCAGGAGGTCATTCTTCCCGAGTAATGATAGACGACATTGGGCCATCCTCTTTCATGAAAAACTCAAGCCGTGTTTCACATAAATGGTGCTCGTTCCTAGGATACACTACCTCCCAGTCTGCCCATAGTAAATGGACTGTCTGGTCAGTCTTCGAGTCCCGGGAGTCCGTATCCGCAGCGGAGTTCCCATTCTGTAGGTGCTGGGGCTGCTTATACTTGACCTCAACCGGAAAGTAACTCAGTGCCCAGATCCTCGCATCATCGTCTTGATCAATCTTACAAGGGAAGTCAATGAGGACGTTCGTATAAATTGTCAGGAGGTTCCCCTTTAGTTTATGGTAGCCATCGATGTACACCCCAAACTCTTCCTTTTTCTTCTTCTTGTAGTGCTTCTTAAGCCTCTTTTTCACCTCCTTCAAGACTACTTCAATGTTTTCGACAGTGGGGACCTCTGTGACAGTCTTGACTAGGGTCTTGCACTTGAAGACCATTGGGTAGGTCCCTGCTTTGTATTCAAGACTTGCTGCTTGTCGGCCCTGCTCTCGGAGCTTAGTATAATGGGACTTACACTGTTCACACATGCTTGAATATGTCGTGCAAGTCATTTTTGCTGTTGCTGGAGCTTATTGGATTAGTCCCAGACAGTTTGGTTATAATAAACTTGCTCGGAAGGCAGAGTTTATATATATTCTTGATCAACCCATGAACAAGGGATCTGTGACACTTAGAATGATTGAGACATGTAATTAATTAAAAGTGGAATAAAGGCTTTGTTTGCGTTCTTTACTTTGTCTAAAGGATTTATTCACTGGGTACCAGAAAATATACACCAAAGCTTTTTAGTGAATATATATAAACATAATAATTTGATTGTCAAAAAATTGGTGGTATTAGTTTAATATTGATGAGATGATACGCTTAAATGCCTCACATGATAACCTCGTTGGCAACGTCCTGGAGTTTGGGTCAGCTTCTATAGATAATACGTGGAATCGGGATGGCTTACGCGCTTGAGTTCCTTATACGGCAGACAAACACAGTTTTGAACTCGGACCTCGTCACCCACACCGCACTCCTTCCCGAGGATGGTGATGCTCTGCACCTTGACACCGTTCTTGATGATGCTGGTAGAGTGGCTTCCGTTCGGAATCGGGGTTCCCTCCACACGGGCCCAGGCCCCGACTCGCCCGCTCCACCCAATGATTGCATGCATAACACATGCATCGTGCTTGACCTCTGCGTCTTCGAGAACAATCGAGTCCTTGATACGAACACCTGCGCCAACAGTTACACGGGGGCCGATGGACACATTAGGACCCAGTTTCGCTGTTGGGTCTACGCTGGCGGAGGGATGGATATAGACTGGAGGAACAATGGTGGCGGAAGGAGCGGTGAGTTCCTCCGATTGAGCCTGGAATGCCTTCTGGAGGTAGAGAGCATTGGCCGGAACAGCAGATCCAGCGGTTTTGATCTGGCGCCAGAAATCCTTGGTCTCATGAACAAAGAAACGGTTACTGTCGGCAAGGTCGGAGAGGATATCTTGCTCCAAACGCAAGACCTCGGTCTGGGTTGAATCATCCTCGCCAACAAAGGACGACTCCAAATTATCGGAAGAAGGGTAAGACAGTAGACGTGGGCGAGCCGTTCGTCGCTTGATGGTGCTGCGGATAGATGGGAAGATGCATTCAGTTGCAAAGAGATAAACACCGCAGTTGATGAGGTTGGAGATATGTGATTCTGGCTTTTCGACATAGTGAAGGACACGTTTCGTGTGGGAGTCTGACACTATGCACCCAAAGTTTGAAGCCGCGTCATTGTGAACCCGTGTTCCCAGAATAACTGCTTCAGCATCCTTCTCCTCGAACAGCCTCAACATTTCGCCAAGCGGGAACGAGCAGCAGACGTCGGCATTGAGCACGAAGATGCGCTCCGGCTTTCCCTTTAGGATGGCATCGCGAAAATGGTACAGACCTCCGGCAGTTCCTAGCGCTGTGTATTCTCGTAGGTATGAAATCCGAAATTGGGGGAACTCTTTGAAGGAGTCTTTGATGAAGTCGCGGAAAACGCTCTCATCGTAGTAGCCAATGAGGATAACTTCATGAAGCTCGGGGACTTTGGCGAGAGCCTTGAGGCAGTGGTGGATAATCGGATGGCCAGCGACTTCGAATAGAGGCTATAACGGGAATTGGCGTCAGATTGGAACATGCGTTCGGTATGGGAAGCTTGGATTCGGGCAAAGACCAACCTTTGGAACATCAAGAGACAGAGGCCGGAAACGAGTTCCTCTTGACGGACCACCAACCTAAAAACGCTATGGTTAATTTCGGTAAGGAGAAGACATGATTCCAAAGCTGTTGGGAATAGAAAACTTACCAAGATCACGGCCTTGGTGGAGGCCACGTTGGTGTGTTCCCGCACGGGCACCTGAAGCATTGTGGGTGGATGAGGGGCAAAGGCTAGAATTGAGTGGGAGGATAAGATAGAAGAAATCGGTCTGAGGGGGGTAAATAGATAGAAAGGAGCAGCCGCGAGAACAAAGAGGAATTGAGATCCGAAGATCAAGGTCGTACTGGAGAAATATTTATTCAGGGGAGATGTAGCGTCGAGGGGGAGTGACCTCACAGGTGCCCGTCTAGTCAGTTGATCAGGTCGAGGCCCACCGACTAAAGCTCCAGACCCAGGAACACCAGAGATCGAGCTCTTTCTTTGCACCAGCTTAAATCCCCGGAATCAGTACAAAATTTGCGGGTTTCTTTTTAGAAAGAACAATGGCTACCATGTGACTTTCATGGGCTTCGCCGCTTTTGGCATGATGATACCTTGTATGCGCCTTATTTCCCAGGTGTCAAGTTGCCATTCTACTATGCATCAGTTCGTCAACAGAACATATTGTTCAACAAAACTCAGGACAATTGAATAGTTTGAACAGTTATATGGAAAGTTCAATCCTCTAATGCTGTTCTGGAGTTTCAATATTTTAGAAACCATCCAAATTGGGAATATCATACTACTCCGTCCTGACTTGGATACGCCAACACAACTTGGGCCCAATGGACACTTATGAATGGCAACTGAGCTCTAGATTTTTTTTTACATTCTGTTTTGCCGTAAATAATTCCTACTAGTACTTTAGCCTTAGGCATGCACTGCTGCAAGTAGTGTTGTCTCTTAAACTCAATCCTTGTCTCAGACATAACACTGGCCTGCCCTTATTCACTCGCCTCTTCGCCCATCCTCTTCTCACCCTCTTCCCTCTCTTTTTTCTGTCCCTCTTCTCTTCCAACCTCCATTTTTCTGTTCTCTACCGCATCGCTGTCTCCATTCAGCTTATGTCCACCCAATCCCATCTCTCTGCGTTGAGGATTACTAGGTTATCTGTATTTCTTTTGCCGTCCAATCCAAAAGGAGAACAAATATTCTTGCAATATGGCACCGCATTCTCTTCATAGAAGTGTTACGCCCGATGTGAAACCCTCTATTGAAGACTTAGAGCGCCCAATGCCAGGTAAGCCATCGTCTTCGCTCCAATCTATGTCAACGGAACCTAATATGACTATAGCTTCATCCCAACATCCGATACCTACAATGGAGTCCTTTACTGAGCCTTGCTACTCAGAGCCTCTTAATATCCTTGCACAGAGCATGACCGTTCTCGTCAAAAAGATTCAGGATCTCCGTCATATTGGCATCGAAGATTCTCATATTAAGTTACCCAAGATCTGTGTGATTGGTGATCAGAGCACAGGAAAGAGCTCGCTCATTGAAGGAATGAGTGAGATCAAAGTTCCAAGGAGCTCCGGTACCTGTACTCGTTGTCCTATGGAAATTAACCTTTCCGAGAGTGAGGCTGGACAATCTTGGACTTGCCGTGTGTACCTCTCTAGGAGGTACATATATGATGGCTCCAGGAAGATAGGCAAGCCAAAGAAGTCACATCCTCTGGGACCATGGGTCTCTATCGACCCGGAAGATGAATTCTTCATCACAATCACCAACAAAGATCAGATCGAAGAAGTGATCAGATGGGCACAACTTGCAATCCTCAATCCGGGGAGGCCGACAGCTCACTACATTCCGGGACAGAACTCATAAACCAATCCTCTTGATTGTGAGGTGAAATTCTCGCCCAACATAGTAAGGCTTGATATCTCGGCACCAGGGTTCCCGAGCCTGTCCTTTTACGACCTGCCTGGTGTCATCAACCAAGTCGAATTCGATGAGGAACGCTACCTTGTAAACCTCGTTGAGAACCTCGTGAAGGACTACATCAGTCAGGATAACTGTATAGTTCTCCTCACAATTACCATGACAGATGATGTGATGAATAGTAGTGCCGCCCGGATAATGAATGACGTCCGTGGAGCGAAACAGAGGGCTCTAGGGGTTCTCACAAAGCCGGATAGAATACCTCCTGGTGATGAACTCAGCCAATGGATTGAAATCCTTGAAGGTGATAAGTTTGCTTTAGGGCACGACTACTATGTTGTTCGCAACAATCCGGACCCTTCGGTTGAGCACTCGGTGGCGCGACAGGAGGAGGATGCATATTTTATGTCTGGGCCATGGTCAACAGAGCTTGCAGCGTACCGTGAGAGATTTGGAACCCGGAGCCTACAGAGCGCGTTGTCAAAACTTCTGTTCCAGCAAATCCAGGGATGCCTGCCAGCCATAATCCAAGAAATCAACAAGAAGGCTACTCGGATCGATGATGAGCTTTCGAAGCTCCCAGCTCCACCATCGGCCAATGTTCCATACATCTTGTGCGAAAAGCTGTATGAATTCAAGGAATGTATTCGCCATCAAATGGACGGGGGCTCCAGGGAGTATCCCCTGAAGAAACTCTGGTACAATATTGCAGAAGACTTCAAGCTCTCCTTGGCTAAAACCCGCCCAACAGTGAAGGTACTGGCAGAGGTTGATAAGCAATCCATTTCCGCTAGCCGTGATGACGACTCAGAATGCGAGTTTGTCCAATGCTCACCCAAGAGGAAACTACCAGAAGATGTATTTGGCTCGCCGTCCTCAACCGCAGGAGGAAGGCCCAAGAAACCATCAGGATACCATACTACACACTTTGACAATTTTATGAAACCCGCGAAAGAATTCTCTTGGGAGGAAATTCGGGATATTAATAAGGATTCGGCGAGTGCGGGAATCCCACAACAGATCAATCCCAAGGCCATAGACTTTTTGAATCAAGTGAGTGTCGTCCACTGGAAGCAGCCAATGATAGTCTTCATTGATGCAAGCCATCAACTTGTGAGAGACACACTATTGCGCGAATTGAACAACGTTTTTATCCAGTACAACCAGACTGGCCTGTTCAGAGAGCTTGAAAGAATAATCAGAAGCTATCTGAAGAAGCTTAGAGCTGAACACCTTGCTCACGCCGAAGAAATATACAGCATCGAGTATGAGAAACCTTTCACGATGGCGACTACAGCACTTGACCAGGCTACAGCTATAGCCTATAAACATCTGGAGTCGCGCCGCTTCGATGCCCGGGCTAACCATTACCTGGACCTCTTTAATAAGTACCCCATTGGCGACCCACGAAGGGAGAGCGAAAAGAAGAAGATAGGGAATGCCGAATTGGGTGCAGATAAGTTCACGCTGGAAGTCAGAATGATGGCTGTACGTCGTTTAGTTGCAAGGCATGGCTCCAGTTGCTGACTGTATCTAGATAACCCGGGGCTATTATGAAACCGCCAGCTCGAGATTTGTCGACTCTGTTTGTCAATCTATATACACAAAGCTATTTTTCAGATGCCACCAGAGCCTGGTCAAAGCAATTGAGCACGGTCTAGGGATTCAGGCGGAAAACGGTTCGTCTCGATCCCCCCCACCAAACCCAATTTAACTGCACATTCTCTAACTGTGTAATATATTAGCCGTGGAGCGTTGTAATGAGCTCATGTCCGAGGATATTGAACGCCAACGTCGTCGACAATACTTCGAGAAGCAGAAAGAGAAGGTCATGAAAGCGCAAGAATGGTTGAACGAGGAGAATGGAACCGCCGACGAGCAAGACGATCCCATGGATGTTAAGCCTGAAATCAAGTCTCAATCTCACGATTTGTGAGTAATAGAAACGCTAATTGCAATATCATATTTTCATTCTGGAGAGAAATTCTGTTATTTTGTACTTGGTCGCCAACACTGCCAGAAGATTCAAGGCGGGGTTCAGTTATCGGCGTCGAAGAACCCCACTTCGATGCCCGTGCCCTAAGCCCTGCCTGCCTCTTTTGGGGGGCTTGAAATCTTTGGAAAGCGGCAAATGCACGGTCTGGGGTGGACAGGAGTCGGATGAATCATGCGAAGGAATTATTTTAGAGGAGGCACTATCTAGCAATTCGAAGTATTGCAGAAGAATGCAGGGATTGTAGTGACTGAATTGCTCGTAGTTGTTCTCGGAGTACCCAATGACAGCCATCCCGCGGTGACTCAGGCCCAAAAATCTTTGGCGCGCTTTCTCCGTCTCCTCCTCCCACTTCGACTCAAGAGAATCTCGTTAACCACGGCCGACGCCACCTGTACTGATTTTTGCTCACACCGTTTGGCGTGAGTGAATAGAGCGTCGGATAATCCAGCCTTCCACTATGACTGATTCCCAACCCGTCAAGGAGGTCGAGGCCTCCATGGCCAACCTCTTGCTTGATGAGGTCACTGGCGAAAAGGTCTCCAAGACCGAGCTGAAGAGACGCCAGAAGCTGCGCGAGAAGGAAGCCAAGAAGAAGGACAAGGAGGCTGCTGCTCCCCCCAAGGCTGCGCAGAAGAAGGTCTCTGCTGAAGAGGAGGAGGCGAACCTGACCCCCAACGTGCGTTATCCTTTGTTTTTATTTTTCATTTCCAACCTCTTAAGAGCATCAATTAATTGTGCTCTCTTGATTTTAGCAATACTTCGAGATCCGTAGCAAGAGAATCAACAAGCTCCGAGAGACCAAACAGCCCGACCCCTACCCCCACAAGTTCCAGGTTACCGACGACCTACGCAAGTTCTTGAAGGACTATGAGAGTCTGGAGAAGGGCGAGCAGAAGCCCGAAACCGCTGTCCAGATTGCCGGTAGAATTTACACTAAGCGATCGTCCGGTGCTAAGTTGATCTTCTATGATATCCGCGCCGAGGGTGTCAAGGTGCAGGTGGTGGCACAGGCTCAGCATGCTACTGGTGCTGTTTCTTTTGAGGATCAGCACGAGAACCTCCGGAGAGGTGATATCATTGGTATCGTCGGTTTCCCTGGTCGTAGCAACCCTAAGAACCGACCTGATGGTGAGCTGTCTATCTTCGCCACCGAGGTGGTTCTTCTCGCGCCCTGCCTTCACGCCATTCCAACCGAACATTACGGTTTCCAGGACAAAGAACAGCGTTTCCGCCAGCGCTACCTTGATCTGATCATGAACGACAAGTCTCGCAATGTTATGGTCACCCGTTCTCGGATGGTTACGTACATTCGCAACTTCTTGGACCAGCGCGACTTCGTCGAGGTTGAAACCCCCATGATGAACGCCATTGCTGGTGGTGCGACAGCCAAGCCTTTTGTCACTCACCACAACGAACATGACATGAACCTATTTATGCGTATTGCCCCTGAGCTTTACCTTAAGATGCTCATCGTTGGGGGTCTCGAGCGTGTTTACGAGCTCGGTCGCCAGTTCAGAAACGAGGGTATCGACCTTACCCACAACCCCGAATTCACGACCTGCGAGTTTTACTGGGCTTATGCCGATGTCTACGATGTCATGAACATGACCGAAGAGCTTGTCTCCGGCCTGGTTAAGCACATCACTGGTGGCTATGAGACCACCTTCCACACACAGACCGGTGAAGAATACCGTGTCAACTGGCAGGCCCCATGGAAGCGCGTGGAGATGATCCCTGCCCTTGAAGAGGCTACTGGCGAGAAGTTCCCTCCTGGAGACCAGCTACACACCGCTGAGACCGCTGAATTCCTTAAGAAGGTCTTGAAGAAGACTGGTGTGGACTGCTCACCACCCCTCACTAACGCTCGGATGCTGGACAAGCTTGTGGGCGAATTTATCGAGGAAACTTGCGTCAACCCAACATTCATCACTGGCCACCCTCAAATGATGTCTCCTCTGGCCAAGTACCACCGTAAGACTTCTGGTCTCTGCGAGCGTTTCGAGGCCTTTGTCTGCAAGAAGGAAATTGTCAACGCCTACACTGAGTTGAACGACCCCTTTGACCAGCGCCTTCGCTTCGAAGAGCAGGCCCGCCAGAAAGACCAGGGTGACGACGAAGCTCAGATCATCGATGAGAACTTCTGTACCAGCTTGGAATACGGTCTGCCTCCCACCGGTGGCTGGGGTATGGGCATTGACCGCCTCGTCATGTTCTTGACGGATAACTACAGTATTAAGGAGGTCCTCGCCTTCCCCTTCATGAAGGATGACAAGACCGCACAAGAGGGCAAGTCTGCCGCTGAGATTGTTGGCATCGAACCTCAACCCGAGGAGGGAATCCGTAAGTGCCCACCTGAATACAACCTAATCGTTAAATGACGAGCTAATTTGTTTGCGTCGTCCAGCCCACAAATAGATATTAGAAACTTTAAGTCATGCAAAAAATGATGCCTCGATATGACATTTCACGATTGAGCTAGTTGGCTTCCATGAAAATAAATAAAGAACCTGAGAAATAAAAACAAGATTTTATATTCCATTGTCGGCGTTTATACCTGATCTTGTAAACCGTAGTTCACCAAGCCCTTTCTTCCCGCGAATAAGAAGTATTCTTTCTATGGCGTTTCACTAATGTCAAATCACTTAATAACAGCTCATAAATGCCAAATAGCTATTGCTCTGAGTGGGTAGATATGTGGTAAGGAAAGTCAAGAGTTGAATAATTAGGTAATCTTTCAATATAATGACCAATCTATGGTAGCCAATAACGGCAGTAATATACAAGAATATATAAGTAGAGAGTTTCATGATGATACAGGAAGGATATTTGACCTGATGCCCTGTATCGCAACAGTGCACAAATAATCTTTTGTTTACAGTCTGGGAGGAATGTGGCGGGCGGCATTTGACGCCGCATGGCCACGCGCCTTAGCTGCCATTTGCAGTAGTTTGGCGGTCCGCGATGGGTGCCAGACACGGCTACCAAGGACGAGAACCCAGGTCAGAAGGAACAAGCTTCCGGCCTGGTGGGCTGAGGCTAGAGGAAGAGGAACGAGGTACAGTAGAGTCGTTAGACCAAGTCCGACCTGCAAGCAGGCAAAGCCGACAACACCGTGTACAGCCTTTTTGGCAGCTGGCGGTAGGAAACGCTCCATGTTGGGTGATCTGCGTGTGTACGCCCAAAGAGCCATAATAGAGGTGAATGTTGTCATAGCCAGGATACGGTGGTCTAGTTGAACGAGAGAGGGGTTCTCTAGGATGTTCCTCCACCACAAGTCTGAGCGGTCCTCGTGTCGCGAGTATTTTTCATCAAACAGTTCCGAAGATGGAGGCGCAAATCCGTTACCCATGTAAGGGAATTCGTTATAGATAAGCCCGGCGTCTAGGCCTGCAACAAGACCACCCGACATGGCAGTGACAAAAACAAGGAGGGCCAAACCGGCAACAGATCGACGGAAAAGCTTAAGCTTAGGATCTTTGAGTGATTCCAGCAATTTGATTCCAGCATCGGGGTCAGACAGAAGACGATGAGACCGCAAAATAGCGAGACCGTTCCAAAGCATTGCAACATAGCAGACAAACGCGGCCCCCAGGTGCGCTGTCAAGCGGTACTGACTAACACGAGGCGTACTTCCCGGAGCAAAGAGGTCGTCCTTGAGCCCTGACTTGACCATCCACCAACCGATAAACCCTTGGAATCCGATCAAGCCTGAAATACCGGCCAGCCGTAATGCCATGGGCTTGCTGACCTTCTTCCGAGCAACAAAGTAGATAGCCGGCAAAACGAACGAGAGCCCGACAAATCGGCCCCAGATACGGTGGATCCATTCCATATAGTAGATAGACTTAAATTCGGAGAGTGTCATCGTTGGGTTCAAGAGCTGAAATTCGGGTGAAGCACGGTATTTCGCGAACTCGGATTCCCAGTCTTCGGCGTTCATAGGAGGAAGAGAACCGGTAACAGGGCGCCATTCCGTAATGCTCAATCTATGTCTTGGTCAGCAAGGGAAATATTGTATAGAACAGCATATATAATTGTGACATACCCAGACTCCGTTAACCTAGTAAGGCCTCCGAAAACCACGATACCAAAGACACTTGCCGCGCTTCCGAGTAACCAATATGCCACGGTCTTGTCGCTAATACCAGGGAAACTCGACTTTGACGTCTCTGGTTTCGCACCATTTACGGCAGCGGAATCAGAAGCACATCGCGCAAATGCCTTCCTTGCCTTGCTTCTCAGAGACGCCGCATTGAGGCTGCCGGTGTTCCGAGCGAAGGGAACGGAGGGTGTACGGAGGGTCGTCCTGGTGCCATAGTTTTGGGTCCGAACAAGGCACTGTCGGCAGGTAAACAATTCTTTGGACAATCGCGGCGCAAGCCGTCGGAATAGAAGGACTGAATTCCCCAGAGATGCCATGATTGCGACAACGATGGGAACTCGAGTTGTCGAGGGGAAAATTATCGAATGTCGCGATCGGAGAATGCGGCGGACATTCGGAGCCTGAGGCCAAGGCAGCTCGGAGCCAATCAAAGCATCACAATTTGTTGTCTGGAGATTGTGAAGCAATCATACGATCCTCATGGTTTCAGGCGTTATAAGCGAAGATAATATTGTCGTAATAAGACTAGTTAAAGGCCTCTCAATCGATACGGATAAACTGAACCAACAGCGCAAGAAATGAGAGCCAGCAAAATGGCCTTGATTCACCAGCAGTTGATACCTCAGGCAGAAGCTATCCAATTTCGGCTTAGCCTCTCCAGCTCACTTCTCAAAGCGCCGCAACAGACAACGAACTTTCAACTCTCACGCATGCCAACACCACGCTTTTTCTGAAATCACCTCAGAAATGTCTTATGCGGTTGAGACAAAGAAGCGCAAATTCCACCGAGTACTTGAATCCCTCACGAAACCTTTGAACACGGAGACCCCGAACCAAACTGCCCGCTCCGCGACTGCGACAGCTCTTGAACATGCCCCGGCTACGAAACGGGCCCGTATAGGCACCCGCAATGATAACATTCTTAATTCTGTGCGGAAAGACGTCCTCAAAATTGCGCGACCTTCCTCGCGCGCTTCTTCCGAATCCTCGCTGTCTCGACCTAGTTTTGTTCCTTGGGACCGCGAGCGTTTTCTAGAGCGATTGGAGACGTTTCGACGGGTAGACCGATGGTCACCCAAACCCGCCGCGGTAAATGAGGTGGAATGGGCTAAACGGGGCTGGATATGTACGGATGTTGCCCGTGTTACATGTGTGAGTGGCTGCGGGGGCTCCGTCGTTGTTAAGATTCCCGACGAACTTGACGAGCTCGATGGCTACGACGTGGATAAAATACAAGAAAGAAAGGACGTCCGTGAGTGGCTCAATGCGGCCCTACAAATTTCTGGTTCTAATTGGGAGTAGGTACCAAACTTGTACAGGAATACATAGGACTTATGGCTCAAGGGCATGGGGAGAATTGCCCGTGGCGGAACAAGGGCTGTGATGGTTTGTTTTACTATCCGAAGGGACCACTAAATATCCAGCTTACTGATTGTACTAAGCTACTATCCATCGACTACCGCTAACGAATCCTGATATTGCAATCTCAAATTTCCAAACACGCTATTCACATTTACTTAAAATGGCCGACCAGCTACCCGGCCCTGAATCTATACAAGTACCGGAAAGCTTCAATTCTCAGGATATAATATCAATCCTGCCAGCCGGAGCATTCCAGTCCTCTGCAGAACACAAAGAACTCGCGGAGGACAACCAACCCGGTTCGGAAAACAGCCAAGAGCCGGCATCCGAGCGTTCGGTTCAACGCGACTCCCCAATCAACGAGCCAGCCTTTATTCTAGCCTTTTTGGGCTGGGATTCTATTGAAGGGGCAGCAAATATGGCTGGCTGCAGTGCCTGCTTCCGACGCCTCGGGTTTTGGATGTACAAGCCAAAGGCGACCGAAGATGCTTCTTCTCATGATCCATTAGATGCAGCCAACGAGCACATGGATTACTGCCCATGGATTAACGGTAAAGCTCAGAGCGGTACGGGAAAACCTTCTGAGAAAGCGGAGGGCTTGCGCAGTGGATGGGAACTTTTGGCACAAGCACTCAAAGTGAAGCACTTACGACAAACTCGATCAAGTACCCCGATAGGTAGCCGCGCTGGGTCAGAGGCGCCTTCCATGGATGAACCCGAAATAGACGAACCAAATGACGCTGCTAAGAAAGCTAAAGACCGAGAGTGGTGGGCAAAGATTCGACGAATGAGACAGGTGTTGAACGTCAAATCCCCTAAAAGAAAGCCGGCCGCCCAATAAACGATGATTTTTTCCAGCACTGCATGCTTTAAGTCCGAGGTTCCATTTGCAAGCGCGGCGTTCAGGCGGTGTATATGGCCTTTGTTATCTATATATCATCATCGGACTTCATTTACAGGCGTATTGAGATTTAATGCATTGGCTGACCGTTTCCCTGATACCTCTTATAATAAATTCATTTGACAGACGGCCGTTCATTCACTTTAGAAAAAGAAGTTCATCCGAGAACGAAATAAACCCCTGCGCCAAGATAGCAATGAACACGAACAAGACTGTATATGACCAAACCCCATATTTCCCGCTTCTACTACGACTTTGCCAGCCTCGACCTGAGCGTACCGGTACTGGCAGGAAGCTGAGGGTCTCTCCACCCGCGAAGACTTTCGAGGCGATATTGGCTGGTAAACTCGTGTTCCATTGAGTGTAATATCGACCGACCAGTTTATTCAGAAGACCATCCCGGGAATGGATGCGGCATACGGTCCACGAATCATCATATATGCCCCGGACACGAGGGTATCGTTTATCCTGGTACGCCTGGAGCGTATTCCGGATTTGCACGAGCGAGGGTTGCTGAGTCGGGTTGCCACGAAGTAATGTTTGGAGTAACGAGGCAAGAGCGGCGGCGTCTTCAATGGCACAGTTTGCTCCCTGGCCGAAGTTCGGTGCCATCTGGTGGCAATCGTTGTTGGCTTTGGCAAACAACACACCCCGTGACCTGGTAAGAAGGATTGACTTACCTTGTGGATGCTATCCCCCAGCAACACCATCCGGTCATAAAACCAAGTCTTGAACAGCCCCTCTTCCACTGCAGTCATTGCAGCAATTTCCCTATTTCTCCAGAGATCGCCAACGCAGAGTTCTTGGTAGAGCCGCACGTCTTTCATTTCGCTACAGAGTTTCTCCGCATCATCCATTGAAAACCGGGGGGCATCCGGATAGACGTACTTCTGGTCGAGCTTTTTGAAAAGAAACCAGAAGGTACGATCACCCTTACCCTGTATCATCAAAACTGCGGCCCCATCTAGGAATGCGTTGACCTGTTCTCCATCCCCAAGACACTTTATCCCCGATGAGATTCCGAAAACACACGCATACTCCACAGTCATACCTAGCGATATCATTCGGTTAGTCGAGTGCTCGTTTGAAAACCTGGCTCTCGGACACTATAGGCATCTGTGCTCTGGATACTGACTCTTCTTTTCTTTATCTGATATAGACTCAAGTGCGTCTTTATTGGCCATCCGCCACATCTCAGATCTGATCCGACTGTGAACACCATCAGCGCCTACAACGAGGCTTCCCTGGTACACACTGCCATCATCTGTAACTGCGCAGATTCCTCCCTGGCAATGTTTTACTTCGGTCACCCTTTTTCCAGTAATAACCTTCGTCTTCTCTGGATATGATTCGTACGCGATTCTGAGGAACTCTGTCCTCGCTAAAAACGCAACTGAGTACCCAAACCTAATGAAAAAGGAAGCATAAGTATCAATAGAATGTGGCAACCAAAAGACTTCTAGCCTAGGACTAGTTTAAAATTACCTCTCATGAATGTCTTGTGGATACCGGCTTTCGAGAGCAAGGCCGTCTGGAAATGTAATATGGGATGTACTCATTGGCTCAATGCATCGCTCGATTTTCTCATAGAACCCGAGTTGTTCCAGGATTCGGGCTCCATTAGGCATGATACCGATTGATGCACCGATATCTGGCGCTACCTCGCTCCCTTTCTCGAGGATGAGGTGGTCTATACCCGCGCGGTTGAGACAGTGGGCAAGCACAAGGCCTGTCACTGAGCCCCCGACAATTATAACCCGGAACTTCGAACCCTCCATGGCTGTTAACCTTTTGACGTCTTCTCAAACTTCGCATATACTGATGTTGAGTCCAATGGTGAAGTCCAGCACCCGACGTTAACATAAATCAACAAATCCGCGATGCAGTCTATACCTGTTTGCCTGACCGGGTAACCTTCGAGGATGTCCGGGCATAGATGAAGAAAACTCCTAAGTCCGGGAAATTGTTATCTAGCGGGGTTTGTTCAAGTTTCATCAGCAGTCTATGCCGGCCATACTCGCAAGGCTATTGAGGGCCTGGGCCCCTTGTTACACGTACCAGTGTAGGTAGCACACTGTACGGAGTACGACTCAAAGATATTATATTCTGACATGCTTGCTTTCAAGCACTGACTTTTAGCGATTCTCGACTCCCGTGAGGGGGATTTCAGGGTTCGAGAGTACCCTCCGGACGCCGCATGGGAACACACACAAACAAGCCCCAGCCACCTTTCACTTCCTCTTATACTGGAATTTGCCCGAATCCATTTCCTGACGCTTGATACGATAGAGGCAGTAGCCGTAGCTGAGTTCAGAAGCAAAAAACACTACCACTGTCCACAAAACAAATGGCCCAGCTATCCAGGCGAAAGCCTCCGGCCAGTAAAAATATCGAAGGGCGACGAATACTATTGTTGATATCGACCCGAGAAACCGTGTTAACCTGTTTTTCTTGCGCTCTTAGCAGCGAGCCTTAGTAAATATCAGGCGCTAGAACAACATACCAAAGCGTGTACGATGCTCCGCGCGTATTGTTTCGACTCAACAGCTGGCAGACTTGGCCGACACTGATCAGCATCTGACATAGAATAGCACCAAAGCTATAGGCGCGAGCTGGTCCTAGTTGAGCAGCCATGGAAAGCATGCCGGCCAGCCATAGCGCTGTCGTGGCCACAAATACCAGCAGGGAATTTTGCATAATTAGAGGAGAATGCTGCCACTCGTTCGGAGTCGCGCGGATGGCGGCATACATCACAAAGATGTTGACAAGCAGTGCCACGAAAATCACGACCCTCTCGGCCCAGTCATTAGATGGATAAACAAAACCATACACAACTTCCCATGCAAAGTCAGCACAGAGAGCCATGATATTCAAGCAATATGTCCGGTCTTTGATAGAGACATAGGTCATCACAGCATAGTGGCTGCCCCATCCAAGTCCCATGCCGAGTACAAAAATATCAGATATCCATTTGACGCTGATGTACTCAGGGGGCGGCTGGATATGTGTACTGAAACCATCCATATTGATTGGAATAGCGGTTATTCTTATTGCCAAGGTAGGTGTTCTAGACTGGATGGTAGGTGCAGTCCTGGTTCGTTCGAAGGATCCTTATATAGGAACTGATGCAATGAGACGTATGCAAAGCTGAAGTGCTATTTTATTTTATGTCTTTCTTTTTGCTTTGGATTTGTGCATTTGCTTCGCTTGAGTATTGTGTTACACGCCTTCTAGCGAACAAGGGTAGGTAAGTGTGCCGTTAGACGCCGAACTACCTGGTCAGCGATGAACCCGAACTCCGAGCTGCCACAGTCCCTTTATGGTCAACAACAATTGCTATGTCGGTTCCCGGTGGCTCTCGGCATTTTAATGCTGGGCTTGGTATTTAGCCGGGTATAGTCATCTCATCATATGTCAAAACAACCACGATGGTACTGACGAGCAGTGTAACCCCCCCGAGCAGTGTTCCGACATACACGTCGGCAACTATTCCAAACCCAGGTCACTTGGGTTGTCAACTTTGGAGGCATATATAGCAAGTGACATTCCGTGGCCTGTCAGTCCACGATGCAGTTCTTTCTGGCTCATCGCTATTCGGACTTGACAGCATCTACAGGGTATCTATCATGTCTGGACTACAAAATCTTCATTTGATGCCTATTCCTCTGGCATTCACCGCTGGCATATTCCCTGTTGTATTTTACATGCTCCTAGATCGACTGCCTCCCATATGGCCGTCCTCGAAGAAGGCCATGATGATTGGGCCAAAACAACCACAAGATATAACTTCATTCGAGTGCCCGTACAGTTATATACGCCAGATCTATGGGAAGTATCATTGGGCTCCTTTCATTCATAAGCTCTCACCCAGTCTCAAAGATACAAACCCAAAGAAGTATAAGTGGATTCTTGAAGTTATGGACACTATTCATCTATGCCTTATGATGGTAGATGATGTAGGCCGTTCCCTCCAGTCCCGCATAACTCTACTAACACAACTAGATATCCGATAACAGCGATTTTCGGAAAGGCAAACCAGCAGCACATCGAGTCTACGGGCCATCGGAAACAGCAAACAGGGCATACTACCAGGTGACACAGGTCCTAAACGAGACAGTAAAACAATGGCCAAGTCTTGCGCCATTTTTGATGCAGAACCTGGAAGACATCCTGCACGGCCAGGATCTCTCTCTCATCTGGCGCCGTGACGGACTTAGTAGCCTACCCAACGGAGCCGAAGAACGAATGGCAGCATATAGAGAAATGGCTTCGTTGAAGACAGGTGCTCTGTTCCGCCTCATGGGTCAATTGGTATTGGAGGATAAATCTGCAGACAAAACGCTGACCACTCTCGCGTACGGCCACCCGAATTGAGCCCTATGTTTACTTGAAAGTCAGAGCTAATGATGCTTTTCTTCCTGCAGGTGGTGCTCACAACTGCAGAACGACTTCAAGAACGTTTATTCCTCAGAATACGCAAAAACAAAGGGATCCGTTGCAGAAGACCTTCGGAATCACGAATTTTCGTTCCCTATCATTGTTGCACTAGAGGCTCCCGGGGGAGAGTGGGTTGCCAGAGCTCTGGAATCGGGGTCACCTCGGAACTTACGCAAAGCACTCGAGGTGATACAGAGCGAAAGTGTGCGGAACGCCTGTTTTACTGAGCTCAAGTTTTCTAGCGCCTCTGTTCAGGACTGGCTCGCCATTTGGGGCCGTGACGAGAAAATGAACTTAAAGAGCCAGAAGAAGTGATTGTGTCCAGTCCTTGACGCCTAGGCATGTGCCCATTCTATATTTTGACAGTTTCAACAACTATGTCTGATACCATTTGTGTATGTTGTGTGTCTTTTTTATAGAGCAGGAAAACGGCATAAAGGAGTAGCTTTGTTTCTCGTCACTTTGCATTCCTTCTAGAGGTCCCGGTTGCTTTATTATCTAGGGAAATATAGGCTATTCCAGCGCAGCTTTTTGTCAGCGCTAACTGCAGTATCCTCTCAGTGCTGAATTTACCAACGCTTAATGTAACCATTTTACTTACACCCCCGGGAGACCATAGCATGACCAGATTTCTGGATCCCAGGGAGGTTCCGCAAGATTCTCGGATGCGCGTACACCAGGCCCAGCAATGACCTCGAGAATCGTCGAGAATCCTCTCGAGCCTCGTCTAGGTACCCAGTCACGTCTTGTTAACAGTCCCAACATCACGTACATTGTTGTGCTACCGAGTACGTTTCTTTGCATACTTCATAGCTCACAGTGGATTTCACAATGGTACAACTTCGTAATGCAAGTCTACCCAGCAATGCAGGCGCCAACCTGCCCCTGGACCCAGTTCCACACCCTGCGGCATCTGAGCGTCTTCGGGTCTTCAGTGGTATTACCCACGATGATTGCGCGCTGGGCTTACGTCCCCGAAGTCCCCGAAGACACTTACTAAGGCAGCTGATAGGAAGCCCGACGTCGAATACGCTGGCAGTACTGTTGGCGCCTTGCTGAATCTAGATTCCAGATATCGTGGATATATTCAATTCCATGCCCTTCCAAGGGGACAACACCATACGAAATCTCACTGCATTGTGAGACATACCCGTGCTCGTCGATAGTGTGTTGACCTCTGCATGGCTGGCTGGGATTCTTCTGTAGGCAATCTGTGCCAATTACCCTGGAGACTCTCATCCTATTCAGCAGTCGTTTCCACTCGCCGAGCCCCTCTCTTGTCTGTTTATCCTAAACCGTCTGTCGACACTTCGTTAACAGCAAAATCTTTCAGAAGTTCATTCCTAATGCCTTCTCAAGGTTCGGTAATCTCACTGGGTACAAATCTTATGGCGTTTGAAGTGCTCTGATTAGAAAGGCATGTAGATTCCCTTGTGGGGGATTTTTATCGCCAACACCAAGAGCCGTCTGCCTCAGTGCTAGTTTGGATGTGGTCATCCTCATATCCATCAAACTGCCGGGACAGCTCAAACGACGGTCGTCACAGACTCCGAACCTAGGTTTCCTGTGGTTTATATTCTTAGTGGTGCACTATTCCACTGAAATGTTTCATATCTGGTGTTCCATGTTGTCAGATAATATTCAGGGAAAGTGAGGACATAACCTCGGGTGCGCGTTCTGCAACACCAGGTCCATCCAATACGCGAACGAATAGTAAAAGAAGGCATTTGTTGCCTATGTACCGTCAGGGGTGTATCTCATAATAGCGTAGAAGTGTAGACAGTACGGACCTCGACAAACAGACAGAAAAGAGTGTAGGCTGATCGACTTCCGGATGCGGCAAGGGGAAACATGGTTGATCCCCAAGCTCAACCAACGAACCCAACCTTGCCCAGTCATCGCGTTCTCTGCAGATTTCTTGGTCTCTGGTCATCTATTGCATCGTCTCGCGACTTCGACTTCGTGTGGTTTGGCAAGTCATGGGCTTTCGTCCACCATGGCAGATGAAAACCAGCCGGAGCGCCGAGTGAGTGGAGGCGCCATGTATGACGCCGCACGGGACAGCTGGGACGGCCATCACGTCCAGCAGCCGTCTCTTCATCCTCCGCAGAAAACCCAGCATCCTTTGGTTAACGACCACTTGAATGACATCTCCTCGGTACGTTGCGCTGTCCTGTCCGTGATACACTCGCCGGTGATGAAGTGTTTTCAGTTTCTATGAGAATTGCCTCAAAACGCGATGAAGCCAAAACTTCCCCAAGAAGCAAAAATTCTGTTACTTGATCTGTCATTTCCAGCTCGGTTGCCACTTTATTGGATAATTTCACTAATCTACCGATCTGGGCGTCTTACATAGCTTCCCAATGATCCCCACTTAACACAAGGACCGGAGCTACAAAACTTGGCCTCCACTTCTCCCTCGGACCAACCTCAGCTACCCGCCTTACCACCCGAAAGACCAGAGATACAATCCAAAGAGCACGAAATTGATCGACAACCACCTCGCCCAGAAGAGAAATCCAAAGCACGCCCTGTCACTGAGGCCATGGACTCACCCTCTAGCTTGGAAGGCTCTAGGCCTGTTGACACCCTAGCGGAGAAATCTGAAGCTGGCGGCACCTCCGGTGCAACAACCAACGACTACAATGGCTCGCCTATCGACAAGAAAAGAAAAGTGGTAGAGGGAGAGGACAAATCACAAGCCGCAGCAGAACGGACTGGCCCTAAACGCAAGCGAGTTCAAGAACGACACCAGAAGCTGCGAAACCCCGGTCGAGCTGCGCCGTCCGCATATTCGCGACGCGACGCAGATGAAAATTCGCGCGCAGCACCTCGAAATGAACACGCAAATCGATCGCCATCACCCACTCTACCTCCTCGTCGTTCACCTACCCCCGAAGCGCAGGCACGACAGCGGAAACGGCCTGGTGGTGGTGCGCGCCGGGGCCTCATGGACCCCGAAACCGTTCGCAGGCGACAAGAAGAACAGGAGCGTGCTCGAGAAGATGATGCTATGCGTTACTCTCAGGGCCGAGGCGTGACAGATATTGTTCGACAACATTACAACGCTGTGCCCCAGCGTGGCAGAGAATGGCGGAAAACTGAGAGCAAGATCAAGGGCTTGCGTAGCTTCAACAATTGGGTCAAAAGCAGCCTTATTCAGAAATTCTCACCCGATGAGGAGTTTGCTGCTCGGGCTCTCGACACCAAGGATTGGGCTAATGATGCAGCGCCGCCGCCCACTGATGAGAAACGGCTGTTGGTGATTGACTTGGGCTGTGGTAAAGGCGGAGATTTGGGTAAATGGCAGCTAGCGCCTCAGCCTATTGATCTATATGTTGGCCTCGACCCTGCTGATATCTCTATCTCGCAAGCGCGTGACCGTTACGGCTCCATGAGAACTGGGCGTGGACCCCGTAACCGTCGTGGACCCCTTTTCCATGGGGAATTTGCAACCAAAGATTGCTTCGGCGAACCGTTGAGTGATATCCCAATTGTGCAGCAAGTCGGGATCGAAGATAACGTCGGACCTGGGGGTTCCTTGATGAGCTCGCGATGGGGCGGCGGTGGATTCGATGTCGTCGCATCTATGTTCGCGATTCACTATGCCTTTGAGAGCGAGGAAAAGACAAGGCAAATGCTACGCAATGTAGCTGGCTGTCTGAAGAAGGGTGGCCGTTTCCTCGGAGTGTGCCCGAATTCGGATGTCATCAGTACACAAGTCGCCAAATACCATGAAAAGCGGAAGGAGCGTGAGGCCTCCAAGAAGAAGGAAGATGCAGAGCCCGAAGATGGAGAAGTTGAAGACGATGATAACAGAGCAGAGTGGGGAAACTCCATCTACCGCGTCCGTTTCCCTGGTGCTACTCCTGAAGATGGAATTTTTCGACCTCCTTTTGGGTGGAAGTACAGTTACTTCATGGAAGAAGCCGTCGAGGAGATCCCCGAGTATGTTGTGCCGTGGGAAGCCTTTCGAGCGTAAGTGCCTGTGTTACTATTGATACTACCATCTCTAATCCGCCACTCTGCAGATTGACTGAGGACTACAATCTCGAGCTTCAATATCGAAAGCCGTTCCTCGACGTGTGGCGGGACGAAAAGGATGACTCGGAGCTTGGACCGCTGAGTGAGCGGATGGGAGTTCGTGATAGAGCCACTGGCAATCTTCTGATGACAGAGGAAGAGCAGGAAGCAGCAAGTAAGTATCTTCCTCGATAACTGGTCATTCATATGCTGACTGGATAGGCTTCTACCATGCATTCTGCTTCTACAAAGTCTAGAGACATTGCTTCACTTTTCAAGCCTGTATATTACTGTCATTGTTTGGCTGTACGGTGGTTCCACCATAACCCACAACCATTTAGCTGAAATTTGAGAAAAACATATTACATTTTTTAACCTTCCAAATCCTGTACGTTGTTGAAAAAGCCCGTAGACTACTTTAGCTGCCGAGAAATACATACTACGCCTCATATTCCAGGCATCAAAATACCTAAAGCAGTCATAAATTAAGAATTCCGCCCGAACAGGACTAGCGCTATCGCGTCGCGCCCCAGACAAGCAGCAATTCATAAAGAAACCCGCATCGACCACTTTCTATCCACAAATAAAGCCGCCTCGCCAACGCTGCTCAACCATTGTAACTACAAAGATTCAAGCGCGAAGGCACATCCGCAGTCCTAAGTACCACAACATCCGCCCGAACCTCCCCCCGAACACGGAATAGAAACAACAAATCGACGGGCAAAAAAAGATGCTCTCCACGCCAGGCCCCTCGCGCGGGCCGTCATCCAGCTCAAGACACAGAGACCGAGATCGGGCCCGCGGAGGGACAGAAGCAGGCAGCCCCCGCCGCGCAGGAACACCCCCGCTCCCCACGTACGAACCGCCCATCGCACATCTCAACGAATCAGGCCAGCAGGCACTACTAGTTCTTTTGCGCGCGCAGGGGCTGCGGCAACTCAAGACGCATCTCCAGCATGTTGAGACGAAGCTCACAGACTCGGCGGGCGAGATTAATGAGAAGTTGACGGATGCAAGGGAGAAGGCGAGGAAGCGAAGGGAGAGGGAGAGGGAGCGGGGTGTGGATCGGTCTATGACAGAGGCTGGAGACGGGGAAGGAGGGGAAGGGAATTTGGATGATGGGAGTGCGGCGTCGGAGGAGACATTGCGGTTGAAGGGGCTTGAGGAGCGTATTGAGGCTCTTACGGGAAGGTTGGATGCTAGTATGCGGCGGGCGATCGATTCGGAGACTAGGGTTTATGGGTTGGAGGAGATTCTGGGAGCGTTGCAGAATGAGGTTGATGCGAATGTGAATACGGGCAATCGAAGGCAGAGGCAGCGGCGGCGGACGAGGCGTGGTGCTGATGAGGAAGAAGAGGGAGAGGATGGTGATGAGGGGGGCTTGTATGAGGCTACACCTGAGCCGGAGGTGGATCGGGAGGAAATTTCGTTGAGACGGAAGCTTGCAGAGAGAATGGATGAGGAACAAGCAAAGTGGGAAAACCTGTCATTGACAGAGCGGTTCGTCTCCAGATACCTACTCACATACCCAAGATACCGTACGCTGACAAGTCTGCATGAACAGCTACTCCGAAAACAACGACTACAAAGGCTTCTACCGCATCATCCACGACTCCAAACACCCCGACGATGCCATTCCTCCACTCCCACACCCCTCAACCTGGTTCGCCCACCTAGAAGACACCAACGCCTCTGCAAGATCACCCACCGCCGCGCCTTCGCGAAACACCCGGCAACAACGTACTCGCGCCGGCTCTTCCACAAGTGCAGACTCCGACGACCTCGCCATTGAACGCGAACGTATCTCACTCAAATGCCCACTCACCCTCCTCCCCTTCCGCGATCCTGTCACCAGCACCAAATGCCCTCACAGCTTCGAACGCGAGGCCATAACATCAATGATCAGCCAGAGCCCCATGACCGCCCCATCTCAATCATCCACTTCCGCCCGCGGAGGCCGCAGAATCCGCGCCGTGAAATGCCCAGTCTGTTCAGAGGTTCTAACGAATAATGACCTCCGCGATGACCCTGTCCTAGTACGCCGCGTGCGTCGGGCCGAAATAGCCCTGAGGCGGGAGCGCGAGGAGGAAGAGGACGAACTAGGTCCTTCAGATAGACGAAAGCTTCGACAGAGCGGGATTACTGTTGGTAGTGATGACGATGGTAGTGACGATGGTAGCAATGGCCGTGGGGATACAATGGACGTTGACCAGGTCCGAATCAAGCAGGAGAGGGCGGTGTCGCGTGGTGTCACTGAGACTGAGGACCGTGAAAGTGAGACGCAGGATTCAGGAGTGGACGAAGATGAAGATGTTGGAGACGACGACGAGTAGTACGACTACCATGGGTTGTATATAGATCTCCCTCGTACTAATCGATAAAACTCGCTTATCTCTATCATCCATATCTATGTATCTGCCTCGGCCCATCTTCAGGTTCCCAGGAAGGAAGGGCCGGATCCTGGCCCGGGGTCGCTCCTGCCCCATCCGAACCCGCTTGTCCATCGCTCCTGCCAGTCTCCACGGAGGTATATGTATTATGGGAAGGTGCACATCGTAGTCCGAGGCCTGAGGAAGGTGCTATCTTTAAGCTTTTAGTATCAGGGAGGAGAAAGCAAGTGCTATGAAACTTTAAGTTTCGGGTACATCCATACTTATCACCAGGCCTAGTAAGCTACTTAAGTTAACAGCGCTTCTTTGTATATTCCTTGATCGGCATTTCGGTCTAAAGCAACACTTTTACGTTCCAAGATGCCATGTTTATGATCAGTGCTTAGCATCGCTAGGCCTGCGGTTTCTTCATTTTGGTCTCAACTACCATTACATACATCCCGCAAGTACAAACACGACTTATCATGGATAGGTGTGTTTATAGAGTCTTTGCTCTTTGTGGGTATAGTTAAATGCGTAAGACAGGAATCAAACAGTTGATGAAGGCAGACAAAAGTAGATAAGCGCAGTCATCCCAGCAGACTGATCCTCGCACTTCCTTCAAAACATGGAAACGGACACTTATTAGAAGACGCTCAGCCATTACACCGAACCCAAATGATAGAAGAAGTAGGGGTATTCAGTAACAAGGAAGGAGACTTTTCGACCTTGAGCGATTATTCGCGGCTCCGGAAAGTCGCTTCGTGAGGCTCAAATCACTGTGCTGCTGCGGGAGAGGTGGACAAGTAATTGACCGGTCATATTCTTCTAAAACCCCATTGAAACGGGTCCATCTGGTTGAGTCCAGCTGTAACGACTCGTACGCGTTCTGACGCTGATGTCCCATCTAGGGACTGTTCGATAAAGGTTCGATAAAGACCGAAAGTTCGCTGTAAAAATACGGGAATGACAAAGTTCCCTCTTAAACTTAAGTGAGACACGCCGTAAATGGTATCGCAGAAAAAGCATGTGTCCTGGCTAGTTGAAGGCCAGTTCCACGAAGATTTCTTTGGCCGCATTTATTCATTTATTTGGTGAGGAGGTTAAGGTAGTCGGCGACAATAAGCGTAACCATACTAAAAGTGGAGCAGTGGGTCAGCAATAAGCAACGGGAAAAACAAAGTATGCACGGAGTGGGGAGACTAACGCATGGGGTGCGATCCGCACATAGTATGTGCCGAAGCCGCGATAGAACCTCAGCCAACCTTCTTCTTGAACAACTTTGCGAGCACAATCAAGCATGCCCCTGTATGGCAGTTGCCCCGTCTTCGGGTCTTTCTGTTGTTTTTGCAGACGAGTTTTGACAAAATCAAATGGGAGCGAGAGGAAACTAGCAAAGAAACCAGCGATCGCAGAAGCGGCAAACGTCTGGTTCTGAACTGAAAGACTTGTCCGAGCCTTCAATTGGGACTTGGACTCGGCAAAAAAAGCCAATTGACCGAGGTTAAGAGACATGGCACGCACGACGGTTGGTAGGGCGCCGGCCCATAGGGCAGTTACGCCTTCGGCTTTGGAAATGCGCCCCAGCGCATCAATGACAGAGCGATAATTAGCTCGCGCCTCGGGAGGCTTCAGGCCATCTGACTGCATTCTTACGAGTGCCAGATCGGCCGGGTTACCAATCATAGCGGCAACGCCACCGGCTGTCAGGCCTGCACCGGCGCGCTCTGCGAAAGTCACTTTTCGGTTAGCTGCCTCAGCCTTCTTGTTGAGAGTTGTAATGAATGTGTCGAAGAAGCCCAAGCGGGCAGTGGTATAGACAGCTTGGCGCAGGAGGCCGGCTGATAGACCAGTGTAAAGGTCAAGAACCTTTCCGGAAGCGATAATGTCACGCGCAACACCAAAGGCCGAAGGACGAGGTCCAGTGCGCACACCCTCGCCAGCGAGTTGCAGGCGCACCTTGATCATATCAATGGGCTGAATGGCGGCGGTGGCCGTCATACCAGCCAACCCGCCATTAATGAAGGGAAGAGCTGCACGAGTATAGGGTTGATGCAAGAAATCGACGGCTGGTTGCGTCGATTCTTTAGTAGTGGAGGCCGCCATGTTGGTGAGAAGGCAGGTTTCGCACCAGGTCTGAGGGAAATTAGCTACTTGTATTAAGATAAGCGATGGAATAGTAGTGAAAGAAAACGAAGGTGGTGTGTTCTGTTGGAAGAGCAGTGAAGAACAAAAAAAGGATCCACTGACCGATGATATATAGCGAAGGGAAAGCGGGAGCTGACGGGAGCAAAGCCGTTAGTAGACTGCAGATGGCAATTGTTGGTGACACTTTATGAACTGAGGGAAAGAGTGGCTCGTGTGACGGAAATGACGTTGAGGAGAGGAGGCGAGAGGGGAAGGACGGGAGTATACCTCGATACTTTATAGCTAGGAGGGAGCCGGGAGACAAGATTCGAGCGACCAGGAACTGCCCTGTGAACGATGAATCGGAAATGAGGAGTAAAAGAGGAGAGGCGGAGGACAAGAAGATAAAACGGAGGAGATGAGGAGTTGTTCCAAGGTTGAAGAACTCTTGTCAGATGATTGACGAGGATTAGATGCGGGGAGGAGAGCAAAGGCCTATCAATCACAGTGGACGCTTTCAAATCAGCAAGGACAAAAGTGCGCCTAGTCAAAGCGAAGTAGAGAATCTTCCGAAGGCGTTTTATAATGGAATCTTTTTGATGATTTGTTCGAAAGAACCGAAGCTGGTTTCCGGGATGCGCACGGGGTATAGTCCAGTATAAGTAGCCCAGACAGTATTATTTATCTTTTCTGCTAATACTAATTCCCATACTATTGCTTTCGGTCTATACTTGATTTTGCTAGCTCGGATACTGCGATCCTCGCTAGAAAGTACCCACTGGCCCCTACTATCGGCGTTATACGTTATACAAGAAATGTGGATGAGGATTTTGGCAGCAGATGGGGATGCGGGGGATGCTGTCCAAGCTGTCGGCTTGCATTAGCCCTGTATTTCTTTTTCGAAGCAGTAGTGCCCTCCTGGCTTCCTCTGCCACTTCAGTAAGTACTGCCAATTAATTATTTAAATTCAGCACTCGAGTCAATGACTTGTATTATTCGCATCTTTTGATGTCTCTATGTCTTCATCGTCGACGTCATTGCATGGTAATTTACGGCATGATAATACTGGTATTATACCAGCAGTCCTGCTGTGGATACCGCACTAGCCACATTAGGGCGGGTCGAACACGCGGGAAACCGTCAGGCCGTCAGCCGTCGCTCTTTCCCGATCCCTCGGGCACCACATCAACCGTATCAAAATACGTGTTATTCAAGCTGTCGAACTGTGATACAGTTGTTGCATTGATCTCCTGCCTTCAGTTATCAACATCAAGCACAATTATCTTCTGTATAATCTGGCAGTATGTTCCAAACGACGGATGTATACCGGTTACCGTGCCGCCAGTCCGACTACCCGAGGATAGATCCAGGAAGCTGATCCCGCTCTACCTTGCTGTAGCGCTGAGAATTATCTTACTCCTGATTAGTCTCTCTCGGAGTACCGTCTTCCAGCCCCATGGCGGTCCAGATCGGTTATTCCTCTTAGCTCCCGCTGTCCCTTCCCCCGTCCCTGGGCAATCTTCCGTTCCTCCATCCCCACCAGAGCTCCGTGTTCTGGGCAGCATTCCTCCGTCATTCGGATGCTGCTTCTCTCGACCGAACGGCCGATATGTATCGGTCATATTGCGCCTGGAGTGGGTGGCCAAGGCTAGGCTGCTTGTCGATTTATGGTGCAGGCATCTATCTATACATAGCCTCGATGGACGCAAAGTATGGCAGCAAATACCAAGGCGCTGTAAATGACCCCATCCCCCATGTTCGGCACGGACATATACCTTGCCACGAGATACTACATCTCTAATTAATTCATCGGTTCATCCGATATTCATCCCATCCCAGTTCGTATCCCTATCTCATGGACAACAGTGCTCCGTCTCCGATGGTCGGCGGAATCGGCACTTACATGATATCAAAACAACGATCAGAATACAAAAGGGGTTACCCTCGGGCCTCGAAGGTTCATCAACACGGAAAACACGGATACCCTAACCACGTTCCATCAGCGAGACCCGTCATGGGCCTGCCGGGGGAGTTATTCTCCGGGGTACGGATAGACCAGCGGGACCTCATGGTGGGGTGGGTTGAGATAGTGAAGGTCTGTGGATTGTAGTAGGCTAACTATCGCATCATGGCATAAGTATGGAACTGAGTTCCATCCCCCCCCACATCCCAACAAAAAAGGTAGGGTATGGCAATGCGAAATGAGTGCCGCCGGCCGCGGCTTTACTCCCCGGCAAACACGCAATCCACCGCGGCATAGGATATCGGAGTCGACTGCACCACCAACACAACAATTCACAGGCCAGATACCAATGCCATCAAATACATTCGGGACGAGCCCGGGAACCCCAACGGAAGAGGACGAGAGACCGGACGGGAGCTCGGCAGGTGTCGGTGTGCTTCCTCCTACTTGTAGTCACTAATACCTTTGTAGAAGTAGCCTACAAATGCAGGTGGTCAAGCCACACCGCCGTAGTATGTATTCATTGATATCTTCACCGTCAGTAGCAAGACAACCAAGCAACCAGGTTTTGCTATTTGGGTAAATAGAGTATAAATGTTTTGGGATTAGTATCCCTCCGGAGAATCTAAAGTCCTGCCCTGTTGGTCTGAGACTTGACCAGTCTTAAGCTCTTAGGATGTGAAGTGCACTAGTACCGTTTGTGCTTTCGGTGAATATGATGTCGCCCTGAAGAGTAAAGTAACGGAGGAGTGTAGTCCTCCCTCTCTCCTATAAATTGGACGGCACTGTAAACCTTTCTCTGAGTTCAACCATCTATTGCACTCTCTGTGGGATACGAAATTGCTCCTTTCTCAGGTATTCCATTTACCTAGTCCGTGGTCGAAAGGAACGATGGGACGGTCATTTTATGCTTGTTTCACCCCACTTGACAACAAACACCACGATACCTTTTTACCATGTGCTCCGGGCCAAGTCAGCAAGACTCCCAGGTTTGGGGGGTTGGTTAGGGTCCAGTTACATTCCGACTGTTTTTCCCCTCGCCCACCACCTTTGGCGCCTTAAATTCTTCTTTGGGGTTATGGTATTCTCATCGCTACATGGTCCGGA